TTTTCCGCCAATTGTGATTGGAAACGCGAGGGAGGTCACATACCCCGCCCATCAGTCCCGCCAGGAAAACAACGAGTCAGGGCGAGGATTAAGGACCATTCTTTTCATTTGATGAAAAAGCATACAAGAATCGGGAACAACGTGAACATGCGTATTTTTCGCCGGTGGCGTCTACAGCGATCCTCTTGTGTTATGTCTAATTGCCGGGGGCATATTTTAAGCACAGTTGCTCCAGTACCCCGGTGCCGTATTGCTAGCAAAACACATTTCACACATGGCAGTGCAAGACCCTGAACAAAGCGGCTATCCGAAGAAACGATGTTCGTGTAAACCCTCCCATTTTAGGAATGCGTGGAAGCAGCTGCAGTACCAGCAGCCTTCTACGACAGAATTCGAGCCTGTTTCCGCGAGGGTGCGCTCGAGTCGGCGGTCTCAACTAGACTGTATTTCCGCACTCCGCGAGACGCTCTGCCATCTACCGTTCGGTCTAGATACTACTACTCGCGCGCTTTACTCTGTACTCGCGCATCCCCCCACTAGTCATTCAGCACCGGCGGATGAGTTTGGCAGCGTATTTGATCGCTGCTTCGGCGGGGCCATTTAACTGCGGGTAGTGTGGCGAAGACATTATATGGGTCACTGCCCATTTGGAGAGAAATGCTTTGAATGCCTTTGATGTGAATTGAGGGCCGCCGTCCGACCACAGGAGCTCCGGCACCCCAGCCGTGCAAAAGATGACACGGAACTCTGATGAGGTCGGCGGCGGTGGCGTGGCGGCCGAGCGGGCTAACAATCAGCCAGCCAGAGAATGGGTCGACCGCGACCAGGAAGTGGCGCCCGGCATACTCGCAGAAGTTTGCGCAGAGGTGCTGGAACGGCCGGCTGGCTGGTTCGTGATGCCGCATCGTTTCTCTTTGTTGGGCCGGCAGCTCTCGTTGGCATTGCTGGCATACCTTGGTTATGTTGTCGATGTCGTTAGACATCCCAGGCCAAAAAACTAGCTGGCGGGCCCGACTTTTTGTCTTTTCTTTGCCCGTGTGTCCGGCGTGGAGCTCCAGGAGCACGGCGGATCGCATTGGCCGAGGGATCACGAGGCGGCACCCGTGAAGCACCAGACCGTCTTCAACTGTCAGTTTGTCGTGCACTGACCAGTAGGGGCGAATTTGGTACGGGAGGTCGGTTTTTTGATGAGGGAAGCCGTTCGTGACTGCCTCGAGCAGGAGCTGGGCTTCCTCGTCGCCATCTGCCGCCTCCAGCACGTCCCGTAGTCGGAGGTCGAGGTGCGACCCGTCGATCGCCCGCGCAGCGACGGTGGCGACGGTAGGAGCGGTGTCGTCTTCGGCCAGCTCGTCGTCATCGGTGGGCGGGTCGACTGGTGACCTGCTGAGCGCGTCGGTCGCCAGGCGGCTCTTGCCTCGACACCACGACGCAGTCATGCCGACGTCGGATATTTTTTCGCGCAGTCTTTGCAGTCGCGGGTTCTCAATTTCATCGAGGTTTTTATTGTTGATGATGGGCACGAGAGGGCATGAACCAACGACGAGGTCCAGGTGTGGAATGCCAGAGACGAAAAAACGGCACTTTTTCACCGCCCCGGCGACTGCCAGCAGTTCTAGTTCTATTGTAGCATACCGAGATTCGGTGTCGGTGAGGAAGCGCGACCCAGCCTGCACTACTTTCCAGGTACCGTCCGGCTGTTTTTGTTGCAGCAGAAACCCGAGCCCCTGGAGACGCCTGGCGTCCGTAGACAACCTCGTCGGCCTTGTCGGGTCGAAGTACGCTAGAGTGCGGACGGACGACAGCGCCTCTCTCGCCGCCTGGAACGCTACCTCGTGACAGATGTCCCAGGTGAAGGCTCTCTTCGCGCTCAGGAGGTGGCGCAGCGGTTCCAGCAGCTTAGCCGTCTCTTCGTTGAATGGCGTCACTTGGTTGATGAGGCCGAAAAAGCTCCGGATGTCAGTGAGCGATTTCGGTGCCGGGAACCCCGCTATGGCGTTCGTCAGGGCCGGGTCGGGCACGTAGCCGTCTCGGGACTCAATGAAGCCGGCGAATTTGACGCTGGTCTTCATGTGCTGCGTCTTGGAGGGGTTCAGGGAGACCCCGCGGGCACGGCACTTCGTCAAAAACTCCGGACTGGGCGACGTGTTCTTCTTGCGTCTTGCTGAAGATGACGTCGTCCACGACACGTTGGATGCCGTCCACGTCCCCGAAGCACTCGTCCATGCGCCGACTGTAATGCTCGCTATTGACGAGACGCCATAGGGGGCGCACAGATAGCGGTAGCGCCCGAATGGTGTAATGAATGTCGTCAGGTTTCGGCTGTCTTCGTCTAGAGGGCAGTGGTGGTATGCTTTGGTGGCGTCGAACACGCTTAACCATTTAGCGTCCGGCGCTGTGATGGATGCGACACACTCGGCGGGCGTGTTGGATTGGTACAGCTCCCGTCTCACGGACCTATTGAGTTTTGAAAGGTCTACACACAGTCGAATGCCCGTGCCGTTCTTCTTAGGGGCCACTACGATGGGCGCGCACCACTCAGTTGGATCCGTGACGGGCTCGATGATGCCGTCACGCTCGAGTTTTTCGAGCTCGTGGCGCAGGGACTCTCTCAGAGCTATTGGCACCCTGCGTGGCGAGTGCACGGCGAAGGGGGTGGCATCTTCTCGCAGATGAATTTGGTATTCTTCTCCTGGCATGGTTCGTACTTTGCCGTCCAACACGTCGGAAAACTCGTGACGTGGCGCTGCATTCTCGGTCACGTCGGAAGACATGTGATCGTGAGGCAGCTCTGAGACAATTGGGGCGCTGCATGCTGCACGGGGACCGTAGAGGGGGGCACCGATCGGGCGGTTTGGTCCGCTGAGGACGGGCGGGCCGGCCCGTCTCCGCCTTCTCCATTGTCGAAGGTCGGCCGTCCGACGGTCCCTCCCCCGGCCGGACGCTCGCGGCGTCCCGTCTCGTCTCCGGTTTCGGTAGGGGAGGGCTGGCTGCGGCGCGGCGCGCGCGTCTCAGCCGCGGCTGGGTTGGGCGGCGGCAGCTGACCAGAGGTTGCGCTGGGCGATCCGGCACCCCGACTGACTGCATTTATCTGCCGTGGGTAGTTGGCCGGTACAATACGAAGACGGAGGGCAGTGCGCCACGAGAGGAGGAGTCGTGGCACTCCTGGGATGATATGCACCGTGCACATACAACTGCACTACGAACACCCCACCCTCATCCTAATGATCAACAAGTACATAATCGCACGGGCCTTCGCTCTCGTCCGCTCCGACGCGGCAACACTCGCTCGTCACCGTCGCCTGTCACACCGGCGCCATCATCAGCAGCCACACCGGCACTATCATCAGCATCAGTAGCATCCCAGCCGTCGGTCACTGTGTTCACACGCCTTTTCAGCCACGCAGCGGCTGGCTGTGGCTGGCCGCTGCTTCACCGGCCTCGGGAGGCCAACCCGTCGCTTCACCGGCCGCGGGAGACCGCTCCAGCGCCCCACCGGCCGCGGGAGACCGACCCGTCGCTCCACTGTCCGCGGGAGGCTGCTCCACCGCTCCACCGGCCGCGGGACGCTGCTCCACCGCTCCACCGGCCGCGGGAGGCTGCTCCACCGCTCCACCGGTCGCGGGAGACTGCTCCATCGCTCTACGGGCCGCAGGAGGCTGCTCCACCTCCGTGCCTCCGGTCCCGCAGCATCCGTGCAACCCGCGTCCACCAGCGCCCCGACCATCCGCCCGTTCACCTCCAGCCAGGTGATGGGCAGCGCGCCCCTCAATGGCGGGGAGCCGGCGCTCGCGCTGACGCGGCGTCCCCCGACTCGCTTCCCGTCCAACGCCGCGGGCAGGTGACGGCGACATGGCCCGACTCACCGCACGTCCAGCAGCGTCACAGTGGGCACCTCGCCGACTCGCGGAGGCGCCCCTGCACGCGCCACGGCCGCTGCCACAGCGACGCGTTCATCACTGAGCACGGCCCGTGCCCGTGCGAGAACGCTCGCTAGGTCCAGCGCGACGATCCATCGTACGCCGGGATGAGCCGGGCGTCAAACGGCCAGCCTCCATTCCGCGTGACGACCCTGCTCCCGCTGGCGCTGGCGCTCCCGCTGGCTGACGCTGGTGTCGTCGCGCCACCAGCCGTGATGGACGTCGTCACACCGCCTGCAGCCGCCGCCAGGGTCTTGGGTATTCTGGCCGAAATAGCTTGTAATGAGACGCCAAGTGTTTCACCACATCTTCTCTGTATTTTAGTCTCGCACCGCAGCAGCCCCTGACGGTGCACCTACCCTCGCTGCTCTCTCAACGGCGACTCCCCACAGCGGGGGCCGCGAGCCGGGGCTGTGCGCGCGATCCGAGGTCGTGCGAACTGCGACGGCGGCGCGCATCTGCCGCGCAGCCGGGGCCGGCCTGCGAACCTGACCACGTGCCGCGCTCCGCCCCAGCAGGGGCGCAGGACACATACAACTGCACTACGAACAAGTAATCAATCTACTACCAATCTGCTCGTGGACCCTTCAGTTTCCCTTGCGACTGGCCTTGGTCGTCTGGAAGACCAAAGGGTCCAATTCTGTTGCGTTTTGAGAAAAAACTGCGTCTGCTCGGCCGGATATGGGCCTCCTCGGAGCCTATGGCCCCCCGGGACCCAAGGGGACCATGGTCCCGCGCCCAGCCCCCTCTGGATCCGCCTCCGCCGCTGCCCCTGAATACGACCTCCTGGCGGCCTCTCGTCCCTTGATCGTCGGTCTCGAGGTGCCCTTAGAGCGCCTTGGAACCTATGAGGGTGTATCTCCCTCTGCCCCTCTTGCTTACCTGCACCACTGCCTTCGACTTTTCATCCGATGTTTTCGACCGGTTTCAGCAGCAGCACATCTCGGACGTTTTCCGCATGGCTGGAAATATCTTAATAGCCGGTAATTCCCTCTTATAATAGCATATCGCTGCTGCATACCCCGCGCTCCTGAGCCCAAATGCTGGGTATTCCCCGCACTGCCTTCGCTGCGGCGCGTGCAGTTCTCCAGGCGTTTATGGTATTGGTGACTAAAACGGTGCGAGTATGGTCAAAATTGTCGGGCCAGGATTGGATGATCTAGTCATTTCTTTATTATGCTCATTTTCGATTATCCTCTGATATGTACGTTTTCGTAGCTGCTGTGCGCTGCTAACTCTGGCGCAATCTTGTACAGTTTTGGACATTCTTCGAGTAGTTAATCTTTTTTAGAAAAAGAAAATTTTCGCCGTGAGCATTTTACGCGCTGCGCGCTACGAACGCAATCAGCTCATGTTAGCAGAGCTACCCAATTGTAAGAATACATAGCGTGCGATGTTTGTTGGGTACTGGGTGTAATTTCCCAAAATAAGCTGGGGATGGGGGGGGGTAGGGGATAAGGTCAGGCTTGCCCTCAAAGTTCATTAATAACATCTTTATCCATAAATTTGACTGAATTTCGTTTTTAAAATTTGGGGGAAGGGTGAGAGCCCTACCAACTGAAAATGAAACATTTGACTACAACCTTGGTTAAGTATCAATATTGTTCCTTCATATGATGGACAACACATGCAATTAGATGATCATGAAGTGAGCAAAAAGCTAAATTTAGCATTGCCATTCATGTTTGTAATGGGTACCATTTTTAACCTATAATTTCCCCTTGGATACTGTGCCATAACATTATTTACAACAGACTGCAGATGTGTTATATCTTCCACATCAGCATTGCAATATTGTGTGATTGGTATCTAGCTATCAATGATACTTCCCATCTTTATCATTCATATTTTTGATCCATAGGTACATGGCTTGTCATTCTCTTTATTGCTTTGCTTTTCCCAATTATCATCATCATTTTACAATACTCTGTTCCTGAAATTGTAAAATATCTTGCTTGGCAGCTTCTTAATTCTGAATCCATGACATTGTTTCCCAACTATGCTTGGACTGGGAAGTAATTTATACACATGCAATTCTTTTGATGTTTGTTGCTGGTTATTGGTTGATAAGGTGATGTGCATCATGTGGATGAGTGCATTACTGGCATATACTAATGATATTGCATGCTAGCTTTATTGCTCAATATTATTCTGGTTGTTAAGAACATGATTTTAAGCATGAATGCTCACTTTACAAAAATCTTACTTATGTTTTGTGATGAACAGCACAGGGTTCAGCTTGGTGATGTTTCCAGCCATAATATGATGTCTTCTTCCCACTCCAGCCTGCTTGCCATTTGAAGTGTGCCTAACCCAACCTATAGAACTGCACAGCACACTGCCTCTGTAAGCATGCTGCTCATGTTAATTCCTGTCTGTTATAGGATGATGCAGTCACTGTCATGGCTGCCACCCAGCGTCGAGTCTACACCCGTGGGTCGGTGCTCCCCTTTGAGGAGGACGAGACGCGCGAGTTCAAGGGTCACCGCAACATCGCCGCGGAAGACATTCCGCCATGGGTGCACCAGGGGCTGTCGCGTGAGGCGTCAACCAGGAAACCGGTGTCCAGGTACCAGACGATGGACAACATCAGACACCCGGCACGCCGTTGGCTGGCTAGTGGGCGGTTTGTCAGTATTTGTATCACCAGGGTTATACTAAAGCAGCACGTGTCCAAGGTAATGATGCCAAACAACACCTGAAAGCAGAAGTGAAAGCTGAGCATTGTGTGGTATCAGCATAGGTAATGCAATCCTGAAATGGCCTTGGGGGCAGGGAGTGTGTGTTTTTTAACGTAAAGGTCCCCGATGATTCTAGGTGGGGATTTGAGTAACAATATGTCGAGAAAGTGGGGAAGACCTTGGTAGAACCATGAAATAACTCCAGGAACATAGGATGGTTATCCACGACTATTAAAACCGGCTAGATTGCTTTCACGTCTTGTAGTCGAGCCCCAAGTTTTCGCTACTATAATCTGCGCGTGTTTTAACGACAAAGACGCGCCCATAGCATTTCTGGTTTTGGAGAATTTACGGCTTGTAGAAACACTGCACAGCATTGTATTGTCGGTATGGGCAGCGGCCAACAACCGCTGAATCCGGTGACTGCGGTGGGCGGAGACGACAGTGTTGAATTAACGGGGCTTTACAGCATTGGATGTGCCCAAAACACCCGAATCTACATGGGAATATGTTCAGAATTAAGTAACGAACACGCTCGTGTATGTGTCATATTGGTTCGCCGCATGGCTCCGTTAAGATTAGGATGTGAAGCTGGAATATGCAGATTGCGAGAAAAATTGGCATTTGGCGTGACGTAGTAGGATGAATTATCATGCTAACAACATGCAAACTATTTCTAATCGTGTGATCTGGCTGAGGCAAATGGGCTGTTTTTCCCCACGGGGCTCTGTCATTTGTAGTTTGGACACGGCGGCGGGGGGGGGGGGGGCACCCACCCCCACCTATCATTTCACCCTCACTTATCCCTTTTGGTCACAAAGAACGATGCACCAGGACGAGGCTAAAATATTTGTATTCATTTTTGCTGAAGACCGCACGAAGCTGCGATCCGTGGTTTCAGGGTTATCAGCCTCAAGGCCGTGGCCTCTACCGTGTCGGGGGGGGGGGGGGGACGCCCAAGTTGGAAAGATTATCCATGGGTCGAGTAAAACTCATCCGGCCTGCAACAGTGCTCGTCAATACAAGCTCGTCCATGGTAATCGTACGCCAGACTCATGTATTTACGGTGCGCTGTTCGTCCACTTCGAAACTGCTCGGACGCATCACTCAAAGCACGGCTGTGAAGAACACATTAGCATCGACGTCTGCTGCGCGCCCTCAGGAACCTGAACGCCTTCCTCAACACGGGCCGCGGTGGCACCGTCTACTGCGGCGTCGACGACAACGGCCGCGTGCTGGGCATGCACCTGACGCGCTACCAGAAGGACCACGTGCGGCTGTCGGTGCGTGACACGCTGCGCCGCTACCAGCCGGCGGTGCCAGACGACCGGCACCGCATCACGTTCGTGCCCGTCGTCAGCGCCGCCGACGGCCAGCATCGGCCCCGCGAGTTCGCGTGAGTACCGACCGATGGCCGATGGCAACATGCGGCTGTTGGTGACGATCGTTTCCACATGACGTATGGAGTTGTGCGTGTTTCAAGACTACATTAGTCATGTTTTTGGCCGTTTAGGATTGTATAACATTGCCAGCATAACCGTACAACAGCATGGAACGTGCATATTAGTAACAAGACGGGCGTGAAAGGCACAAACGTCAAGGCGATTTAGTGACTGTGATCTTCATGTGTTGGGCCTGGCTCAGGTATGCACATCTGCCATTCTTTCCTTACCGCCTCGTCCTGGATCCTCGCAACGGCCGTCCCAGTGTAGCACGCTGCTGCCGTTAGCCAGGAAGTGGCAAAGATGTCGGCCTGGCAGAACCTCGCCCGGGCGCCCGCACTTACCCTAGGCAAGGGTCCCCGCGTCGGGCAGGTCTCGGCAGCGGAGGATTCTGTGGCGACTGATCTGGTGAATGCCGTCCGAAAGGGCTCTAATCTAAACTAGACCCGACTAGGGGTACAACCAGACTGAATTCACGTGACAGTGGCCTCCTGGGGCCGCCGCACTGCCGCCATCTGCCTGATCTGAGCTGGCCGTGTTTGTGCGTGTGTGTTCAGCTATGAAGCCAGCCGGCGGAAGAAGCGACACTTGGTGGCCACGTCCAACTACTGCTGGTGCGACGCCGAGGCGAAGGCCCGCTCTCACGGTGAGTCGGGGCCTGACGGCCTCACTCTCTGGCGTGAGTCGGCGGCAGAGCGCCGTTATCTGCGGTTAGTTAGCGCCTGAGGCGGCCCGCTCTCTGCGGTGAGTTGGCGGAACAACGGCCCGCTCTCCTGACGGTGAGTCGCGGCCGATGGCCCGCTCTCTGGCGGTGAGTCGCGGCCGAGTGGCCCGCGACTCTGACGGTGATTCGGCGCCGAGTGGGCCCTCGCTCTGACGGTGAGTCAGGCGGCCGAGTGGCCCTGGCTCTGGCGGTGATCGGCGGCCGAGCGGCCCGCTCCTCCGCCTGGCCGGCCTCCACCCCATCACGTGCGGTAAGGTCGCCTCAGGCCGTGACAGGAGTGCGTGGCTCGTGTTCCAAGTCACTCGCGAGGTTTAACTCTACATCTGCGAACGTTGGCAGGAGATGTGAGGCTGCGAGTGCAACGTGGATTGTTTGTCTGATGTTTGTTGTGAATCCGACGGGGCAACAGCCCCGTCGGTAGTACGCCATGCGATTTTTAGGATTGTGATAGCCGTACCGGACGCCCCTCCCCCCCCCCCCCCCCCCACTCATTCCCACTCACAGTGCCCGCAGCGACCACCGAGCGCTCGACGCCGCGTGCCTCACAGTCAGCCATGCTCTTACGCCGCAGGGCCAGATACCGCTCGAGTACGTAATTGAGATTGAGGTTCTGCCGTGGCCGGACCGGGACGGCTCGCCGCACCCATTCTATCTGAACGAGAGCGGCCAGTGCTTCGTGCGTCGCCAGGCCAGCGTCATGACGGTGAGGGTAGCGGCGCCGACGGACGGCAGCTGCCGCTCAGTACACTGAGGGCGTCCGCTCGGGTGGCGCCGGCGGGCGTCAGCTGCCGCTCGGTACACTGAGGGCGCCCGCTCGGGTGGCGCCGGCGGACGGCAGCTGCCGCTCAGCACACTCAGGCCGCCCGCTCGGGTGGCGCCGACGGACGGCAGCTGCCGCTCAGTGCACTCAGGCCGCCCGCTCGGGTGGTGCCGGCGGACGTCAGCTGCCGCTCAGTACACCGAGGGCGCCCGCTCGGGTGGTGCCGACGGACGTCAGCTGCCGCTCAGTACACTCAGGCCCCCGCTCGGGTGGCGCCGGCGGACGTCAGCTGCCGCTCAGTACACTGAGGGCGCCCGCTCGGGTGGCGCCGGCGGACGGCAGCTGCCGCTCGGTACACTCAGGCCCCCGCTCGGGCGGGGCCGGATGGCGGGGGTCACCGGACGTGACGTCATTGCCATTGGGCGTTTACAACGCAGTCTGCTGCTGAGACTGTATGGCGTCGCCCGCCTGTTTGTCTGACAGGAGGGGCGGGCACCGTGCAGAATAGAACCCCGTATCTCTGACTTCCCAGACGCGCAGTGGCTAACGCAGACGCATTAACCACTACACTACCGACCCCTGATGTGACGTGTAACCGAGCTGGGCGTGACATGCCGTGGTATGTCAACATGAAAGCCGAGTTTGGTTATTGTCCGTTACGTCGACTGACATGAAAACATGTGCGCTGAAGGCGGCTTAACTCTCGTCATACCGATATTGTTTGTTGTGGAAGAGGAGTGGCATTAATCGTGCGATCTCGATGTCCCTCGATGTCCTCGCAGTGACCGCCGTCATCTCCTCCAACTGCTCTTGTCTCGCCAGGTGACGGCAGCCGACTGTATCCAGCTGACGCGCCACCAGGCGGCAGCGCTGGCGTGGCGGAGGACGGAACAGGTGGCGCTGGCCGCGGGACTGGACGCAGCCGCCCTGCTGCGCCGTCTGGATGCCGGTGACCTGTGGCTGGGCGCCGGCTGGCCGCCGGCTCGGCTCGCCTGCCGCTGCGCCGCGCCGCCCGGCTGGGACGCCGAGCTGGCGGCCTCTGCGGGATGCCCCACGCCAGCTGGGACCTGGGCGGCCGCGGAGGGCGAGCCGGCGCCGGCGCAGGAGCCGAGGAGAGCGCTCGCGCAGTGCTGCTCGACCGAGAGCGGCTTCTGCACCAGCGGCGGCGCCGACACTACCTTCGAATGACGGCGACGACGACGCAGACAGCAGCGCTGACAGTGGCGCGGTGACCGGTGCCGCCGCACGCGCGTCTCGGCACGGCACGGCCGGGAGAGGGCGGCGGTGCCCCGAGCTGACCTCTGGCGGCGCTGTGGTGGGGACCGAGCCCCCTGAGCGTCTGTCGGTGGCAGCGAGTACCGCCTCTCTCCCCTCTATCTCTGCTCCAAGGGCCGCCGCAGCGGCGGCGGGGCGTAGGACGCTCCGGTCGGGGCTGTCGCCACGCGATACTGATGCAGCGGCTAGCGACGGGTCTTCCGTGATGGACCTGGGCGCCGGCGAGCCGGACGCCCCGCTGTTCGGGTGTGCGCCGCCCGTGCAGGCTCCTCTGAGGGCCGAGACGACGCTGCCTCCCTCGTCAAAGGATTCAGAGTCGGCGTCCGGGCGCCCGGCAGCGGCCGCCGCCTGTGCCGCCTGCCGGGCTCCTGAAAACGGGTCGGACTCGGGGAGCTCAGGCGTGTCATGGACGGCTCCGGTCGGCGGTCGGACGGCGGGCCCCGCGCGGCTCGTGACGCCGGCGGAGGTGGCTGCTGACGCCGGCACGTCTCTGTGGGAACACGCGGCCGCGAAGCGGGCGGGCTCCCTGTCGCCGACTGGTGGTGGGGAGGACTCCCTGTTATCGGTGGCCGGTTAGGACTCTGTGTTTATGCCTGATGCCTCGGGGCGATCCCTGTGGTGGTACGTCGAGGACAACTCTCTGCTGTCGAAAGCGGCCGACCATTCCCTGCTATCCGAGGTCAGTGAAGGCTCGCTTCTTCTATTAGGGGCCGCGGATGGCTCGCTATCGCTGCCCGGGGCACCGGAGGACTACTGGTCGCCGCGCGCCGTCGGGGAGGACTCCAGACGGCGATCTGAGGCCGAAGAGGACTCGGAGGGCAGCTTGGACGCGGACTACCGGCCGGCGGACGGTCAGTGTGTCCGGTCGGACGGAGCCGTGCTGGGCTGAGCCGCCAGCCGCACCACGGACTCAAGCCAGGCCGAGGCTCGGGCCCGGGACCGGAGACCGGAGCCGCTCCCACACGCCGGGCGCCGGCCGCGCCGCACACTTGCCTTCACGAAGATGGCGAGGTCGAACGGGCAGCGGTCGCGTGAGATTCCTCCGCGGAGTGGACTCAGGTGTCACGTGACAAAGAAACAGCGGGCGGAATACGCCGAGGATTGAGGTGCATGGGACAGCTGGTGTTTGTTTTCATAATGGGTGCCATCCCATGTGGTGATATCTTGCATGTTGGCCGTTGGCCACACGTTGGCCGTGGCTGCCGCGTCGGCAACTGATTGTGCCTTCTTTTAATGGCAGGATAATGCGTTCACACGTGATGTAGGCCAAGTTAATGCATGCGCACCAGCTGCCACGACAGCTTTTGTAACGAGCTCATGCGTGACTGCCATTGATATTGATGTGATATACTCATGTCACTGGTGATTATATGTCCGATATATTTTTTTGTATTGTTCCGTAGCGAACACGTCTGTCGTAGTGTGTCCCCATGCTGCTCGAGGTGCCAGTCTTGCTTAAGGCTGGGGCATGGTCAAGTTCCCACTATGACATTGTGTTTGGCCGTACAATTCGAAATACATAGAATTCAGGTTATCCTAGGTTGTCTGGGAAGTGATCAGTCAATATCGCATGCGACAATCATATCCACCGTGTACAAAGTATGTTCAGTGCGTTTCGTGATGTTAAATGGATGTGTTTAGTTTTGTAGTCGCTAGTGTCGCTCAGCAAAAGGGCTGTTAGTTACAAGCCTGGATCAATTTTGTACCGTCACAATAAAAGCTAAACGCGCATGGTATTTCCCTCACAAACTTTGTGTCCACACAAAACCCATCCGTAGGGGTCGATATCAAGGCTCACTGATAACTGGCTGCATTGTGAGCACGTAGTGAGAGCATCGTTTGTTGTGCCCCGTCCTTGGTACTGGCCTCCCCAGGTACAGGCCTCCCCAGGTGCTGGCCTCCCCAGGTGCATGCCTCCCCGGGTGCATGCCTCCCCAGGTGCCGGCCTTCCCAGGTGCTGGCCTCCCCAGGTGCATGCCTCCCCGGGTGCCGGCCTTCCCAGGTGCAGGCCTCCCCAGGTGCATGCCTCCCCAGGTGCCGGCCTCCCCAGGTGCATGCCTCCCCAGGTGCCGGCCTCCCCAGGTGCATGCCTCCCCGGGTGCCGGCCTTCCCAGGTGCAGGCCTCCCGGGTGCATGCCTCCCCAGGTACAGGCCTCCCCAGGTGCAGGCCTCCCCAGGTGCCGGCCTCCCCAGGTACAGGCCGTGCCGGCCTCCCCAGGTACAGGCCTCCCCAGGTGCATGCCTCCCCAGGTGCCGGCCTCCCCAGGTGCCGGCCTTCCCAGGTACAGGCCTCCCCAGGTGCCGGCCTCCCCAGGTACAGGCCTCCCCAGGTGCCGGCCTTCCCAGGTGCAGGCCTCCCCAGGTACAGGCCTCCCCAGGTGCCGGCCTCCCCAGGCCTGGTGTAACGTTAAGGCCTTCGGCTTGCTGACATGAAGCAAAAGTAGAGAAACGCTATCCCACCTTGCCATTTATTTTGAGAGATTTGATCCGCGCACTTTGAATGGGTGACTGTCATGATGGATAGATAGTTGGATCCCATGCCGTACAAGGCTGAACGTCAGATCGATTATTGAAGGAGGGGGAGAGCTGCCCTCGCCCTGAGCTCCACATGGCCCGCTGACCGGGGAGGAAAGGCCACTGACCATCGCCACCCGCTCGGCAGCAGTGGGCCAGTCTTCTCAGCCGGAAGCGGGCCGCCCACTGTGACACGTGTCGTCCCGGGGCGCCGGCTGAACCCCTGAGCGGTGTTCCGGAGACGACAGGAGCTGACTGGACCGGGCCGATCACGACCAGCACTGCTGAGCCGGCTCCGGGCGGCGCTGCTGGCCGGCGGACGGGCCCCGCTCGGCCGGCGGTGGCGCTCACTCCGGTCACTGGGCCGCTCCCTGCCGCACCTCGGAGATGGCCACACCGCTGCCGCCGCCGCTGCTGCTGCTCCCGCTGCTGGCCGGCCTGGCCGCCGGCTTAAGCGTCCAACAGGTGGAGCTGCTGAAATCGGCGCTGGTCGAGTGCGCGGGCGGCATCAGCGAGGGCGCCTGCCGCAGCATCTGCCGCTACAAATCGTCGCCGCTTATTTCACGGTGTGACGAGTGTTACCCGGGGGTGTGCGGGGCCGGTAAGTAACACTGGCGGCAGCTGGGAGCGTTCTACTTGCCACTGTTCATCAGCTCGCTAGCTTGACGAATCACTGTGGGGCCGGTGCCGGCCGGCCCGGGGCCGGTGCAGCACGTTCTTCGCTACAACCGATCGCAAGTCGGTCATTATTTGTTCTGTTGTCGTTTTTCCACATCTTAATGGGCCAGTACATTTGCGCTGATTGTTTACAGCGCTGCGCAGATTTTCTTGATGTAATCAGGCTGTACTTACGAGAAAATGTCGTGTACTACGTCATGAATATGCCACCTTTTTGTACTTTTCACTTATTGTTAAATCAGACGTATCCGACTTGATTGGTAATGCCAGTTGTCTCGGAATCCTTTGGGTAGCTCAGAATTTTGACTTGAAGCAAACGCTCCCATAGGGGAAATACATTGAATTCCTTGCTCACCACTATGGGAAAAACACATTTCCTTTGCATTGCTTTCTTCAAGGTGTGCATTCTGTTACATCTGCAACACGCCAATTTGTCCAAACATTTGTATAATAAATGCTACGAAAGTTTGAAACACTCTGTGTAGACAACAAGGTATGGGGACATGAGTCTATTAGCCCGCGAATTCAACGAAATGTTATACTTTGGCTCTGATTTCTTCCCTGCCTTGTCACTTACCACAGCAGCTCTTTTCGAGCTGCGCTTTGCCTTTGAAAATGGGAGTATCACGTGATCTATAGAGACGCACTGGTTCAAACATCAACCAATGCGCATCTCAGTAGCAGGCCCTTGCCGCCCGCTGAGCCAATCACAAACGTTAATTTGTGTCCGCGTCATTCACACCGACTGCGGTTATCATGACGACGAGGATCGTGACAGCTGCGGGTGCCGGGGAGCAAGTGTATTACTGTTGAAATGTATTGGCAGCGTTATTTGCGCTTGAAAAGTACGACTTACGTTCTTATGAAATCTTGGTAGTGCTACAGTGGTACTACCCAGTGCTATTATTAGGCGTTACCGAGTTTTCATCAGACTACGCTTTTGAATGATGCCCCAAGCGTAGAACACTACTTTGTAGGGGTCGTACATAAATTGCGTTACGCAAGGAGGGCAGGAGGGTTTGGTCCAGCGTAACGGAAGCATAAGAAAGGAGGGATGGGGAATTCTTGGACAGCAGAACGTTACGCGCAGGTGTGGTTGTAATCACGCTACAGTATTCTTAAAGGAACTTGAATCATAGAGCTGGATGCCGCTGGCTGCCTTTCGTGACAGGGACCCAGCCGTGTTGTGTTGCATCTATAGCTCAATTTGGGATCAAAAGAACGTGAAAAGGATCTTTTCGGACGCTACGGTTAACAAGGCGTAACAAAGGGAGGGACCGGCAACCAATGCGCGGCCTGAGGTGTGTCCACAGCACACCAATAATGCTATATCCTGCACCAATTCGTACTTTATAGTACAGATAGGTGTGTTCTTGGCTGGAGAATACCGAGCTCAAAATCATATTGTTCGGTACGATGTATTTGGAGTTCAATCTTGGAACGAAATAACAGGAGGTTCATTTCTTAGAAATGTTGTCAAGAGCACATTGTTCGTAACGACACGCTCAGTCCAGCTTTGAGACAGGGCACCGGAATGATAATGTGCTTAGGGCACGCACGTACATGAATTTGCGTTACATTCGGGTTTTATTTCGCTTTGGTGCCCTCTGACCCCTACTCTGTTCACAGGATAAGTGTAGGCTTAATGTTACGAAGCTTATCCTGAGGTTCCTTTATTGGATGGATTTTTGGGATCAGAGCTCACGCTAAACAGCGCTTGTGGTGTGGACCATGACCACATCATTCGACCATGGAAGTCCAGGTCAACGGCAGCCATTGCGGCGAAAGTTAGCCGTGCCGCAACGCTCGGCCCAATGTGCCCGGTCCTCCGACGGCTCCGACCTCCGCTGGCCCTGAGCGGCCACCACCACCAGCCGCACGCTACCTCAGTCAGGCACAAACAGCGAGCGAGCCCCTTACCTCGCCCCTCACGCCGCGGCTGGGTCGGTACGCAGGCGCTCTTTAACCGACTGAGAGGGATTGTGTTGTTTTGAGTATTGGTTGCTGGTGGGTAATATGTGTTTTGCATACTTCCGAGCTTGTTAAGATAGGTCACACTCTATTTTGAAGCCGAGATGGACGGCAGTGGGATCGTCAAAGGGAGTGTTCTGCACTTGTGTGGGCTTTTTTTAGCTAAAATAGCCGTCTTGAAGATCATTCGATGCATTTCACACCCGTCCTTTTCTTACCCATCTTAAAACCTAAACCCTTCTAGTTTCTTAGCTACATGCCCGCAAATATGTGCATATATCTCGGAGAGATAATTTCAAGGTCACCCAGGTATCCATGACGCCATAGTGACGTCATTTGAATGCTGTCATTTACTTGGCCATGCGGCGGTCAGAGCCAAGAAAACTTAATTGACGAGTCGTTCATGTCTGGCGCCCGTGAGCACGATTTCCTGATATAACGGCCGTTAATTGTCTCTCAATCAATGCTAGGCCAGATATGACGACGTAATCAAACAGTGAAGTATTGGGGAACATATTTATCAAACACAGAAATGGCGTTATCTAGAGCACCCTTTGCCACTTGAAGGTATACGAATAGTTGTAAGTGGGCTTCTTCCGTCACATCTGAGATGGGCTTCGATATCTTTAAATGTGGGACATTTCCTTTAAAATGACAGCTAGTTCTTCGTACAAAATGTTCCCAGATGTTCTTGATTGTTTGTACGGCTGAGCTGGCTTCAGTTGGAACTCCAGGCTGAGGTAACGTCTGTGATCTGATTTAACTTCATCCTGTCCGAACTCCTGACTCCGCCGGTAATCGTATGAAGGACGATAAGGCAAAAGTATGCATGCTTTCAAGTAGTAGGCCATTGCAAAACATTTCTACAGACTCGCTGTTTCGGGGTTTATCGGATAAAGCGATACAACGTGCCGAGGTTAAAAACGGAATGCACGGGTCCGCCCGGTCAGTCATCTGAAAACATGTGTTGAGCCCACTGCGTCACATGACGAACTGGCAAAGGTGCTTTCAACGAGACAGTGCCAACGCTTCCGTTTTAAACTTCGTATTGCCAATTCAGATTACGAACGGCCACCAGAGACGGCAGATACAATCATCGCCCCCGTGGTTGCGTGAAAATCGGCCACTATATTTAACTGTTTCAATGCATTTACACCGTTACGAAAGCTGCGATACATGACGAGGTAAGTGTTTGGTCTTTGCAAGCACATGGTAAGCGCCAACTCTCGCTGTGATTACGGCGGGCCGTAGTTCTGAATTACGCTGCGGCGGGAGGCAGCTCACCCAAATGAAATCAAAATCCGTGTTGGCATAGCTGCTGATGACCAGAAGTTGCTGAATTTTTGTTAGCTCCTGCTGGACGAACTTCTAATTAAAGCAGCTCTTGAAGCCCGTTCTCACACAGGTGCGGATTGCCCCTTCCCTGCATTCGTCCGAAAATTTTGTGTGCAGCTCTTCCTGAGTCGTTTGGGTTCTTGAACTCATCAGTACAAATCTCTCGCGTGTCGGTTCTCCCATGGCATTCAGAAAGGGCAGGCTGCTGCCAATCGTTTTTATTTACCTGCGTGAAATTTGAAGCAAGGTGATTGGTTGTAAGTTGTATCCAGCTGTAGCCTTATCGTGAGATCTAAGGCTTCCACGAAAATGTGACCAGCTCACACTGATTTAGATCAGTTAAAAGCATTGCAGGACCCCGGGGCATTCTTCGATCGAACTCTTCTCCCGAATTTGGCAAGCGATCAAGCAATGTGCTTCAAGTATCCTCCAGTGCTTGGAAGCAGGAGCATGGCCAGGCACGATGGCAGTTGTCCAGGATAGGGTAGGCTTAGCGGGTCATTGAGTCCATGCGTCGCTATAAGCTTAGTGTTAAGTTACTCAAATCCTGGGCGATGGGGGCTTGAGCTTCACAGCCTCCCCCGCCCATAACGCGATGCATGGCCCGCGGTTATGAATACGCTTATCATGTTGAGATCGGCCTGCATGTTTTCGTCCTAGCGGCAGGCTTACCGGGGACATGCGTGTTCTCATCACACGATCTTGTTGGCTCCGTAACTATGCAGCGGCTTCAGTGTGACAGTCCGGTATGACGGTTCGGTGTGGCAGTTCGGTGTCGCGGTCCAGCGTGACTGTCCGGTGTAGCGGTCCAGTGTGGCGGCCCGGTGTAGCAGTCCGGTATGGCGGTCCGGTGTGGAGGTCCGGTGTGGCGGTCCGGTGTGGCGGTCTCGGTATGGCGGTCCGATGTGACATTCCGGTGTGGCGGTCTCGGTATGGCGGTCCGACGTGACATTCCGGTGTGGCGGTCCGGTATGGCGGTCCGGTGTGGCGGTACGCGGCTCTTTCTGTCGATCGCCTCAACACCGCCAGCACTCGTGCCGCCCTGTGGTGACGAGCGATGACGCCGCGGTTTCGCGGCCGCCACGTCGGGGCGCGGCCGAGCGCGACCATCTCACCGCGCGAAGCCTGCCGCGCTCGCCGCGGGCGCGATCTGACGACGCGAGCGCCGTGGTGACCGGCGCGGACCCGGCCTTGTTCCAGAGCCGGCAGCGCCGCGCCGCTCATCGGGCCGGCTGATCGCGCCCACGTACGGCACGGTCGACGACCACGCGGACTGCCAGGACGCGAACGGCATACTGCGGCCCGTCTTCACCACCTGGTACGACAACCAGCAGTACCCCTGCCTGTTGTACACCTGCAAAATCAACGCCGTCATCGATGTGGTCGACCTGGGCGCCAATTGTGAGGAGGAGCCGACAGACCTCGGCGAATGCACCAGTACCCGCAATATAGGCCAGTGCTGTTACAACTACACGTGCAACCTGCCCAACGACCAAACGCTGTCCGGCTGCGTGTATGACAACACGCCTTACGCGCACGGCGAAACCTGGGTGGACGACCTCCTTAACCCGTGCGTCACCTACGCCTGCAACAATGGCGTTGTCGCCATCATCCAGGACGTGAGGCCGCTGTGCCCGACGGGACCTGACTCGCACTGCATTCCGTACCGCGCGGACGGGCAGTGCTGCTACAGCTTCAACTGCTCCATCATCAACGGCCTGCAGCCGTGCCGGGACGCGGTCGGCAACATCCGGCCGCACTCTTCCGTCTGGTACGACGATCCGACCTTCCCGTGCGTTAAGTTCGTCTGCAACAACGGGTCGGCCATCGCGGTAGTGGACAGGCGGGGCGAGTGTGACACGGAGCCGGATACGCCCGGCTGCCACGCGTCCCGCGAGGAAGGCCAGTGCTGCTTCAATTATACCTGCGGCTGCCTGTTCAACGGCGAGCTGAAGCCGAACGGCGCCGAGTTCCCCGACAACCCGGTGCACCCGTGCGCGCTGCTCCGCTGCGAGCAGGGCACCGTGGTCACCGTCACCGAGGAGCACTGCCCCACGCTGACCTGCTCCAACCAAGTGTGGCCGCTTGGACAGTGCTGCCGTACCTGCGGTGAGTTCAGCCAACGCGAATGCTCTCTCTCTCTCTCTCTCTCTCTCTCTCTCTCTCTTCCTCTCTCTCTTCTCTCTCTCTCTCCCTCTCTCTCTCTCTCTTCTCTCTCTCTCTCTCTCTCTCTCTCTCTCTCTCTCTCTCCTTCTCTCTCTCTCTCCTCTCTTCTCTCTCTCTCTCTCTCTCTCTCTCTCTCTTCTCTCTCTCTCTCTCTCTCTCTCTCTCTCTCTCTCTCTCTCTCTCTCTCTCTCTCTCTCTCTCTCTCTCTCTCTCTCTCTCTCCTCTCTCTCTCTCTCTCTCCTCTCTCTCTCTCTCTCTCTCTCTCTCTCTCTCTCTCTCTCTCTCTCTCTCTCTCTCTCTCTCTCTCTCTCTCTCTCTCTCTCTCTCTCTCTCTCTCTCTCTCTCTCTCTCTCTCTCTCTCTCTCTCTCTCTCTCTCTCTCTCTCTCTCTCTCTCTCTCTCTCTCTCTCTCTCTCTCTCTCTCTCTCTCTCTCTCTCTCTCTCTCTCTCTCTCTCTCTCTCTCTCTCTCTCTCTCTCTCTCTCTCTCTCTCTCTCTCTCTCTCTCTCTCTCTCTCTCTCTCTCTCTCTCTCTCTCTCTCTCTCTCTCTCTCTCTCTCTCTCTCTCTCTCTCTCTCTCTCTCTCTCTCTCTCTCTCTCTCTCTCTCTCTCTCTCTCTCTCTCTCTCTCTCTCTCTCTCTCTCTCTTCCCCCTTCCTTGCCCCATTGCAATGAGAGTGATATGGCGCTCTCCACTTACATGCATTCGTATATGCATTGCATACCAAAGCGCAGTCAATGGAGGGAGCTACCCACCTACTTGGGCCCTTTTTTCGTTTAGATGGCCTTCAGCAGAAAGTAAAAAATTGGTTTGATGAGTACTCACTGAGCTCCCCCTCCCCCTCCGTTAAGAAAATCCTGTCGCACCCGTGGTGCACACACAAGCATTCAAAAGACGTATAAATTCACATGGACACAGGTGTTAGCGGGTACGTCATAGAAACGTTACCCTGTCTGGCTCCTCGCAATCTGGCCTCCGTGCCGACCCCTTTTCCCGGTCTGATGTCCCCGTGTGACCTCCGTTCTCCGTCTGACCTCCTCGATGGCCCTCCTCCCGACTGATCATCCGTCATGAGCCCCCTTTCCGTTTGACCTCGCAAACTCTGCCTACCATCTGCTCTCGCCGGCGCAGCCTCCCTGCTCGTCTGACCTGCCCCGCCTGACACCCGGCCTGACCGCGCCAGCGCCGTGCGCCTACAACGGCGTCCAGTACCCGGTGGGCGACACGTGGTTCGACGACCCGACCCACCCGTGTGAGCTCTACCGGTGCGACAATGGCTACCCAGTGGTGGTACAGAACACCACCTGCGAGCCAGCCCCCAGCGACAGCTGCACCCCCTGGCACATGGAGGGCATTTGCTGTCCCAAGTGGGACTGCACGGACGGTAAGGCTGCCCGCCGCAGCGGCGGCTCGCTGGCGTCGCTTGCTGCCGACACCAACGAGCCAGTCGGGAGTACGGCGCTAGCGACAATGTGCCTGCCTGTTGGACGATGTGTTTGTCTGTGGACGACGTGCTCCTCCAGGGCCAGTCTAACATGACATAGCTCGGGAGTCAAGCAGCCGGGCCTGCTGACAAACGTCCGTTATTTTTACCGGGCGCCCTGGAGTTTGTGTGACACCGATAGCTGGGCGTCCAATGTCTTGTGTGTTCAGCTAATGCAGCCTGTTTTGTTAACGGTTCTTTGCTTGGTTTGCATATGCACGCTGTATTTACAACTTCGCGTCCCGACTATCGCTCCATGATGATCTGAAATATTCGTGGTCCATTGACACTAGGGCTCCATTAGCAGCTCCGTGCTGCCACGCATGCTGGAAGCTCCGTGTCCCATCGACACTTGTACTCCATTAGGAGCTCCGTGACATATTGACACTTATGCTCTATTCCAAGCCCCGCATCATCTTAACATGCATGCCCTCCTGGCAGCTCCATGTCCCTTTAAAACGTACGTTCTACTCACGGTTGCACATCAATTACCTCTTGTGTTTCACTCACAATGCCGTGTTCCGTTCACACGTGTCCTCCGTCTACGTCTCCCTGGTCCATAGACACGTGTTCTCCGATGATGGCGACGATGTCTGTGTTTGACGGGAGCGCCGACGACAGCGGCGTCCACCGACACGTGCGTTTCGCTCGAAGCTTTGTCCTGAACTGTCACGTGTGTTCGATTAACGACTCAATGCTCCATTGACATGGTGCTCCGCTCACAGCTCCATGTGAACACAACGGCGTGATCCGTGAGCACGGCACCACGTGGCCGGAGAACCCACTCCGGCCGTGCCGCCACCTGACGTGCAACAACAGCGAGGTAGAGGTGGCCTCGGAGGCGGCACCCTGCGAAGGGCCACCCGACCCCAGCTGCGTGGAGAGGCACGTGCCCTACCAGTGCTGCCCGGTCTTCGACTGCGTCCAAAGTGAGCGGTAGCGGTGGCGCCGGTGCGGCCCGTCGCCGTCGCCATGACGGTGTTCTATGGGCATGGGACAGTGTTTGATGTCGCCAGCAGGTGCGCGGTGTGCGCACCCCGCTGGTGCGGAGGACTGGGGCTGCGTCGGGGGCAACCCTTTTAAGGTGCGTCTGGCACCGGCCAGGCAGTCGTGAACCAGACAATTCCAGTTGCTGTCACTGACAGCCTCGGCCGTAAGCGCCCAGCTCCGCCGTGTCTGCGACGGTGCCAACAGAACTGACAGCCTCGGCCGTAAGCGCCCAGCTCCGCCGTGTCCGCGACGGTGCCAACAGAACTGACAGCCTCGGCCGGAAGCGCCCAGCTCCGCCGTGTCTGCGACGGTGCCAACAGAACTGACAGCCTCGGCCGGAAGCGCCCAGCTCCGCCGTGTCTGCGACGGTGCCAACAGAAAGCACACCGCGGGGCAATTATAACTGCGCCCGCGCGCGCCGTGCCTTTTTGTTTTGCTGACTCCTATTCACACTCGTTCGGGACGGCATTACCAGCAGCACGCAGGCCCGGCGCGCGAGCCTGTGGCACCCGACAAGCCGGTGAGTCGGTGACCTTGCACACCCGTCCGTTTCAGTTCAGTGCACATACGGAGACCAAGTGTACGAGGAGGACGAGACCTGGTACGACGACCCCAGCCACCCCTGCAAACACTTCAAGTGCACCAAGACGGGCACGGTTAAAACCAAGGACCTGAGTATCAGCTGCCCGCCGCTGGTACCGCATGACTGCCCCAGCATGCGCGTACTGGGCGAGTGCTGCAAAGTCTGCATAGAGCAGGGTACGCCAGACAGCAGCACCCAACAGTCGGCCAGAGTCGGGCAGCAGTTGGGCAGAGTTGGACAGCACTTGGGAGCAGTCGGGCAGCAGGACAGAGCCGCACGCAGCTCATGATCTGGATTTCAATGACCTGAGCTAGGGCTGTGCCTGAGAACTATCGCTGCAGCTGACCATAGGGTTAAGAGTGGCATTCCGGCCGGGGTCTGGTCGGATTCACTGGATCCAGAGAAAACAATGACTGTATGAGCACCAGCAGCGGCTAAATGGCTTCCGTTTTGGCTTTTTCTATCGTCGTCCCCGTGATCATTCTCGTACCAACTGCCATCCTTAAGGCAACATCGGTGTTTCAATAAGGTGCCAGCAGCAACTTTTTGATGATGGCAGATCACCGCTTCGGCCACATTGTTTCATTGTCATTGTCATTATTTCATTAAAGGCTGTTTCTTGTCGGGCCGACTGCTTGGTGTGACTGCTTTTTTCAGCGACAAATCTCACCCCGTGTTCCTGTGTTGACGGCTGTCATCCGTGCAGTGGTCGTCTTCCCTCTGGTCCCACTGGCTTCGTTCTGTTATCGCCCAACATTGCATCGGTCACTGAAGCTGCAAACACTGCATCCTGAGATGTGCCCTAACTCAGGTGCCCCCCTCCCCCCCCCATCTTCCAGACGTGGAGTGTCTCGATGACAACGGCGGGACCCACAGCATCAACGAGACGTTCTTCATCGACCCGGTCACGCAGTGCCACCTGGTGCGCTGTGTGGACAACGGTAGCGTGACGGTATATGATCGGAGGGAAAACTGCCCGGCTGACCCGCGCCAGGACAACCCCAACTGTACGGTGATCGCGTTCGAGAACTGCTGCCCCGTCTACCAGTGCCGTGAGTTGCGCGCCACCCATCGCACCAGCTCACAGGGCCCGCAGCGCCGGCCCCGCCCGCAAGTGTTTCGCTCCGTCGAAAACATAGGCCGGCTTCATAGCAGAGCTTTGGTCGATGATATGGACACCTCGCCTGCCCTGTCTGAGCCTGGTCCGATCTGACCCCCCGCGGCGTTGTGGGCTCGTCGGTGCCGACGCCCCTGAGTGGGCGTGGTCCGCCTTGATACCGTGTGCAGACATAAAATGATATAGCGGACAGGTGCGCGAAAATTACCTTCTTACGAAAAAGGTTATTTTGAAACGATTCGCTAGCAACTGGTGACACTCGCTTTCGCACGGCTTCGACGTCATTCATAGCTGCTACGTTTCTTTGACAACGTCGTGCTAGAAGGAGCTGCCGTTTTTTTTAAAGTAAAGGCGTAGAAAGTGGTGCGAGGCGTAGGCCCATCTGACGCCAGCTGTTTCCACAGCCAACTGCACTGACAACGGCGTCGAGTACGCCCACGGAGCCAGATGGTGGGTCACGCCCCAGCGCCAGTGCACACGCAAGATGTGCCAGAAGGACGGCAACCCGACGGTGCTGTTCACCCGCCTGCCGTGTCCGCCCGTGCGCGAGGGCTGCGTGCCCAACTTCCGCGGTGTCGAGTGCTGCCACTACAAATACACGTGCATGTTCGACCCGCAGCACAACCTCATCCCGATGCCGTACGTGGACAGCGCCACAGCTCGACTGAGCGCGGCTACCCGTTTCCCGGGCAGCGGGCGGGGCTCGGGCTAGCCAGCTCCCGAGGCGGGACGTTGGCAGCGGTGCCGGTGCCGCGGCGCGGCTCACCAGCACCGTCGGCAGCCCAGTGGCACGCGCTACCGGCTCGGTGGTGTGACGTCCCAACTCGATCCCTGATTCTGGTAGATATACTCGTCGCACGGGCTTAGAGTCTAGTTTAATTCGACTCGTCTCACTTCCCTTAGCTATACATTCCTAATCATAGTTTTCCGAACGGTTTGCGGACATAGGGTGCTTGGCTTTACCCTATACTACTGTGTTCAAACACCCGTGTGTCTCCACTTGGTCAAAGTGCACCTCCGCATCTGCATACCAAGACGTAGGCAATGTGCTACCTTAAACTGAATATTTGCGCTTCACGACTGCATGAGTAATGAACTGAAATGGATGCGCTGTCTAATAAATTTATTCTCAAAGAATGCCTACGTCATGTGGTCGTGCTTTAGCCGGGCACGTTGGTTGTAGCTAGCCGATTGAATGCTCGTAATTGTAGTCGAAATATTCGTTTTCACAGGGCCATTTGCGTGTCCTTTGTTGGAAACATGCTAGTATGTTGCGCTTCCACCATGATATTCACGTTTTCAACCTTGATTTATGTATCCGGCGCTGAGATTCGACCGTTCTCTGCAGCGGACTTAATCATGCTTCGTTATCATACGTTTGCGTTTTAGCCACAACAGAATATATAAAAATGAGTTGTTAATGAACTGTGATGAATACCATTGGTACTCAGTGCATATACCATGTGTAATGCAATAAAATAAATACACAAAGTAAATAAAATAACCATTGGTTATTGGTAATGAGCGCACATTTATGAATTTTGATGATGGAAACCAGCCACATTTAATGCACCATTAGACAGGCAAACGGAGGTATTACGCAATCATATCAACGTTTCACGACAGCGTTCATCGTCACAAGTGAATAACGTCTATCTAAAATTGCTTCACTACCTTGAGCTACGTGAGAGGCGGAGTGTCCCACATCTGTGATACTGCCAAGAAAAAGATACTGCAAAAACCAATCATCAATCATCACTACAATGACCATCACGCCCCAACAACCGATCCACGATACTGTGGTGAGGGCTGCGTGAAACATAGACAGATAAGCTAAATGATATCGTGATCCGTATTGATTATAAGGCTAAACATACACTCACTACGAACATCAATACGATGCCGTCACGCAGCCACTGCCGCTCAGCAAGCAGCACAGCCATTCAAACTCCTACATCCAGACCCACACTCTCACATCTACAATGCATGGCACTGTGCTGAGGGCTGTCCGAAAGAGACGGCTGAGCCCAAATGATTCGACGATCCGCACGGGGTATATAAATATAATATATATATATATATATATATATATATATATATATATATATATAGGTTCAGAAAGTAAGTTATTACAGGACATCACAGCTGAACACGGGTGTCAGCTCCATTCTTTTGGGTGGACCACTCCCCCATGTACAATTTACACCCAAAGGTGAATTTGTTCCGCCAGCCTTCTGGAGCTAGAGTTTGAGTATAGAATTTAAGATGAGAGCTAAAATTTATATCAATTTCAAAATAAACTTTTAATTATTGCTTTACGGGTAAAATGGCCAGGGAATATGCCAACTGCGGTGTCATCGCCATGCTCACTTAAGTGCAACTGACTGAGTTAGTCACACTCTTACAGCTTCACGCTCGAACGATGTTCACTTAGGCATTTTCTGTTCTTCATGCGTGGTGCATGCTCTTAATTATACAATTGACATGTCATGTTGACTCTGGGCTAGTTTTGTACTATTGTTTGAGTGCTTGACGTTATTTAGCAGTGTTTCATGTAATACAAACATAGTTAAATAATGCCCGACTCATTAACTGCAGCCAGTTGCTTTTTTGCCATATCTTATCGTAAATCAAAAGCAAACCGGACGAATACCAGCACCTAAAAACGTGATCACGTTATTAGCTGTTAACGTTCGTAAGCAGACTTGAAATGTGCCGATTTGCATTTCGACGTAAAAATATGACGGAATAGTTGCGAAAATCTGACGAACGACACCATCCGACCAATCGATAACGGCAATTGACCGAAAATGACCACCAAAACAACACTAGCCGTGTCGAACATGCCTGACTTAAGTGCTGCATTGTAACGGGTTACAATGCGGCACTTGCGTTACATCATACACCCGGGTGCAGGTCTGCACCCCGCCTGGCAGCTACTAGCGCGAGGTTTTCATCACGGCCTTTAGTAATCGTGCACATAACCTTACACTCTCCTCCTGAAGCCGTACACGTCAAACAACGTTTGAAACATCATCATATCGATCCTTCTTCGATTACCGAAATCTCGTTTTGACGATCGGCAACAAACAAAATGGCAATGATGCCAAACAAAACAGTTTCCGCCGAAGCAGAGAAAGGAAACATTTCTGAGCAGAGCTGTAGTCTTTTTTTTTGGTTGAGAAGGACTTCAACTCGATAACTTTGAAAATGGTTAAATCCTATAAGAAACCTTTTTAAGTGTATTTAAGGCCAGGTTTTCGCTGTTCAACAAATACTGAGGTCACAATCAACCTGCTTTTTTACTCGAAAGTTTGCCGCATATGTAGTTTCTGGTGCTCTTTTCGAAATAATCAACAGGGACTGGAATAGACATCTTACATGGATTTCTTCGAGTTCAAATTAGGTAATTGGCCTGAAATGGCGTAGGTCGATATTTTGTTGTTAGAAACATACCGGCCAGCGAAATCTTTCACGCCTATTCAGATGCAACGATCAACACAATCTCGTAGGGTTTTGGTCACCATGATCTGAAAGTAAAAAGGGTCACTGACCTTAAAATAACATCAGTGACCTTTTGCTTAGAACAGGTATTTAGGTCCGAGGCGGTTGCAAAAGGAGGTCTAGATGCACTTCGGACGCTAACCTAGAGTCTGACCAAGTTAAACATTATTCGAATCAAAGGTCATGACCTAGGAACCTTACATTCTGACAAAAGTTAGTATACACACGGGCCATCCCACCCTGTGATAAGGTGTCCCTCTTAGGTTTTAAGATCTCAGGTGGGTCTTATGGCACCCATCGCAATCGAGCCAAGGGTACTCAACCGGCCACCGGGGCGCGTGTTAACGGCCGTGACACGCGACGGATTCACCACCGGATTACTGCGGCGTAAAGTCTGGGACAGGGAGCCATTGCCCAGCGAGAACATGGTAGAAGACTGCGGTTAACGTTAGTCGGGACCCTGAGTCAATGAGGGGCTTCCTGTGACGGTCACGGGACCACACTGCCTAAGAAGAAAGGAACTCAGATTCAGCCTAGGCAGTGTTCGAGGGGCCGCAGAGGGGCCCGGATGGCCACTATGACACCGACAATCTTATTCCCCATTGGGGAGCACAAGGGGCTATCCGCAGGTCACATCAAGGACCGCGGTCCGCAGGGAGGTGCCCTCAAGTGCCAGCCAGAGGGTATCTTCCATCGATCGAGAACCCCGAGGACACTCAGGCCCTTTTTGGCCAGAGACCACCGAGATCGAACAGTCGGCTCCGAGTGGATCTAAGCCCCGGGAGCCCATTTCTCTCCCAAATATGACAAGGCCGGGACCCGTGATTTGCACTGGTTCGGACTGCTGGAACAATGAGGATCAATGAGTCGTTCAGGGCCCACAGTACCCAACAAAGAGTTCTGTGTCAGCAAGAGGCCCCCCAGACTCGTCCAGGAAACCATCTGCTGAACAAGGATATAGATGGAACTGCAAGCCTTGAGTTAGTCGAGGCACTCTTACAATGAAAGAGGATATTATAGGAATCTCCAGTGAGACAACGGAAAGACCCTGCGTCAGTCAGGGCTCCAGCACTGACCGGAGTAACCTCCAACCCAATTCCACTCAAGGCTCGCTGGGCCGAAGTGGAGTCTCTGTGCCTATCATTTGACCACCCGCGGCGTTAAGGTGTCCTGTTGCGTCAATGAGGGCTCTCGCACCGGTCCGGGATCAAATACCAGGGTCAAGGTGCCTCCAGCATCCGGCAGACGGCCGATGTATGATTAATAACTCAAAGGGCCTTCGTATCCAACAGCCTCCTCGCCCCGTGCGTCGCCAGCATGTCGACAGGCAGGCATCCCGCGCTGTAGCGAAGTAACCTTAAATCACTGACCAGAAAATAGAATGTGTCCCCAGTGTTCCATTCACCGGACCCCTATCAGGACCTTCTAAGCATTCAAAAAGGCGGACCAAAATGATGTCAAGAAATGACAAACAGGAACATAAAAAAGGCCTGAGCCTGCGTGTTCGCAACCTCAGGGAGAAAAACACTAATGGCCGGATTACAGCTTCCAATTTCCATCAAACGGGGCGACGTTGGCCGCTGCAGCAACACCGGCCAACTGGGGCTAGTGCGCAAGGACAAACGTTGTGAAATAATACTTCCGAAGTTGCTTTCAACATTAACTCCAACCGTTCAAAAATCAAGCTGCGTGTACATTCCATCTGCATAACTTGACTGCCCCCTGAGCAGAAAAGCAGCGACGGCAACACGAAGCAAGAGATTCTACATGCGCTTCCCTAGTTTCGCCAACAAAGTACATCATCAGCTGGCGGTGCAATGAATGTTAATCCATTTCTCTCACAAATCTAAGAACTGCACCAGTAAAACATGCTCCCAAAATATCCTCTAATCGAATGAGCTGCATCTCAAAGCGTTAATACGCGCTTCGGGGGCCCCCAAAGTTTTTCCAAACTGATTTCTGAGTGGCGCGGTGTAGCCGCTCCAAACTATTTTAATAGTAGATAACTGAATAGCAGACATTTTGCCGTAAACAAAACTGGATTTTCCTTGTAAGGTCACCGACCTACGGCACGTCAAAGTCAGGCCATGGTAGTCAGCGAAGGGCGTTTCTAGGGCACCTTTCTATGTGATGCAACAACAGGGTGTTAGACAAAGCCATACCTATCTTAGATAGTTTCTTAGGCCATGAACCAATTTAATTTCGAATTACAGCCATTTCAGTTGACCTAACGCCAGGTAGGTCTGCGGTTTTTAAGGTAACTGTGGTTTAAATCAACATGCTTATTTGCTTGAGAATTTGGATTTGAGGGTTATTTCTGGTGCTCATTTCAAATTTACCAATGACAGGGATCCCAACAGACATGTTCCATGGACTCATTTTAGACCAGAGTAGGTCATTACACTAAAATGACCCAGGTCAACGTTCTGTTTTAAGGAACATACCGTCTAGCGTAATCCCTGACGCTTATCCGAATGGCAAAATAGAAGCAATCTCGTAGGTATTTATTTGGTCACCTTAACCTTATAAAGGTCAATCAAGGTTACTGACGTCATTGACCTTTTGCTGAGAAAAGGTATCTAGCTTCAAAGCGGTTGCATGCGGGGATCTGGGGGCACTTAAGGCATTGATTTGGCATAAAGGTCATGGCCCAGGAGCGTCACATTTTGACATGAGTTCACGTACAGGCCAATATACCCTTTGAATTTAGTTTCTCTATCCATCTTAGTTGTCGAGATCTGGGAAAGGTGTTAAATTGACCTCCCACCCGAGCGAAGGTTATTTAACCCGACTACCCTGGCGCGTGTTAAGGCACCTCTCTCAAAAGATTATCGTTATCGTCCGGCCGTTGGCCGCTGTGTAGTATAAGGCAAAGTTCGACGCCGCGCGGTATACGGAGACTACGACGACTACGACGCCGCGCGGTATACGGAGACTACCACTACGACGCCGTGCGGTATACGGGGACTACGACGACGCGCGGTATACGGAGACTGCGACGCCGCACGTCGTAGTTTTGTTCCAGAACTTGCGAGCGCACATGGCCACATCTATCGCCGCATTTTTTCATTTATTCGATTCTGACCAAAGGTTGACCATTTCCGGAAGAACATGGGCGCTGGTCATGGCAATACATATGTATGACCTCATCTCGATCTACAACCAGGGTTTACTGCCACCTACGTTCTGAAGGCTCTGTACATCCCAGAAAAAATGTAGGCATGCAATTTGTAAGCAAAATTGTAAGCAGATGGCTTCTGGCCTCTGTTTCGGTTAACTATAAATTATGAAAGACAGGGAAGAAAATTGCTCCCATCCAAATCAGTGGGGTCATACCCGGTGTTTTTCTTTGAGTGGAGGAAGATATCCAAAAGAGGGCGCCTTTTCTCATCGCTTTGGAGAGTGGGGTCTGCGTCGAGGCAAGCTGTACAGCCTCCAATACACTGCTCACCTGCAGACAATGTTGGATCCTGTAATCCGTTGTTCATTGTGAATTTCAAACACAGAACGTAACTTTACAGCGTGGCCCGTGCCCACAGAGCTCTGGTTACAGTGAGCACCCCTGTACGATTCTTCTCGCCTGTCGTACTACTGCCCGCTTACCCTCGATCCCATCCCTCAGCTGGCATTGATCTTGATGTAAGGGTAAGACATCGAGGTTTGGCGACCTATATGTCGCAGTCACTGGCTAGCGGCAGGTTGCGCTCCGTGACATTGTTCATAACCCTACCTAATCGGAATAGTTGATGGAATATTTTGATAGATGTATTTCGCAGCCTCTCAAAGACTTGTGGATGCATGTCGGGGACGTATGTGGTAACATGTATAACATGGATGCATGTAGTAACAGACCACAGCCTGTTGCCACCTCTGAACGTAGAGTGAGGTGAGGTTGAGATTGGGGATAACACATATCAAGGGATTTCTCGTACGACAAAAATCATGCAGCTGTCAATTCCTGAGACTTTGGAGGTCCCAGTTATCAGAAAACGGTAACGGGAAACCATGTTACACAACACGCCAGGCCCATGTAGACCCGATCCAACGATGACATCGTCGGCAAATGCAGCTCGGAACGTCATGACCGTTACCCGGTAAGAGGTAAAAGGTACTCGGTAACAGGTCTCATTTTTCTTCCTGGAATAGAAGGCAGCATTTAACGTAAACTCTTTAAAATGTAATAAAAATGACTGGCTATGTTCACGAAATGCCATCTGACCTTGGTCAAAAGCGGAGTACGTTCCAAATTTGACAAAACATTAGGTACACTTTCTATATTGTATGAACTTTTTTTCAAACAACAAAAATGAGCTATCAGGTTTCAGGCCGTTTTCTAAGAACGGCCAGGGCAGGAAATGTATCGAAACTGAAACAGCACAGTACCAGGGACCAACTTTTTCACTAACAACGATCTGCACTTTGGCGAGGTGGGATTAGGGCACAAATATTGAACTGTGCAGCAATTTCGACCTCACCCAATAGTACAATTCTAGTCAACCGTTGCATTGCTTAGGATGCACTAAGCGCTACAGGCTGTGTAGACAAAAAAGAGCAGACCTGAGTCAGGCTGAGCCTTATCTCGGTAGCCCGGCTTCGTGTGACCAGGGCTCAGCTGAAGCCCTGTCAGATGCCGGCTTGTGCTCTTGTCGGGCCCGTCATCCCCACCAATCTGCTGCGCAGTTTCTTGCTGGTCTCACCACTGGCACGGACTTGTGCCCAGCTGGTATACAGCGCTCCTACCAGATGAGGCCAGACGGGGTCACAGCTGGAGCACAGCGTCTGCCCAGACCACGCCAATATCCCAGGCAGGGTCCCAGCTGGAGCGCAGCGCCTGCCCAGGTCACAACAATACTTCGATATTTGCCCGATCTGTGCCCAGCTGGTGCCTAGCTAGACCGTGAGCAGGCTGTGGCCAGGCCGCGATCCCTCGAGAAGTGCCGCAAGGCCATCTGGGGCCGTGCTGGGCATCCTATTGCTACACAGCCAGTCTACCCGTCTGGGGCCCGGCCGGGGCCAATAAAATGCTGGATGGTCCGTGGCTATTGAAAACAAAGAAACCAGTCCTAATATCACAAATGCGGAAAGCGGTACGCCTTTGTTTTGATGCAAGCGTAATCTGGCTAAAACGTCCTTTTCGGGGGATCGGGTACGCTGCACACCACGTGCTGTTCCCTACAGCTTGCCTACAGGTATGCAAAATTTGGTGTGGCTGTGCCGCGCCGTTCGGAAATTGTTCCAAAAATATTTTCGTATGGGAGGTGAAATTGAGAACTCACCCGGGCGCGTGTTAAATGATTATTAAACGCCAGCATTGTGCCGCAGCCGCGCACCATCCCCCTTGCGTTGGCCGTGTGGACCTTCAGCTCGGGAGAGCATTGAACTGAGTCGCGTCAGAGCAACCACTGCTAGTGACGTCAATCCTCAGTCTCCAAAAACACGGATACCCCCCATCCGTGTCAGATGCTGCACATGCGCTTTCGTGGCAACATCATGTGAACGCCATCCCCTGGCGCAGTTCGCAACGTAAACGTACCTAGCGGCGAAGGGCACACGCTATCAGATAAGTGGTTCAGATGCATCGCCACTGCTCAAACGAGATACCCAAAAAACCTGTGACTGCAAAGTTCGTGTTCCACTTCGGGTGTGCACGTGACGAACACACCATGTACTGCCAGTCATGCTGGCGTCGATTGCGGTTGTCAGAAAAAAAAATCCGCTACAGATGTAGGGGTTTTAGCCGACAGCGCTGCACTTAAGGTTTGTCTGACCTAAGTTTCATAGTGCTGGCCACCAAAGGTTTGAATCAGAATGGCATGTGCTGTATTTAATCGTTTCTGCTGGCGTGAACCGGCGAATACGTCGGGCGGCATGTCGTGACGAACACGAACAAAACACGCCATCACCAAACGCCCACTGATCACCGACATCGACAGTATGAGTCGGTGGTGACCAGTCCTCGGGACCGGCAGCACAACGGTGGCCTCACATAGCGTGCCCGGAGGATCACCGGAGGCACGCCTCAGACTATGGTCGAAATGCTCGGTCGTGAGGGGGCGAATGAGCCAAACCAGGAGACACGGAGAGGCGAGGCGACGGACATCCGCTCATCAGTGAATGGTAAGCGCGTCAGTGTTCTGGTTCATCTCCTGCGTCAGCTGCGTCTGCAGGTCACTCAGCTTCTTCTTGAGCTGCGCCAGTCCCGTCATTACGATGTTCTCCGGCTTCAGCGCCGACGTGCTCTCCACGTTGAAGAAGAACTTGTTGGGGCTCGCCCCGTCCTGGTACGGCGCCTCGTCTGCCGGCGCGGGGTCAGCCAGGTGTCAGAGGTCAGAGGAGGCCTTGCCCGGAGCGCCCACACTATGTGGGAACGTTTTACAAAACGGTTCCTCAGCGTCTAAAATGAGAGGGCATCGCGGGGGAGTTCGACAGGATCACATTCCATAGAAGAGGGGGGGGGGGGGGGGCGGCAGAGAAGACCTGTTGCGGACGGTCCAGAGTGGGGAGGAGGGGGGGGGGGGGGCTGGAGAAAACCTGAGTACCACGAGGGAGGCTGCAGGTCAAATGAGTCTTACTTTTCAACTATAAGAAGATCTTAAACTTGAGCGGCCTGCCGTCAAATTTTCTGGCTCATGTCTTTGAAACTACTGATCAAAGGCTCACGAAATTTTCGGCAACCTGAGGCCCCATTCCTATGACTGCTGTATAAATTATTATGCATTTGCACGCAAGCTGTTTGAGCTTGCATGCCAGAAATCGGGCTACTTCTTCTGCAAAACTGCAATATCACCTCAATTCCACCTCCACATCCGATTGAGATTAAAAATGCTCCAGTTTCAAAGTACGATAAACCTCACGCCACAGCTGTAGCGCAGGAACGGTCGCAACGCAATGATTGTTTTACGTAATTTGAGCGAAGCTCGACTGAGCCATGGTGAGCGCAATTGTAGCAATCTCTCGTCGGAAATGAATGAATGACCATCTTATTGGCAAGAGCGCATGAATCGTTATTTTTCGTCTGGCGTCTGAAGACCAGCGGAACACGTCAGATGCCACCGGCGGCTGACACGTGCCGGGCAGAGCCGGCCCCCGCCGCCGCCCGTCCATCGCGACCCGGATGTTGTGCGGCGGCGAGTCCGACCGGGACACGGTCAGCGCAGGCCGGGGTAGGTGACCCGGCGGCGGCCGGGGGCCCCACCACCGCCGCCAGCTCCTATTCACGCCGCCGCCTCCCCTCCCCACTCCCACCCAGCGAAGTGCCCGGCGACCCAACTACCCCGGCTGAGAACATCACGGACCAAGCCGCATCGCCGCCGACGTCGCAGGCGCCTACTCTGACCGGACTGCGACTGCCGCTATCAGTATTCTTACATTTACGGGCTGGGAAAGCTGAGGCCACCCCTTTATCGTCTCTTTTACATTCATTGCCGATCAAGAATGCGGCCAGTTCCGCCGCAGGCCGACTCCGTGTCTGGAAGGGATCCACGTACCGCAGGTGATCCCCGTGACGGCCCGCTGTCGCCAGCATCAGACCACGCGCCACTGCATATAGTGTCGTCTCTTTGTGCAATCTCCCCGTGCAATGCAATCGGCACGCCACATCCAGGGCAGAAGATGCCAGGCAGAACGCGTTTCAGTACATACATTGTAATATAATGCTGGAGATATACTGGATGTGCAATGAAGGATAGAAGTTCGATCTACACTAAGCATTTGACGGCCTACACCTCAAAGCAGCGTGGCACACATGCCACAAAGGTGAATGCATTCGGAGTCAAAGCATGTTATGTCCAGAATGTCTGGAAGAATCTCCTACGAAATCGTACAATGCATTACACTGATAACATGCATCGGCTGTTAGCAAGCAGATCAGCATATTCCATATGCACATGGAAGAACATTTCTAAACGACCCCTGCCTCGAACGCACGGTCTTTCAAGCACACATAGTGCACGGCACTGAGTGAGTCGCTGAGACCGTGAAGCATGACTCGAAAGTCGAAAATTCACGGCGTGCCATGCTTGAACACTTAAGCCCGGTGCACCTTGCGAGTTTGGCTTCTCTGACAACATGACCAATGAATCGGCGCAAGATAATAAAACAACCTTTCTTTTGGTGTCGGGTTCAGAGACATTGGAGTGGTAGAATCCAGTTTACCACCCTGAGAAGCGAGCCTTCAGCACGTGAGCCCGGTACGGACTATGGAACCGTAGGAAAAGTAGGCCGCGGGGCGATTGCGTTACCAACGTACTTCGATGGGGGCGTCCACACCTACGCCGACTTCCACGACCAACCATTCCCACTCCGCCCGACGACCAGTGCCTCCCTCCCCCTCCCCCTCTCCGACTCCCCGGCGGAGGACGCCGATCGGTGCCACTCACGTAGACTCTCGTCCACCTCGGTGTGCTCCGACTTGGGCCACTCCTCGGGCTTGGGCAGCAGCGTGTGGCGCAGCGCGTTGTCCGGATCGTACTCAAACGCCACGCCGCTGGTCGGGTTCCACTTGGCGTGCTCCTTGCCGAAGCCCTTACGGGCGTAAGCCCGCAGCTTCAGCTCCTGGCCCTTCCGCAGCTTCACGATCACGATCTCTGCCGGCGCGCGGGCGTCATCATGATAAATATGTGAGCTGCGGAAGGCCAGTCCGCCTCCGCCTTGTCCGCCAGTCCGCGGGCCGCCTCAGCCGCTTGCTTTGAAGCGGATGGTCAGGTGCGGGTGAGGCCTGGGGCATTGGAGGCGTGAAAGGTGCGCTACACCTCGCCATTCAGATGCAAGGGGACTGAAATGGGCTTGATTTGCGATATGAGCCTGCGCACGAAAAAATAAATAAGTGCTCATTCAGAACACTGAAGTGGCGCCACAGGCTGCAGCGTCTGAAATTCAATTCAGTTCAAACATCGCGCAGCGGCTACGCTCATGCTGTGAGCGACAGCATCAGTTGCTACATAGGGTTGCTCGCATTGGAACGTTAGTATCCATCGAGTTGGCAAAGAACGAACCCGATAATTTTGGCACGCCCCCCAGGCTGCGCGGTTTGTGGGGTTATGAACAGACGAGTACACCACCTAACTCCGTGTACTGTCCGCGTCCGGACGGCAGCTGGCTCGAGCGACTCCCCGCAGTCCGCGACCGCCCCAATTATCATGACACTCTTGACACCACCCCAATCCTCGCCTCGGCACCACGCCAGCACAGCATCTAAGTCCAAGTAATCTATACAGTCTCGCCCGTGCCATTATTGCATCTGGCGTCCGGTTGCCACTGTTTGACGTTACGAAAACCGCCCCACCGGCAAGGATATTTTCTTCAAAACAGCCTGCTTAGCTCTGCAAGCCTAGTGCTTTGCCAAAGACAGAAATAAATAAGTAATACGTCAGCATGTCTAATTATGATATGACAAGAATAACCAGAGAACATGTTGACCAAATCACATCTGCAAGGCTGATACAAATCCGAGACATACCGCTCAAGGTGAGCCAATCTCTTGCTTACACAAATATACGCTTCAAGGTCTATACCGTAATCGTCTCCCGAAACATCAAGCATGTAATACCTACGTAGGGAAGCAATCCGCCAGTTTTATTGCCAATCATCGCTGTGGCACGGGATGGTGCCCCTGAAATGCTTGAGATCACAACCCGCATCATCTGAAAACCGCGCTTTGTCCTTTGCCTTGCAGTATCTCTCTTCAATTTCGTAAAGGTATCAGATGTGCTAAAATGCTCCCACACTGCTGCCGAGCTATATCTGCGAACCAAAAATTCTTACACTGCTCTTTGTGAGTCACCACGAACGACAGTCATATGTGGTGAGCTTAGATCGTGTCATCTTAGAAGATGGATATGAAACGCCTTCTCATGACCGGAGCGAGCAAAACCGCAAATCAACAAACTATCAAAAGCTCTTGCGGAACGGTGCAAAGATAATGAATTTTGACACGGAAACGACGAATTACCCACAACAAAGAAACATGGAAGTCAAACGTGAAGGGTGCGAAAATGGCTTGCGGGCAGCTGTATGGAGCAAAGGTCTGTAAGAAATTTTAACGGTTGGAAACATCTGAACTGGTTCAGGGTTTCCAGGCGCAGTTAAGGGCATGGGCTTGTTAAAAGTTGACGCAGCATAAAAGCTTATTTGAAATTGGACTGACGACTCCGCTCGTCATTTTTCTTTGTTATGCTGATATGCACGATTTAGGCGCGGAGTATGACACATACACTATTACTGCAAGGTACCTTTTTGCTCCACATAGTTATCTGCAATATTCGTTTGTATGAGTCTCCACTGCAGTGCATTTACTCAGAATACGTATATTTTGATCACTATCATTCCGGGAAAGACACCGTATTTCAGGACCTTCCCTTTGGGCATTGCTCTGCTGCCTTTGATTATGCTATGTTCAGTCACTACGGCTTAATATTTACGGTGAACGGTACCAATTTCGCTGGGAACATATCCGTTTACGCAGGGATAGGGTGGTGATTATTACCAGAATGTCACTTCCCCCGACTCCTCCCCCACTGTGTCATTCTCCGCCTCCGTAGACACAGCCCTTGGCTTTGTGGTCTTCCGCTGCCCCCCCCCCCAATGCCCGCAGCACACCAGTTATACTGCCTAGTCCCCTATCCGTACATTCCGCGTCCTCACCCATATTGTAACATTCTTGCACTTCAAGTACATATTGATACAGCTTACATCTATGCTGTCCATTTGCCACAGGTACGCATACCGTCGTTTCCGTCGGGGCCGTGTACACTGGTCCAAGATCCGGTGGCGCCCTGTCCCCACTATCAGACAGCGTAGGGCTGCCACACTGCCCCAGCCCTGACCGCCGGCAGATCCCAAGCGCCCACCCACTGCCTTCCGCGGCCGCACCATCCAAATTCCCGCAGTGCTCGTGCCTGACCCGCTCCAGCTCCTGCCGTGGCCAGTGCCCGCACTGTCCCACTGCGGCAGAAGGCCGTGCCGCGGCCGCCGCGCCTCGCCGCGCTCCGTCCGTACCGTCCGAGTCGCCATAGTCGGCGCCGTCCTCGTCGCGCCGCGAGGTGGCCGGCATCACGCGACTGTCGGACGACTTGAGGTCGGCCGTCGTCACGTGCAACGTCTGGCCCTCGTTGCACTTGACGTCCAGCGTGAACTCGACGCTGCACTGCGGACAAAAGTCCGGACACGTGCAGTCCTGCCGGCAGCAGAGCACAACGGTCAGTTAAAATCACCGGGCCGGCTAGGCCGGTCAGGTCAGCGGACCGGTCAGATCAGCGGCCCGGTCAGGTCAATGAGTCGGTCAGCTCTCAGGCCAGACCACCGGGCCGGTCACAGCCATGGCACCTATGAACGAAAGGTATATTCAGACGCCAGCTATGGTCTGTGGCATCGCCAGGGCGCGTCACCTATAATACACTTACTGCCGTAGCATGTAAGACATTCCACTCTCCAACTCATCCAGGTGCATGACAAAAACGCAGGCCATCAGAGCTCGCGTCAAAGCATCGTGGGACAGCGAGGTGTGAACGCGTCATTGTGCTAAAATGGCAGCGATGCGGTTTGACTCTACGCTCCGGAGCTGACTGGGATCGCCATTCCGACGTGTCTCCGAACAGCCGACGAGATTCGGAACTACGACATCCACTGGGCCTGCACACACAACTGATCCCGGGGCACAAACGACTCCGGGGTACTGGGAATGGCCGTTGGAGTATAGGACGTTGGCTTAGACCTCGTGTCCGTCTCCAACCCACCGAAGACATCTCTGAGGTCAAGGACTCGGCAGCAGCACCCCCGACCCCAGGACACCCCACTGCCTCAGCACCGAAACTGACCCCTGAAGAACGGTCTCACCCGTCACATCGCTCGTTCTTCTCCGACCCCACCACTGACCCCGCTCACTCCGCACCACCACCACGATGAACCCTATTCCGTCACGAATCCAAAGGCACCGCCACCGATGGCGTATTCAAAGGCACACGCCCCCTCCCTCTTCTCGGATTTGACGCTTAATATACCTAAGAGTAAATCTCGACAGTACAGAATCGAGGCACACGCGTAAAATGACCCAATTTGAAGCAAGCAGTGTGGTTATGCGTCAAACGAGAAACTGAGAGCGCCTGAGACGCGCTAAAAAGAGGTTCGCAGTCAGGAAAGTGGAGCTGTGTCTCCCGCAATTGCGAAATCCTGTACACGTCCCTGATCGCTTCTGACTGCCGGGTACCACCACTGACCTAGAAGCACCACCGCTGACACGGGAGCCCCGACCCTGTTTCCGGAGCACCGCCACTGACCGCGAGCACGGCCGCTCACGCGGGAGCACCCGCACCAGGTGCGGCCACTCACCCGGGAGTACTGCATCCTGTCGACCACCTCGTCAGAGGTGAGCGGGATCATACCGATCCGGTGCGCCAGGAACTCGTCACACAGCACAGTGGAGTTGGCCTCCAGCTGCACCCAGTCGATGGCCAGCGTCGGCACCTCAGCGATCATCACACGCCGGATACTGTTGGCCACGCTGAGGAGAGGAAAGGGGGTGATCATCACACGTCAAGTGCTGTTGGCCACGATGCGGAGAGGGAAGGGGATGATCATCGCACGCCAAGTGCTGTTGGCCACGATGCGGAGAGGGAAGGGGGGTGATCATCACACACCAGGTGCTGTTGGCCACGCTGCGGAGAACGAAGAGGGCGACCATCACACGTCAGGTAGTTGGCCACACTGCAACAGGCCAGCGACCTTTATACATTGGACGTAGATGGGAGGGAAGGGAAGGGACGATCATCATACGCCAGGTGCTGTTGGCCACGCTGCGCAGAGGAGAGGGGGTGATTTTTACACGGCGGGTGCTGTTGGCCACGCTACAACAGGCAGCAATCAACATATACGCATATATATAAGCGCATATATGTATGCTAATGCATCCAAGCGCGCTTTATGCTACATATCATGATTGGTGGTCTTTCGTCAAGACAGTTCGACAAATGTGGGGCGGATAAGATGTGATCCTGGGCATGCCGGCGGGTGCACTACGTGTGGCGCCACACCTTACTAACCTGATGGGGTCAGTTAAGGCTTACAGGGATGAAGGTGATGCCAGCGAAAGTGGCACGCCGAGGACAGCGAGCTTCCGAAAGCATCCGAGATGATAAGGGCCCTTTTCAGAAAGGTCAGTATGGTAACATGTTTACGAATATCAGAACATGTTTCACAAAATTCGGCAGAAATATTGTCCACGAAATCCACACGAGCGTCTAAGCCAGCAGATATTTCACACACGACTTGTTTGAAAAGTGAAAATGATGATGATCTGGGCTTTAGGGCGCGCCAACTACCCCGGACATATGGTGCCCATTGCTTACACCTATTTTAACACGTGATACAGACAGATACAGATAGATGATGACTTAACAGATGATGACAGCATGAAGATGCTAGTCTCACATATGACATGAAATTTTACGTCTTCAAGAAATTTAAAAAATGTCCATCCTATACCAAACTCGAGTCATCTCTCAACATGCCAGGGAGCGTCTGGGGCACGGACCCTGGTCCAAAATGGCGCTCCGAAGCGAAGTGGGCACAATCTATCCAAATATGCCGTGCGGTGTAACAATCCGCACAGCGAGGACATCGCGGTTGGTCTTCCCCACAGAACAGGTACCGGTAAAGTGCACGTGTGCGTGTGCTATTCTCAGGCGGCATAGTATCACTTCATCCCACCTCACCTGACAACAGCTGGACGCACATAGTCTTAGTCGGGACATTATCCCCCTCAGTTGGTTAGCAGCATGCCAATGCGCTTGCTACTGTTTGTACAAAAAATGCAGTTAATCCTGCATGCATTGTTTGCAAAAGTAAGATGTTTGTTTGATTCTGTGAGAAATGAGAAACGAGAAAAGCTTCATCAAACCCTTTCTCACAGCACGCATTCACCAAAACGGCTCCTACCCGTCTTCAGTATGTTAAATGGTCGAAAATTAGTCAATAATGTTATATCCGAATTATGACAGCCCGACACAGAGATTTAGCTCAATGGACTGGACACAAACGATACGCTCAGGCGCACCGAGGGATAAAACCAGGTAACAAAAAACTAACAGATGTATAATCGCGACATCATGCGTACTGCACAAGACCTGATTTGTTAGAACCTCTCAACCTGTTAAGGCTGTTTATAAGTTATATCCATACGTCATTGTAGCGTGCCACACCCGGATGTTCTGCACGCACTGATCTTCACATCCCCGATCCCGACGGTCTTCACAACCCCGAGCCCGACGATCTTCACATCCCTGGGCCCGACAATCTTATCCCCGAGCCCGACGATTTTCATATCCCTGAACCCGACGATCTTCACATCCCTGAACCCGACGATCTTATCTCCGAGCCCGACGATCTTCACATCCCTGAACCCGACTATCTTAACATTCCCGAGCCCGACGACCGGAATATTCGGCGCTTACGACCAGAACGCTCCTCACGCCGCGCTTCAGATGCCTCGTCAGACGGAGAGCGCTCCAGGTGCCCGACATTGCGCCAGCGGATGCGACTGAGCACAATAGAGCAGGTCAACGGACCCAGCTCATCACAACAGCGGCGCCGTCGGCGTCGGCGGCGGCGGCGTCGGCGGCGGCGGCGGCGGCTAAGCAACACTCTTACGTCAGGTCCGGCCGAGGCCGGGACGCCACATCCGGCAGAGTTGCCGCACTGAGGTCTGACCGGGCGGCAGTGTCCAGCCGGTGCGCCAGTCGTTCGACCGACGGCCGCAGCAGCGCCACACCATGCCGCCTGCCCGCTGGCTGGCCGCCGGCCTGCTGCTGCTGACAGGCCTGGCCGCCACCGCCGCCGCCGCCGCCGCCGGTCGCAGCGTCGACTGCAAGCGCTTTGTGTCGCGCTTCTGTGCCAGCCGCTTCTGCCGGCTCCACGGCTCCGTGGCGCGCGAGTGCTGCCGCTGCCACGGGCTCTGCTGCACCGGCGGCGCTGGGAACGGTGAGTATTGCTGCGCCAACGGCGCTTAATGGCGCATCACTCCGCCGCGCTGGCCCGTTGATAGCGCTCACCGGCGCGTCAGGTCGGCAGTGGCTAACGGCGCATCACTCCGCCGCGCTGTCCCGCTGATAGCGCTTACCGGCGCGTCAGTTCGGAAGTGGCTAACGGCGCATCACTCCGCCGCGCTGTCCCGCTGATAGCGCTCACCGGCGCGTCAGTTCGGCAGTAGCTAACAGGATAGGTTGCGCGGGATAGGCGGCAGCTATTTTAACGGATATCAAATGCGCGTTGGACATCGTGACAGATGCACGTAATGCACGAATAGCGGGATTTACGTTGCCGCAACAAAAAACGCATCATCAGACCAAAATAACCGCAGTTGCGCGTACTCCTAGCATTACGATACTAATTTCGTGGATTTCCCATCACGGTACAATTCTCAGAATAAGCAGACCCATTGTTCGGTATGAGCCGACTGTGTGCCGCTGTCGACAGCTGACCATCGATCCGCCGGCCGGACTGGGAGGGCAGCCTGCACGGACGGCGCCGGCCGCGCCCGAGGCCCACTCGAGCGCTGGCCAGACGACCCCAAACACCCGTGCCGCTGGTACAGCTGCGTGGACGGCCGGCCGCTGCTGCAGCTCGACATCCGCGCCGGCTGTAGGGATCCCCCGGAAGGCTACACATGTGTCTCGAGTAGGCGCATCAACCACTGCTGCACCGACTACAACTGCACCCGCACTGTCCACAGCGGCCGCGACAGAGTCTTTATCGACGGAGGAGTCCACATCAGTGGAGGAGTCATCACTAGCGGCATCGAAGCTAGCAACGGTGGGGGAGCAGGTAACAGCCACGGAGGGACAGAAAGCAGCGGTGGAGCCGGAGGCAGCGGGGGAGGTGGAGACAACCAAAGCGGAGGACCCTTCGTCGGTGGAGGAAGCACATGGATTTCCACAGGTAATGGACTTGAATTTCACACCAGCGATGGCATCGGTGGGGGAGTCATCACTAGCGGCAGCGGAGGTAGCAACGGTGAGGGAGCAGGTAGCAGCAATGGAGGAGCGGGTAGCGACAGCGGAGGAGTCAGCGGGGGAGGTGGCGGCAGCCACGGCGGAGGGATCGATCTGACTGGGAGGGCGGCCTGCACGGACGCCGCCGGCCGCGCCCGAGGCCCACTCGAGCGCTGGCCAGACGACCCCAAACACCCGTGCCGCTGGTACAGCTGCGTGGACGGCCGGCCGCTGCTGCAGCTCGACATCCGCGCCGGCTGTAGGGATCCCCCGGAAGGCTACACATGTGTCTCGAGTAGGCGCATCAACCACTGCTGCACCGACTACAACTGCACCCGCACTGTCCACAGCGGCCGCGACAGAGTCTTTATCGACGGAGGAGTCCACATCAGTGGAGGAGTCATCACTAGCGGCATCGGAGCTAGCAACAGTGGGGGAGCAGGTAACAGCCACGGAGGGACAGAAAGCAGCGGTGGAGCCGGAGGCAGCGGGGGAGGTGGAGACAGCCAAAGCGGAGGACCCTTCGTCGGTGGAGGAAGCACATGGATTTCCACCGGCAATGGACTTGAATTTCACACCAGCGATGGCATCGGTGGGGGAGTCATCACCAGCGGCAGCGGAGGTAGCAACGGTGAGGGAGCAGGTAGCAGCAATGGAGGAGCGGGTAGCGACAGCGGAGGAGTCAGCGGGGGAGGTGGCGGCAGCCACGGCGGAGGGATCGATCTGACTGGGAGGGCGGCCTGCACGGACGCCGCCGGCCGCGCCCGAGGCCCACTCGAGCGCTGGCCAGACGACCCCAAACACCCGTGCCGCTGGTACAGCTGCGTGGACGGCCGGCCGCTGCTGCAGCTCGACATCCGCGCCGGCTGTAGGGATCCCCCGGAAGGCTACACATGTGTCTCGAGTAGGCGCATCAACCACTGCTGCACCGACTACAACTGCACCCGCACTGTCCACAGCGGCCGCGACAGAGTCTTTATCGACGGAGGAGTCCACATCAGTGGAGGAGTCATCACTAGCGGCATCGAAGCTAGCAACGGTGGGGGAGCAGGTAACAGCCACGGAGGGACAGAAAGCAGCGGTGGAGCCGGAGGCAGCGGGGGAGGTGGAGACAACCAAAGCGGAGGACCCTTCGTCGGTGGAGGAAGCACATGGATTTCCACAGGTAATGGACTTGAATTTCACACCAGCGATGGCATCGGTGGGGGAGTCATCACTAGCGGCAGCGGAGGTAGCAACGGTGAGGGAGCAGGTAGCAGCAATGGAGGAGCGGGTAGCGACAGCGGAGGAGTCAGCGGGGGAGGTGGCGGCAGCCACGGCGGAGGGATCGATCTGACTGGGAGGGCGGCCTGCACGGACGCCGCCGGCCGCGCCCGAGGCCCACTCGAGCGCTGGCCAGACGACCCCAAACACCCGTGCCGCTGGTACAGCTGCGTGGACGGCCGGCCGCTGCTGCAGCTCGACATCCGCGCCGGCTGTAGGGATCCCCCGGAAGGCTACACATGTGTCTCGAGTAGGCGCATCAACCACTGCTGCACCGACTACAACTGCACCCGCACTGTCCACAGCGGCCGCGACAGAGTCTTTATCGACGGAGGAGTCCACATCAGTGGAGGAGTCATCACTAGCGGCATCGGAGCTAGCAACGGTGGGGGAGCAGGTAACAGCCACGGAGGGACAGAAAGCAGCGGTGGAGCCGGAGGCAGCGGGGGAGGTGGAGACAGCCAAAGCGGAGGACCCTTCGTCGGTGGAGGAAGCACATGGATTTCCACCGGCAATGGACTTGAATTTCACACCAGCGATGGCATCGGTGGGGGAGTCATCACTAGCGGCAGCGGAGGTAGCAACGGTGAGGGAGCAGGTAGCAGCAATGGAGGAGCGGGTAGCGACAGCGGAGGAGTCAGCGGGGGAGGTGGCGGCAGCCACGGCGGAGGGATCGATCTGACTGGGAGGGCGGCCTGCACGGACGCCGCCGGCCGCGCCCGAGGCCCACTCGAGCGCTGGCCAGACGACCCCAAACACCCGTGCCGCTGGTACAGCTGCGTGGACGGCCGGCCGCTGCTGCAGCTCGACATCCGCGCCGGCTGTAGGGATCCCCCGGAAGGCTACACATGTGTCTCGAGTAGGCGCATCAACCACTGCTGCACCGACTACAACTGCACCCGCACTGTCCACAGCGGCCGCGACAGAGTCTTCATCGGTGGAGGAGTCCACATCAGTGGAGGAGTCATCATTAGCGGCATCGGAGCTAGCAATGGTGGGGGAGCAGGTAACAGCCATGGAGGGACAGAAAGCAGCGGTGGAGCCGGAGGCAGCGGGGGAGGTGGAGACAGCCAAAGCGGAGGACCCTTCGTCGGTGGAGGAAGCACGTGGATTTCCACCGGCAATGGATTTGAATTTCACACCAGCGATGGCATCGGTGGGGGAGTCATCACTAGCGGCAGCGGAGGTAGCAACAGTGAGGGAGCAGGTAGCAGCAATGGAGGAGCGGGTAGCGACAGCGGAGGAGTCAGCGGGGGAGGTGGCGGCAGCCACGGCGGAGGGATCGATCAGACTGGGAGGGCTGCCTGCACGGACGCCGCCGGCCGCGCCCGAGGCCCACTCGAGCGCTGGCCAGACGACCCCAAACACCCGTGCCGCTGGTACAGCTGCGTGGACGGCCGGCCGATGCTGCAGCTCGACATCCGCGCCGGCTGTAGGGATCCCCCGGAAGGCTACACATGTGTCTCGAGTAGGCGCATCAACCACTGCTGCATCGACTACAACTGCACCCGCACCGTCCACAGCGGCAGCGACAGAGTCTTCATCGTTGGAGGAGTGCACATAAGTGGAGGAGTCATCACTAGCGGTAGCGGAGGTAGCAACGGTGCAGGTAGCAGCAATGGAGGAACGGGTAGTGGCGGCGAATCCGGAGACAGCGGGGGAGGTGGAGGCAGCCACAGCGGAGGAGGACCCTTCGTCGGTGGAGGAAGCAATTGGATTTCCACCGGCAGTGGATTTGAATTTCACACCAGCGATGGCATCGGTGGGGGAGTCATCACTAGCGGCAGCGGGGGTAGCAACAGTGGGGGAGCAGGTAGCAGCAATGGAGGAGCGGGTAGCGGCGGCGGAGCAGGAAGCAGTGGAGGAGGTGGAGGCAGCCATAACGGAGGAGGAGGACCCGGCAGCGGCAGCGGACACAGCGGAGACGGCGACGGCGTTGGGACGGGTGATGCACCCGACAACGGCCGAGACGCAGCCGTCGGCATCTGTGTGGACGGCACCGGTGTTGTCAGGTACTACGGCTCCACCTGGACCAGCGCCGACGGCTGCACGCACTACGTCTGCGACAATGGCCACATCTCCATGGCCCTCGTTGACTGTGCGCCGCTTCCGGGTCACCCTTGCGTGCCGGTACCGGTGCCGGGACGGTGCTGTCCGCGGTACGACTGCAGTAACGATCCACCACCCAATCAAGGTGCGCAGTGGCTTCGCAAAGCCGCATCTCGGCTGTGGTCGGACGGGTGTTACGACGGCCGTCTATTGCCATCAACCTACCGCAAACAACTGATTATACTACTTCAGTATTTGCAGGTTCACGTCTGATGACATAGCATTTCAAACTATCGAATCACAGGGCAACGAATTCGGTTCAAATCACTTCCTGGCATTTTTTTCGTGGATTCTAGGAATCACAGTCTGTACACCTGCCGACAGTGCCAGCATACACCAACTGCTTTCCCCGACAGACTGCGAGTGTGCTCGCGTGGATGTCCGTACGAATGAATTCTGCACATTCCCATAGACCTCAGGAAAACTGCACAGGTCACCGTGGTTCTTACAGATGCATGTCCACCATTCACCGCTCAAACACAGGCAATGCTGGACGTCATTCCTTGTACTCTGTCGACAGACTGTGTGGACGGCACAGGCCAGGTAAGAGCGCACGGCTCCACCTGGACCAGCGCTGGCGGCTGCACACAGCACGCCTGCTACAACGGCCACGTCGCCACCGCCACAGTTGACTGTGCTCCGTCTCCTGGTTCTTACTGCGTGCCAGTGCCGGTGCCCGGCCAGTGCTGCCCGATCTACATCTGCGACAGCACAAGTGAGGCTGAACACATGTACCACAACAGGGTGGCCAGTGTCCAACAAGCTCAGTTGTTCGGGCTGAAAGGAAACCGTTCCGAATCTTCACCAATGATATGAAAACTGCCAGTTATGCTTCTTTTGCCTGGCTGGGATTTTACTACCCGGAAGAAACTCTCCCAGCTGGTAAACGCTCAGTGCCAGTGGTTTCCACGCGAGCGCCGATGAGCGCTGACACCAAGTGTCTCAGTTGGCCACTGAAAACCGGGGACCGAATCCGTACAAAATAAATCGAAATTGTAGAAAACCGTCGAGCTCAGAATTGCACCAATTTCTTATTCCATATTCCGGAACTTTTCAGGTTTGACCTCATGGTTTTGTGACCTGAGGTTGCCTGACATGATAGCATGAGATAGCATGAGGACAGTAAAAAACGCATGTTCTACCAACATTTGAATCTTATTAACAGGCCACACATGGCGATAAAAGACGACAGGTCTAAATCTGGATGGGTCCTTTCTCGAGATTCCACTTAAAAGGACGATATTGATGAGCCGCTATGGCGTTCCTTCACCCATCGACAATAATGATAGCAAATCAACCACCTCATCTCTCCAACTTTTACGAAAATGAGTTTAAACGAATATCGTACGCTCTGAACCTTGCAAATGGTGCAATTTTGGCTCCTTTCAGTCATCCCTGCGCCAGGATCCAACGATGACAACCGATCATCCCGCAGACAGTGTGAAAACGGTTTTTGACGTCTGATTCAAACCACATTTGAAAAAGTGCATCAGTGGCATCAATAAGCATTTGAGAGATATAATCACTTGAGTATTCCATCCGACAGTCTTGTCACCAAATCTGGCTGTTTTGAGTTCCTGAAGACATCACAGTAACTGGTTTAGAATCAAAGGACGTGAGTTTCGACGTGACTATCAGCCCTCTGTTAAGAGTGTATCCAAATGAAGGGGCGCAGGTGCTGACGGAGTATGGAGATTAACGGCAGAATAAATTGCCTGAAGTCCAGCAACAGATAAACGCTAAAAAGCGTCCTTACCATCGACCTCCGGTATTCTGCATATTAGGGACATCAAAGCTATAAATCGACCAAAGTAGCGCGTCAATGAGTCACGCTTCGGTCACGTGCCCGTACCTCCCTCCTTTAGATAAATGCATACGCCTATGGCACCTGTCCAGACATGCTATGTGGCCGCGGAACTTCATTTGTAACACCTAACACACACGGCAACGATGTGGTCGACAAAACATTTCCTGAGCGTTCAACCTTAATTTTCCAGCAAACCAATACGTACCCCTGGCTCTACCTGTCAAAAGTTCGGCTTACATCTTTTCTGACGACGAAGTAAAGCACCATCCCACTAACTCCAAATACACCTAAATTGACACCCATCTTGAACATTTATGTGTACCATCCTCTTTACATCGGCTGGATGCACGAATGACTGTTAAATGTTGATATGTCACATAACATAGGTCCGTTTCAAATTCATAGATATATTGGTCCCCTTCCGTCGCATCGAAATCGGTCGATAAGTGACATGTTTTCGTCGGGGAGATCGAACGGCGCTTAATTTCTCACAACCATTCCAGTACTTCCCGGGTCCCACGGCGGAAGCTGTAATTTGCTTCACGGACCATTGCCACGCAAACAAAGCCGTACAGAATGAACGCATTTGCACGTAGCAGCTCTCATTTCTTGGCAATTGAAATTAAAGGGATTCGTCTACGCTGCCTGCCACTTGTAGCATTTAAGTCACCTGTAACCTTTTGTCGGCAATCATACCGTAATAAACAATCAAAGCGTGGGTCGCCATGGTTTAAAATAACTGTCCAAGGCACATCGAAAGGAGGAGAAAAAACATTTGCACAGGTACAACTTTCACGAGTGTCAACACCAATTACCAGTTTTTAAAGTCCCGGGGCATAAAACTACCCCAGATCCTTGTAAGCAAATCCACCATTGCGTTGACCATCAGCACTTCTCTCGACAGACTGTGTGGACGGAACCGGCCAAGTCAGACCGCACGGCTCCACCTGGACTAGCGCTGACGGCTGCACACACTACACCTGCGACAACGGCCACATCTCCACCACCACAGTTGACTGCGCGCCGCCTCCTGGTCCTAACTGCGTGCCAGTGCCGGTATCAGGACAGTGCTGTCCCAGCTACAACTGCAGCGACAGCAGCCTGGCACCATGCACGCACGCCGGCAGGACGTACCCGGACGGCGTGCAGTTCCCCGACGACGAGGACCACCCGTGCTCGGTGCTCGAGTGTGACGACGGCACGGTGCGCGTGGTGCTGCCGCCGCCCCAGTGTGCGACGCTCACGTGCGTCGATCCCCAGCAGGCGCCAGGCCAGTGCTGCCCTGTGTGTCCCGCAGGTGAGGACCGGCTGGTGTTTATGGTGTCCTGCAGGTGAGAGCCGGTTTGCGTTGCCTGCAATGTCCCGCATGTGAGAGCAGGATGGCATTGTCCCGCAGGTGAGGACCGCAAGGTGTTGTCTGTTTTATCCAGGAAATGACGGCTGTTCAGTGTTGCCTCTACTGTCTCGCGATATATTGGGTGCTGTCCGGAGTGTCCCAAAGAAAACTTGCATGATATATGCCGTAGGAGTTTTCTGAATGCACAGATACCACCATGGGTTGCTACCTTGTCGTGCTTTAGTACCCCGCGGACAAAATGTCGGCATTCCATAGCTAAAATGTAGTTTCCAGCCTTTACCTGGTACACGGACCTGCGGTAAACCCTACACTACAAGATATTATGTACGAGATATACTACGAAATAAGATATTTCGAAGACTACAAACTTCCAAAAGCCTGCAAGACAATCGCCAATCTTGTGCAGCGGCATGCAATGCTGCAGTGCCACCTAGACCTCTGTAAACAAACAGACCAGACAGCCGGCAAGCGACCCGTTTGTCGACAGACTGTGTGGACAACACCGGCCAGGTCAGGCCGCACGGCTCCACCTGGACCAGCGCTCACGGCTGTACACACTACGCCTGCTACAACGGCCACATCTCCAACGCCACAGTTGACTGTCTGCCGTCTCCTGGTCCCAATTGCGTGCCCGTATCGGTGTCAGGAGAGTGCTGCCCCCACTACAACTGCGACAACTCACGTGAGGCATGGCCTACTGCCGGTTTACGAAGGTTCCATTTAAAACAGTGGAGGCCCGCCACTTCTTTTCACGAAGTCTTATGGGGCGGAAAAAACAAACTGGTACTGAGTTACCAACAGCAGCTAACACACAGGTTAAGGTCCCTCCATTTCTTTCCGCTGAGTCTTCTAGACAGGAAAAAACATTCAGCAGCGGGTAAAAAAATCTCAGTAAATGTCACGAACGTTTTTCCATGGAGTAGCCTGGCAACCAAAAACAAAAAAGCAAAATTTTATTTTGCGTGCTTTAATGCCTATTTAATGTAAACCAGATATTTCGTTTGGAAGCTTCGACTTTAGGGAGCTAAGCCCCGTACCTTTCTTTTGACAGAGTGTGTGGACGGCACCGGCCAAATCAGACCACACGGATCTACCTGGACCAACGCTGACGGCTGCACACACTACGCCTGCGACAACGGCAACATATCCACCGCCATAGTTGACTGCGCTCCGCCTCCTGGTTCTTCTAACTGCGTGCCAGTACCGGTACCGGGACGGTGCTGCCCCCGCTACAACTGCGACAACTCACGTGAGCCGAAGCCTGCTACCGACTTAGAAAAAGTTCCATCAAGATTGGTGACGGCTATTCGGTTCTCAGTTACGCGGCCAGTAAGCCTACCCAGTTTTGACCAGTTCGTGGCTAATGCAAAATAACTAATTTAGGCTGCAATACTTAGTTTTGCTCCATATGTGAGGTAAAACATGCATCTCATTTCTCTAATCTGAATCAAATTGGTCTAAGTGTATCACTCGGTCCCAACCACAACTAGAACTTTCCAAGATATCTTAGAGTTAAGTCTCTAAGTCTCCAAGATATCAAGTGAAAAAATAACAGATAAGCATTCACGAAGCCCTCGCTGGGGCGTGTCATTGTAAATAGAGGTTAACGGCTTGGACGTGTGTAATTCCAAATACGCAGCTCGCACCCGTGGCGAGCACTTTGAACAGCGCCCAAACCTCCCTGGCGCGCTAGCAGCAGCCTGCGGCAACCCTGGGGACCGGCAATTCGTCGGCTAGCTTGAGGCCAGCCTTGCTCCTATGCCACGGATTGAGAACTTTCCCTTCCTTATACTTCATCAAAGGATAACAAAACATGTTTTCTTTGTTTACCGTCCCGTGACCTTTTGTGTAGAAAATGGGCAGAATCTCTATATCTTCTCTATATTACTAAAGGAACAGTGTGTGTGTGCACGCCATTTGAGTTGTCTCACCTACAGGCCAAGCGGTCAGGAATTTTTTTTCTCATGACGTTTGCACGCGACCAATGTCTGTTGGCGGTGCCTGTCTGTGTCGCGTCCAGATTCTACATTTCGCAAAAATGAGCGCGTGTCGAGCGAAAAACGAGTGCAAAAATCCCGATAGGTTTAACACGAGCGACGCCAATTCAGCGATTCCGGCCCACGGTCCGACACACTCCGATTCCCGGAGCTGTATCTCGACAACAAAGGCTCGCAGAGACATGAAACTTAAACAGTGCGATAGAGTATGGAATGGGCCATCGCACTGGTGTGTTTTTTTTTTTCGCCACGTGACACGTGCAAACGTGTTGGAAAGATAAAATCTGCCGTTTTTGATGGGTTTTTACGTTTACGGTTATATCTCGGCACGCAAAGCGCGTAGAAGCCTGAATTTTGTTCCCTAACGTTCACAATTGAAACAGCTTTACTTTCAGCTGCATCGCAAGTTTGTGCAACGCACCGTTACGCTGCAAATTGCAATGCAATTTGCAACGGGCCGAGGTTTAAAAGTCGGCGCAGAATACATGCCGTTACCGTCAAAACTATGCGTGATTTAGCGTTGAAAACTACATCAGCGTATTGGCCAATTCATCCTGTCTCTTATGCACCATTTTGTTAACCACATTTTAAAAAAATATGGCTCGCAAATGAGCCTGGACTAAGTGGTTGCATGGCGGCTTTTTCGCCGCGACGACAAATTACAGCCCGGCTCCCGGCGTACACCTTGCGTTAAAGGTCGAAGTGGCCTTTCGCGCCGCTGGCTTTCGACTTTGTTCATTTCGCCGGCCTTTCTCCAAAACAAGAATTCTGGCGCTCCATCAGTCTATCCGGCTATAAGCCGGTGGGCGGGAAATCGGGGAGAGGGCGTCGGCCCGCACATGGTGGTCGAAGGCGCGCTGTGTGTGACGGTCGCTGTGTTCGCAGTGCGCGTACATGCGTGGATTTTCTCTTTTTCCCAACATTCACAACTGACGCGGCTACACTTTCAGTCGCATCGCGAGTTTGTGCAGCGCAATGTTGCGCTGCAAATTGCAGGATAAATAGCCAGATGCCAAGTCGCTACCGCCAAGACGGTTCAAGATTTTGCGTTGAAAACCACATCAGCGTGTCAGTCGCTTCATTATCTCCCTCTCTATATCACCATTCGGTTGATCGCGTTTTGACACATGCCGCTCGCAAATGAGCCTAGATTAGCGGGTTTCAAAACGGCTTTTCACGCCGCGACGGAACGGAGCCACTCGGTGTCTCGGCCGATGCCGAAGGCTGCTTCAAGGATAGACGGCCGTCTAATCACGTGACTTGCTGCTGTAATTAATTGCCTCCGACTGATTATGCCATCTCGCACAAAACTCTCGACAACGGTGGGTCGCAGCGACACGGCAATGGCACACAAAGGTGTACCATGCGAAATGGTACGGTCACACGCATCACGTGGCACGAGCTCTCAGATGGATTTTGCTCTCTTCCACGAATTTGCGCGTTTTGTGCCACATTTCGGCAACTATGGCACGAACACCCGGAATTGGCGCGCCTCGATGATGATTGCAACGAGCGAGATGATGTGTGGTGACACGTGCAACATGTTATGGCGCCCACGTGTTTAACCACGAATTTACACGCTTTTGCTTTTTTGAGGGGCTTACACCTTTTTGTGATATCTCAGAAACCAGGGAGTACGGTACGTCGAGACTGGCATGCTTCGATTGGCGATCTAACGGGCAATAATCATGATCATGCTTCGACTGGCGATCTAACGGGCAATCACTGAAACGTGTACGATGTCATGCTGCACGTGTCATGTGACACGTACACATTAGCTTTGATGGTGTATTTTGCCAATTTCGTCCATTTTTACGTTTTACGCGGGATTTCCGCTCTTACGGCACGCAGTAATACGAGACTGGCATGCTACGATAGGTCATTAAAATGGGAATCCCATGGTGTCACAAGCGTGGGGTGGCACGTTACACGTGTCGGGCACACACGAGCCAGGAAGATGGCTTTTGCCTTTTTCCACGGTTTTACACGCTTTGTGACACATCTCGGCGTCCAAGGCACGGAGCCGCTGGAGAGTGGTATGCACTGATAATAAACCGAACAGACAATGCCGCTGCATGGATTGTCATGTCGCGCGTGCTGCGGTTAACGCGTGCACAAGCCAGCACGATAGATTTGGTCGTTACCGGCCGTTTTCACATTTTGCACCACGTCTCGGCAACCAGGGCACCTAAAACCGCAATGATGCATGAGTTTAACTAAGGCCTGGCTTTAGTGGCTTTAACTTTAACTTTTTCTCTTGTGCACAGTTCTGCACGTTTTGTGCCATATCGCCGCACCCAGGGCACTGAGCGCACTCGGGAGTAGCATGCAATGATGGGGAATCAAACGGACAATCACGTGGTATACGTTGTGGTGTCACGCGTGCGCGAGCCAGGAAACTGATTTGGCCGCTACCGACCGTTTTTCACTGTTCGGTACAATACAATGTTGTTAAACACAACGGAAGCGCGTGCTGCCATCATTCAAAAGCGGACAGCTGATGCAAGGCGCAAGAATCACCGGCTACGTCAGGCAATCAATCAACGGTGCCATGCAATGGGTTTGCCTATCTTGCAGAAAGGGCAAGCGAAATGCCCTCTCTCCCGCCGGCGGCCGCCAGAGGTCTCCAGCACCGCACGCGGCATGCGGCCGAGACTTTTTCCCGTTTCGCTCCATATCTCGGCAACCAGTCTGTGATGGCCCGGTGGTGAACCGCATAGTGGTGCCTGCAATGTTACAGAGCTGAAAGTTACATCCCTGGTTTTCCTGTCGCGCAGCGTAACCACTACACTGCTTGTATTCGGACACCAATCCTGGTTCATTTCTCTCGACAGACTGTGTGGACGGACCCGGCCAAGTCAGACCGCACGGCTCCATCTGGACCAGCGCTGATGGCTGCACACACTACGCCTGCGACAACGGCCACATCTCCACCACCGCAGTTAACTGCGCGCCGCCTCCCAGGCCTAACTGCGTGCCAGTGCCGGTGTCAGGACAGTGCTGTCCCAGCTACAACTGCAGCGACAGCAGTCTGGCACCATGCACGCACGCCGGCAGGACGTACCCGGACGGCGCGCAGTTCCCCGACGACGAGGACCACCCGTGCTCGGTGCTCGAGTGTGACGACGGCACGGTGCGCGTGGTGCTGCCGCCGCCCCAGTGCGCGACGCTCACGTGTGTCGATCCACAGCAGGCGCCGGGCCAGTGCTGCCCAGTGTGTCCCGCAGGTGAGTGCCGGCCGATGTTTATAGTGTCCCGCAGGTGAGGGACGGCTGGTGTTTATAGTGTCCCGCAGGTGAGGGACGGCTGGTGTTTGTAGTGTCCCGCAGGTGAGGGACGGCTGATTTTGTATGCAGTGTCCCACGGGTGATGGTGTTGGTGGGGGGATGGCTGGATGGTGTTTGCAGTGTCTTGTGGGTGAAGAACGTTTGAACTGTCCCCCGAGCGAGATACGTCTGTAGTGTCTCAAGGGTGAGAGCTCGCTGATGTTGACCGTAGTGTTCTACAGGTGAGGTCGTTGTGGCGTTGTCTACTGTGTTCGGCACGTGAGGGCTTTCTGGTGCTTCCCATAGTGTCTGTCTATAGCTATCTATAGTGTCCGACAGGTGTGGTCCGGCCGGTGTTGTGCGAAGGGTCCCCAGATAACGGTCCAATATAGTCTATTATAAGGCTGGTGTTCTCTGAAGTGCCACGCAGGTGGGGGTCGCCTGATGGATGCAGTGGCCCACAGGCGAGGGTCGTCCGTAGTGTCCCGCATGTGAGCGACGTATGTAGTGCCCGGCAAGTAAGGGATGTCTGCAATGCTTGGTAGGTGAGGGACATCTGGCGTTATATGTAGTGACCCGAAGGCAAGGATTTTCTGATGCTGCATGGATTGTCCCCAAGACGCGGGGCCGACCGGTGCTGATAACCACAGTTGGGGTGGCGGGGGAGGTCTTATGATGCTGTCTGTGATTCCCATTGTGGGTCTGGTGCTATGTGCATTGTTCGACAATGACTTGGTGTTGCCTGCAGTGTCCCAAACACAATCGTTGTCTCTTGTCTCAATGAAAACGCTCCGAAGTGAGCAGGGATCTCGTTGTCCCAACTAGCCAACTCCCCACCGGCGCCGCAATAACACTTCTGACGTGCCACGGTGACCCCAGAGCGTACCTATCGCTTTTCCCAGAGGGTTGCGTGGACTCGGCCGGTGTCACGCACGCCGTCAACTCGGTCTACCTGGACGGGCTCGACACGCCGGGAGACTGCTACGTGTGCGCAGCCGGCAGCCCGCCGCAGCCACTGCTGGCGCAGAACGTGGCGCGCAGTTGTCCGCGCGCGCCGCCCGGCTGCAACGAGACGTTCGAGGAGGGCCGGTGCTGCCCAACCATCAGCTGTCCGGACGGTGAGGGCTGGTCGGGCGCGGCGGTGGAGAAGGTGGCAGTAACAGGACGGAACTGAGCGCACATGTCACGCACGCCCGACATAGCCGTGTTTACTCCCGTCAGGGCCGACCGTCAGGTGGAGGTGAAACTCTCCGCTGCCTGCGGGGTACTGTATGTGACACCGACCGGTCGGACGGCCAGCACTCACCGCTGAAGGCCTCCAGTTGTCACTGACTTGACACGCTCTTCTCTAAATTTAATGAGCCCATTTCCTTCGCCGTCGACCTAGGCCACTTTGAGAACAGCGGCGTGTCACTCTACACCATTTCTGTCGCTTCACTGCGATGCAGTTTTGACAACAGCATAAACAAGGCACCGGACACAGCAGGTCACCTTGCCTTTCCACACGCAGGCGACCCGTGCATCTTCGAGGGCGTGGCGCACGCGCCGGGAACGCAGTGGATGGACGATCTGGCGCGGCCCTGCGTCACGTACACCTGCGTGCTGGGCGTGGCCGTCCAGGTGGGGCGAGTCGAGTGTGCGCCGCTGCCGGACGGCTGCAGCGCCCTGTACACGGACGGCTTCTGCTGCCCCGAGCACGACTGTCCCGGAGGTGAGGCCGGATGTGACGTCACAGGGCCACCAGGCAGGGAAGCAGTGGTTCGCAGACTGAGCGAGCGCACTCATATCCGGGGTGGGGTCCGGATGAACGTGCAACGTCTCACAGACGAAGCAGGTACCGCATCCGCGCTTTCTGGCGATGGCTGCAGCTGCCACATTCATTACAACAGCGCAGCAACATGTCATGCTGTTGGCCTCCTGGATGTGACAGTGCACGTGCGAGAGAACCAGTGGTCTGCGCGACCAGGGCGGAAAGGTACGACATCGTGTTGGAACTAACCAAATCGAGGCCACTTTACCGCGTAGTCATATCCCGAACAAATCGGGACACCGAGAGCCACACGTTAAAAGCAACGCTTCGTGACTCCGTGGCCAAACGACTCACGAGCAGCATCACAAGGAGACGACTTCCGCACTGTAACGGAGCGAGCCGCCTGCCGAGCTCCGACATGAACCGACCTTGGTCCTGGCATGTCCCGCCTGCATAACCACTCGCCTGAGCGCGGCCGACTGCAGGACTGCGACAGAGGAGCGGCACAGGACCGGTGCCGCCCCGCTCTCCGCTCCGACTCGCCGCGTGCACCACGCGCCACACACTGTCGTCGCGTCGCGCCATTCACGGCAGCGTCCTCCAACCGTCCCAAACCCTAGGCGGCTCGCGTCCGGCCGCCGGCCTATCGAGACGCTCCAGAGCGCGCCGCTGCCACAGGGCTCCACCATCCGTCCGAATCGGCGTGAAGCATGCAAATATAAATGTATGCTATCGGACGCAAGGTTTCTCAGCCGCCTGCGCAACATTTTGTTGGCTAATGATCCGTTGTGCACTGACATCAAACCTTGGAATTCTGGCCTGCCTTTCCGATGTTGCAGAGGGCGCATCTCCTGTGGCAGGGAGCGCGTCTCTTACGGCGGAAAGCGCACCTCTTGTGGCGGAGAGCGCGCCTCCAGTGGCGGAGAGCGCGCCTCCTATGGCGGAGAGCGCACCTTCTATGGCGGGGAGTGCGCCTCCTGTGGCGGAGAGCGCGCCTCCTGTGGCGGAGAGCGCACCTTCTCTGGCGGGGAGTGCGCCTCCTGTGGCGGAGAGCGCGGCTTCTCTGGCGGGGAGTGCGCCTCCTGTGGCGGAGAGCGCGCCGTGACCGGTCTGGCCGTGCCGCCAGCGCCGTGCACGCACGCCGGCCAGCAGCACGACGACGGCACGTCGTGGCCGCAGGACCCGGTGCGGCCGTGCACCATCCTGTCTTGCCACGACGGCCACGTGCTCTCGGAGGACGTGTCGGACCAGTGCGCGCCGCCGCCGACTGGGCCCGGTACCTGCACGCCTGCGCACGTCGACTACCAGTGCTGCCCGGTCTACGACTGCGTGCGGGGTGAGTGCGCTCGTCGCGCTGGGCTCCAGCGGCGCATCCGTCCGAGAGACGGGTGGCCTGCCGCGAGTGAGAGCTGTGCACGCGTCACGGTAGGCGATGCAGATAGCTGCCCACTGGACGCATTATACGCGCTGTATTCCAACGACCGTACGACGCGTCCATTCGAAATGTCATCCCAGCACTACTGGTGAAAATGCTCTAGTGACCTCTACCGGGGAAGTGATTTGCCCCCATTCGGTGGTAGAAAACACTAACAAGCGCCCCGGTGGCTAGTTAGATGCCCTTCTTTCGGGTGGGGGCTGGGCGGTAAATTTGACCCCCTCAGATCTTAGAAACTAAGAGAGCTGGAGCCACCAACAGGTTGCATTGCCCTGTACGTGAGCTACCCACTTGGGTGAGACTTTGACGTTCCTAGGCCATGACTTTCGGGCAAAAAAAGTTGAAAAGGGTTAATCAAGGTCAAATTCCTAGTTGGCCTCTTCACTGCCCCAGAACCTAGTTACCTGTTCTAAGCAAAAGGTCACATGCTCCTTTAAGATCAGTGACCCTGTCTGCCTTTTCGAAGGTCATCGTGAACAAAATCATACAAGACTATTTTTATTTTTGCATTTGAAGAAGCGCCAAAGATTACTCCAGGCAGCATGTTACCGGAAAACAAAATGTTGACCTGGGTCATTTTAGGTCAGTAACCCACCATGACCTTCAGGAAGACCATGGAGGATGCAAATGCGGTTCCTGTTATCAATATATTCGAAATGAGTCCCAGAAACTACCCCATACAACAGGCCACAGTGTAATAAAACAGGTTGGCTTCGACATTGGTCTGATCTTGACACCTGACCTTAGGTCAATAGAATTTGTTCATTCAACTCGTGTTGCATAACAAAGTATCTCCGAAATGTATGGCTTTGTCTAACACTCCGTTGTTGCATCAGATTGGAGGATTACCTTGAAATCGACTCCGCTGAATTAATGGTCTGACTTTGACCAGCCGTAGGTCAGCCATTTTACAAGAAACATCTTGATTTTTTACACCAAACGATCCACTATTCAATTGTCTACAGCTATGCATAATTTGGCGCGGCTACGCCGTGCCGTTCGGAAACTTCTCCAGAAAAACTTTCGGGTGGAGGGTCAAATTGACTGCTACCCGAGCGCGTGTTAAAAGGTCGCGTTCGCCGGTCGGCAGCCACGTGCGAGTACAACGGCACGACATACAGCGAGGGCGACACGTGGCCGGACAACGAGACGTTCCCGTGCAAGCGGTTCAACTGCACGCTGAACGGACCGGTTAAGGTGGCCGACTACGGAGCCCACTGTCCACCACAGCCCAACCCGCACTGCACCGGGCTACGCACGCCTGGATACTGCTGTAAACAGTGGAATTGTCCCGATGAACCCAAAAAAGTGCCAGAGGAACTGCATATTGGTAAGCTATGGTGACGGCTAAGAACGCTGACAGTGTCCCGGTGAGTTCCGGTGACAGCTAAGAACGTTGACGGTGTGCCGGTGGGTTCCTGTGACGGCCCCGAGGCGTCAGTAACCAGATATGAGCAGGTGACCGTTGCCAACGGCAGCAGCGGCGCCGAGTTTTTGTAACAGCAATATGGGATATTTTTTGGCAATCATTGACTAGACCTCATTCATATCTTGAAGAGCGCAACAAATTTTCGCATCTGAAAATATGCGACTACCCTTCCAAGTTGCGATAGAATCTCACTCGAAAGTTTAAGCACTATTGAATCAAACCCCATAACACTACTTTTCCAAACGCACGCCTGACCACTACACAAGCAGTTTCCCGACGCCACTCCCCGTCCATCTTTTTTGACAGACTGTAAGGACAGTACCGGCCAAGTAAGACCGCACGGCTCCACCTGGACCAGCGCTGACGGCTGTACGAACTACGCCTGCTACAACGGCAACATCTCCACCGCCACAGTTGACTGCGCTCCACCTCCTGGTCCTAACTGCGCGCCGGTACCAGTGCCGGAACAGTGCTGTCCCAGTTACAACTGCGATAACTCACGTGAGCCCAGGTCTGCTACCGGTTTATGGAAGGTTCCATCACTGTGGGGTACGGCTATTCGGTTTTATGTTCCGCGGCTAGACCACCCGGATTTTGTTTACCAACTCGTGGATGATGAATAATGACTACGGAAGGGTCCAGATAATTAGTTTTACTTCAGACGCGGAGTGGAAAATTTAACCCATTCTTTCCAATTGAATCAAATTCGTGGTCTTGGGGAAAGATGCTGGACTCGTAATCCAGCGGCACTGGGTACGAGTCCCAGAGTGGGCGCATTGTTTGACCCGACTGAAAAGGAAAGGCCAGCTGGCAACTGGCCAACGAGGTTCAACCCAGACCCGAGGCGGCCGTGTCGCAGCATAGTGCGGCACGTAAAACCCTCCGCATCCCTGTCTGGCGAAAGGGCGGAGGCAAAATTAGCTGTTGAACTGGACGGCACGCTTGGGTGGTGGGTTCGGGGTACACGCAACAAGCTGTGCTTAGCAGGTACTCTGAATCCGAAGTCACCCTTACAAACCATTCGGAATAAATTCTTTTTTTTTAAATTGCTTAAAGCGTATTCTTCGATCCCAAGAACAGAAACAATTTCCTAAGATCTCTGCAAAATTCTTAAGGTTTGCAGGGTACTAAGAATTGTCACAAGGTGATGACAGACATCGCGGTGAACGCATGTTTGCTGGGGCTTCCCAGAAATATTACAGCCATGACAATTAGTTAGCCATTGGAAATGGCAAATGATACCAAAAAAGGACTTAGCCCTGAAAACGAATTGCTCTTTTTCTCCTTTCTTATTTTTTCCACAAACCCCAAAACATTTTTACCCATTGCGTCTTAAAATTTGCAGGTGCTTATAAGACTTCCAACAAAATCTCAGATAACGTTCACGTGTTTGAATTGCACGGAACAAGCTGTATGTGGCCGAGGACAAGTGAAAAAGGAACAGCTTTGTGTGCAAATAAACCCCCAGCAGGGGTCTGTCATCGTGGTCGAGTTGTAATAGCGCTGATACATATTATTCCAAATCCGCGCTCCGAATCCGTGGCGGGCATTTTAAAAAGCGCCCAACCCTTCATGCCGCGCTAGCAGCCGCCTGCAGCAACCCAGGGGATGGGCAACTCGTCGGCTAGCTCGAGGCCAGGCTTGCTCCTATGTCACTGAGTGAGGACTCTTCATTTGCTTCTATTTAGCCTTCCGCGGAAAGCGAAACATGCTTTGTTTACCCTCTCGTAGCCTTTTTCGTAGACAATGAGGACAATCTCGGTTAAAATAACACTATCTTTCTAGAAAAAACAACAACAACCAGGACCATCCATTTGAGTAGTATAACTCATGAAGATGATGATTTGTGGTTTACGGGCGCGTCGACATGAAAGATCGCAACGTCTGTTCAGGGTCGTGTTATGGTTGAACTAGCACGGAGCAGATGCAGCTGAAAACTTAATGCCTCTCAGAAATAGAGATAACTGGCTTGAGTGTGTCAATGAAGAGTCGTCTCCCAGCATGTCACGATGAGTCAAACATGGCGCTTGCCGTCCAAAATGGGGCAGTCGTTCTCCCTCGAAATGTAAACAGGAATAAAGCACGTGATGCACGGTCAACGGGGCACCACATTTATGGCACTGAGGTTTCACGCCAACACACAACAGGCAGCCATGTGTCGCGTAAGTAAAGGCAATTTTCAGACGGCACGGAGCGACCTCTTCACACCCAGCCGCTTGCAAACTAAACGGACAAAGGCTCAACGGTGGCTTTATCATCCTTAGCTTGTTGAATTCATCCTTAGCTTGTTAAATAAGCTGTGATGGCTGGGTAGAAGTTCCTGGCTGGGAGCGGAACAGAACGCGAGCGAGGCGCACGAGCGGCCCGCTCTACGGCGGTGGCGGCAAGCTCGTTGCCCGCTATCCCTACATGACTTAGAATCCAGCACGGCACCACAGTTTTCCTCACGCCGATCAGCCACGTCAAGCGAGTCAAAGCGTGCTGTAAAAATGGACACTGAGGATAAAATGTCTTGAGAGCCATAGGCTGCTGGGGAGTCAGATAAGATCAAGTGTAGGTCGTCATCAGCGACTTCAAAATAGCAGTTTTTATGGTGGCAACAAGCTTCGTGGTGTACACAGAGACAGGTTCTGGCGGCGAAAATTAACAAGTGGCATGGAAACTCACAAACGCAGAGACAATACCTGATTCGGTTTTGGATCCACTTGTAAGGGTGGTTACATGCCCTTCATATGACGAGATAGGCTCCAGCCCTTTACCCCCGAGTTCCACGTCATAAGCTCTCGTTTTTTTATCTGCGCCAATGAAAGATCAACACTTGGTACACGTACACCCCAACGGGATGTTCCCAGGTGATTACATCTGAGCACTCTCTTCCGTCTGAGATCATTCTCTTGGAACAGCTCTCGGACTTGAACCGCAAATGGAAACACGTGTTCTCCGTTCGTCTCTAAGAGCCTCGTTGCACGTCGCGAAAAGACTGCCCGGTAGGTGGGCTGTTTTGGGAGCTGCGCCAATTGCAAGCGTATCTCGCCCTATGCAGTTCCCTCACAAATGAGAGTGGCAGTTTATTTGCCTCTACCAGAAGGCTTGCAACTGGAGACGTTCTCAACGCACCGGTTACTATGCGCAGTGCTGTGAGAATTATGGTATCTAAACATGACGTTTGAATGAGGCGGGTGGACGGCGATATGTAAAACACCCGTAGTCAGGCTTGGATCTAATCAGCGAACGACAATACAATAAAAGCATTGGCCGATCTACTCCGTAAGATGTTCGTGCCACCTGCTCAATATGTTCAACGTTTTAAAACACTTGTCACGCCGAATGGTACGATGTTCCCTGAAGGTCAAACGCTTATCAAAATGTAACCACAAAGCCGTGCCACCATATTGCAAGGAATCGGCTGTCCACAAAGCCCAGTGTCGACGAAAGTAAACGGAAACTGCATTTAAATTCGAAAACGGTAAACCGTTAGGCATGCCCCGCCTTCCTGAGCGAGTCACAATCAACTGAAACTGGCGTGACATGGATCCTGTCGTGGGAGAGCTATGCCAGATGAGGTCATCGACGGAAAGTCACCGACCAATCGCCTGGGGAAGACTGTCCCGAGCATCATTAATCATAACCGCAAACAACGCAACGTTTCAAACACTGCCCTGGAATACGTCGTTCTCTTGGGTGTACCTGTTCGAGTACATGAAGCCAACACCAACTCGAAAGAACCGGTCAGCAACAAAAGCACCCACAGCTCCACGGATACCATTCTTCAATATATATATATATATATATATATATATATATATATATATATATAAACATATGTGTGTGTGTGTGTGTGTGTGTGTGTGTGTGTGTGTGTGTGTGTGTGTGTGTGTGTGTGTGTGTGTGTGCGCGTGCGCGTGCGCGTGTGCGTGTGCGTGTGCGTGCGTGTGTGTGTGTATGTGCGTGTGCGTGTGCGTGTGCGTGTGCGTGCGTGCGTGTGCGTTTGCGTGTGTATGTGTTCGTTCCTCGTTTCCTCGTTTGCTTCTCACCCTGGCAGGAAGGGCGAGCACCGCGGTGAATCGAATTCCGTACCACTGCTTTCACAGACGAGCAACTTAAACACTACACTGTTTGTACCCCGATACCAAGCCTCCTTGACTTCTCTCTACAGACTGTGTGGACGGCACCGGTCAAGTCAGACCGCACGGCTCCACCTGGACCAGCGTTGACGGCTGCACACACTACACTTGCGACAATGGCCACATCTATACGGCCACAGTTGACTGCGCTGGGCCTCCTGGTCCTTACTGCGTGTCCGTATCGGTGCCAGGACAGTGCTGCCCCCATTACAACTGCAGTAATTCACGTAAGCCAAGGGCTGCTGTCCATTTAAACGGTGTTTTTTTTTTAAAACTCCGTTTTTCAGAGTGAGAGCCTTTCACTTCTTTCCAGAGTCTTCTGTAGCGGAAAGAGCAGCTTTTGTACTGGTTTAAAAGTTTACACAGTTTTCCATAAATTGGTCTGCCGATGAACGGATCTATTCTACCTTTGATACCTGTGTGATCACCTCAGATGTTTGGTTACAAATCTAAGAACTTTTCATCAAAATGTGACCACGGTTCTATATTGTGAAGGACTTTAACTCGCATTATCGTGTAATACTTGAAACATTTCCTACATATTCAGATAGACCTAAGAAAGCTGTCGCCTTGCTCTGTTTAAAGGGGTATCCGCCATCCACAGCTCGAAACCACTCCACGCTGGGGCTGATTCCATCTTTTTCTCTTGACAGACTGTGTGGACGGCACCGGTCAAGTCAGGCCGCACGGCTCCACCTGGACCAGCGTTGACGGCTGCACACACTACACCTGCGACAACGGCCACATCTCCACCGCCATAGTTGACTGCGCGCCGCCTCCCAGGCCTAACTGCGTACCAGTGCCGGTGTCAGGACAGTGCTGTCCCAGCTACAACTGCAGCGACAGCAGCCTGGCACCATGCACGCACGCCGGCAGGATGTACCCGGACGGCGCGCAGTTCCCCGACGACGAGGACCACCCGTGCTCGGTGCTCGAGTGTGACGACGGCACGGTGCGCGTGGTGCTGCCGCCGCCCCAGTGTGCGACGCTCACGTGCGTCGACCCGCAGCAGGCGCCAGGCCAGTGCTGCCCTGTGTGTCCCGCAGGTGAGAGCAGCGTGGTGTCGTCTGTAGTGTCCCGCAGAGGGCGGCAGGATGACGTTATCCCGCAGGTGAGGACTGCATGGTGTTGTCTGTTGTGTCCAGCACCCGGTAGCTGTCCGATGTTGCCTGTACTGTGCGGCCAGATATCGGATGCAGTCCGGAGCATCGCAGTTTCTCAAGGGTAAAGTCTTTCTGTATGTACTGGTGTCACCATGGCGGGCTGCCTGGTCGGACTTCAATACCCCGCGGATGACATGTCGGCACGGCAAAGCTGGGATGAAATTTCAGGCACTTATCTGGCAGGCAGACCTGCCAAAAAACCTATGCAAGTTCGGCAAAAAGTCAAAAGGCATTCTGAAGACTACAACCTTCCAAAAACCTGCCAGACAACTGCCCATGTTGTCCAACGGCACGTAATACTGCAGCGCCACCCCACACTTCTGTAAACAAACAGACCAGAGCGCCGACAATCGGGCCGTCTGCCGACAGACTGTGAGGACAACACCGGCCAGGTCAGACCGCACGGCTCCACCTGGACCAGCGCCGACGGCTGTACACACTACGCCTGTGACAATGGCCACATCGCCACGGCCATAGTCCACTGCCCGCCGCCTCCTGGTCCTAACTGCGTGCCAATATCAGTGTCAGGAGAGTGCTGCCCCCGCTACAACTGCGACAACTCACGTGAGCCGCGGGCTCCTGCCGGTTTAAGGTTTCATTTCACAGAGTGAGGGCCCTCCACTTTTTCACGGAGTCTTCTGGGCCCGAAACAACAATCTAGTACTGGATTAACAATATCAGTTAACTGACAGCGTAAGGACCCTTCATTATTTTCCACAGAGTCTTCTAGGCCGGAAAAACATGTTGGTAATGGTTTAAAGTCATGAGTAAATTGACAACATATTTTTCCACGGCGTGGCCTAGTAACGAATCAAACGTGCTGGGCGTTTTGATGTCTGTCCAGTTGAAATGAGACCTTTGGTTTGCAATCTTAGACTTTTAGGAGCTAGTCCCCGTCTATTCCTCTCGACAGAGTGTGTGGACAACACCGGCCAAGTCAGGCCCCATGGCTCCACCTGGACCAGCGCTGACGGCTGCACACACTACGCCTGCGACAACGGCAACATCTCCACCGTCATAGTTGACTGTGCTCCGCCCCCTGGTCCTAACTGCTTGCCAGTACCGGTACCGGGACAGTGCTGTCCCCGCTACAACTGCGACAACTCACGTGAGCCGAAGTCTGTTACTGGTTTAGGGAAGGTTCCGTGGAGGTTGGTCGCGGCTACTCGCTTTCACGTTCCGTGGCTAACCCGCCTGCCTGTTTTTGACCAGCTTGTGCGTGATCAGTAATAATGAATGTGGTGGGCAAGAATTAATTTTGCTTCAGATGAGTGAAAAATCACAGAGTGAAAAATCTATCTCAACTGTTTAATTTTCATCAAAGTGTTTTCAATGCATCCTTAGATCCCAAAGCAGTGAAAATTTCCCAACATTTGTACAAGGCTCTAAAGGTATACAACGTCCTAGAAATTTTCGCAAGGCGTTGAAAGACGGTGCAGTCGCACGCGTTTGCTGCGACCTGTCCGGAACATCACATAACTACGAAAAACAGTCAATTCTGGGAAAATAGTCACGGCAAATGGTAACAAACTGGCCATGGCAATAAAATCGAAAAGCCTTTGTCTCCTTCATACTGTTTTTCTCAACATCTATAAATCGTTTCCCAATGACGTCTAGTAACTTCCTGGCCAGCACCAGGTTTTCAACAACGTCGCAGATAACATTTACGTATTTCAATTTGTATCGCACAGTTTGTATATTACTAAAAGAGTGAAAAGACAGCACCAATTCAGTACTGAAATAAGCCCATTTAGGGCTTTGCCATCTTAACTGAGTGGTTAACGGCGTGGATACCTGTAATTCCAACACGCAGTTTGAATGGGTGGCGAGCACTTTAAAGAGCGTCCAAACCTCCACGACTGGCTGGAAGCCCCTGTGGATATCCTGGCGGTGAGCATCTCGTCGGCCAGCTTGAGGGCAGCCTAGCTCCTATGTCACGGAGTGAGGACTCTTCACTTATTTCCGCTAGTTTCAAAGGAAAGCAGACATTTGTGTGTACCCTTTCGTGAATTTTTGCTTGGGCAATGGAAAAATCTAGGTTTAACTAACTTCTCTTTCTACGAACAAAACACAACCACGGTCATCATACTCAGCAGCATGACCCGTAACAAAAGAACTAAGCTCAAATGCCCCGCAGATGGGGTTCGCCTGGTGCTGTTCGTGATGGTCCAGTAGTGAATAAATATCACATGATCAGATGTCTGCAATGCCACAAACTTGGGAGCCTGTACAGAACATATTGGTGTCCCTTCTTAGTTCAACTGACGAGCATAACAAGGATCGTGTTCTATTAAATGATTCATCAGTTATAAAAAAACGTCTACGGTTAAAATTTCCAACGTAGTCACGCCCATGCTTACACACTTGTTGGCACATGCGCAAAGAAATAAGCGGCGTTGTACATGTCCTCATGCTCCGTGCAGACGCGCATACATAGATCACTCGCTGTTCAACAACAGGCAATGCCGAACACCAATCCCCTGTCACTGTGCCTTTGCAACGCATTAAGCTACTGATAATATATGGCGTTGCCAGCCCCTCACTCTGGCCGCAAGGACGGGCACCGCGGTGAATCGAGCCCCGTACAACTACTTTCACAGACGCGCAGCTTAACAAGCGCCCGCATGGCCGGCTGGATACCCTTTGCTCGGGTGGGGGGGGGGGGGGGGGGGCTCAATTTGACCCTCCTGAGATCTCAGGAACTAAGAGAGCTAAGAGAACTAATCCATCAAATTCACAGGATATGTTGACCTGTACGTGAACTCACTTGGGTCAAAGCTTGAGGTTCCCAGGTCATCAGCTTCGGGTCAAGTACGCTCAAAGAAGGTTAAAATCCAGGTTGGTCTCCGTAGGGCCCTTGGAACTGGTCTAAGCAAACGGTCACACGCTCATCTGCAGTTAGCGACCTTTTTTGACCTTTTGAAAGTCATAGTGACCAAAATCATACAAGACTGCTTTGAGTTTTCCATTTGGATACGCGACAAAGGTTACGCTAGGCAGTATGTTCCTAAAAAGGAAATATTGACCTGGGTCATTCTAGGTCAGTGACCTATTCTGACCCTTAGGAGGTCCATGGAAGGTGAATAATACGGTTCCTGCTACCAAAGAGTAATAAAACAGGTCAGTTTTGACCTTGGTCTGACCTTCATACCTGACCCCATGCCAATGCAATTTGTTCATTCAATTGTTGTGTTACCTAAGAAAGGATCTCAGAGATGTATGGCTTCGTCTAACACTACGTCGTTGGATGAGATTAAACAATTCCCTAGAAATCGCATTCATTAAAACCATGGCCTGACATTGACCTGCCATAGGTCAGCGACCTTACCAGGCTCCTCTAAACTTGTGATGCCAGACAACCCGCTATTCAATCGTCTACAGCTCTGCACAATTTGGCGCGGCTACGCCGCGCCGTTCGAGGATCATTCTGGGAAAACCTTCGGGGGGGGGGGGTCAATTTGACCTCCGACCCGAGCACGTGTTAACCACCACACTACTTGTACCCCGAAACCAGGGCTCTTAATTTCTCTCGACAGACTGTGTGGACGGCACCGGCCAAGTCCGACCGCATGGCTCCACCTGGACCAGCGCTGACGGCTGCACACACTACGCCTGCGACAACGGCCACATCTCCGCCGCCACAGTTGACTGCGCTCCGCCTCCTGGTCCTAACTGCGTGCCAGTACCGGTATCGGGACAATGCTGCCCCAGCTACAACTGCGACAACTCACGTGAGCCTCCGCCTGCTCTCAGTTTAAAAGATACATTTAAAAGAAAAAGGACCCTTCACTTCTTTCCACGGAGGCCTATACGCCAGAAAGCACAGTTTTTGTACTGGGTTAAAAATATCAGTACGTTTACACAAAGTTTTTCCAAGGCATGGTCTAATGACAGAAGAACGACTCGCGCATCTTGATGTCAGTGCTAGATAACTGAAACGTTTGGTTAAAAATCTTAAGACATTGTCCGGAAAAATAAGACTACTGTTTTAATTTACGACGGAGATTTAGTATATCCGAACCAAGTGCACAACAAATTTCACTCTAGTCGAGAATATTTTAAGCATTGGAAACCAACTATTTGAAACATATTGTGCACACTCAATTAGACCCAAGCAATTTGTCGCCGTGTTCTGTCTAAAAGAATATCCACTCACACAATTCGAAAACACTCGACGCCGGGGCTGATCCCCGTCTATTTCTCTTGACAGACTGTGTGGACGGCACCGGTCAAGTCAGACCGCACGGCTCCACCTGGACCAGCGCTGACGGCTGCAGGCACCACGCTTGCCACAACGGCCACATCTCCACCACCGCAGTTGACTGCGCGCCGCCTCCCAGGCCTAACTGCGTGCCAGTGCCGGTGTCAGGACAGTGCTGTCCCAGCTACAACTGCAGCGATAGCAGCCTGGCACCATGCACGCACGCCGGCAGGACGTACCCGGACGGCGCGCAGTTCCCCGACGACGAGGACCACCCGTGCTCGGTGCTCGAGTGTGACGACGGCACGGTGCGCGTGGTGCTGCCGCCGCCCCAGTGCGCGACGCTCACGTGCGTCGATCCCCAGCAGGCGCCAGGCCAGTGCTGCCCAGTGTGTCCCGCAGGTGAGGACCAGCTGGTGTTTTGTAGTGTCCCGCAGGTGAGGGACGTATGCGGTGTCTCCGGTGGGACAGCCGGCTGGTGTTGTCTGTAGCATACCTCATGCGAGGGACGTATAAAGTGTCCCGTTGGTGAGGGACGCACGCGGCGTCCCGCAGGTGACGCACGGCAGGTGTTCCCTATTGTGTTACAAAGGTGAGAGCACATTGTGTTGGTCGTAGTGTCCTAAAGACGAGGCCCGCGTGGTGTTATTTGTTATCTATAGCACGTGATGGCTTTCTGGTACTGCCCATAGTATCTGCCTTAAGATGTCTGTGGTGCCCAACAGGTGAGGTTCGGCTGATGTTTGTAGTGTCCCGTAAGAAATGGCAGCGTGGTGCTGCCTCTAATGTCCCGCAGATGAGGGCAGGATCGTGTTGTCTGCAGTGTCCCGCTGGTGAGGACCGAATCGTCTAGTCTGTTGGGTCAAGCACGTGGTAGCTGTCCGGTGCTGCCCGTACTGCGCGGAGAGATATTGGGTGCTGTCCAAAGTGTCCCAAAGGAAAATTGTGTGATGTCTGCAGGGTCTCAAGTGTAGGAGCTTTCTGTATGCATGAACAGGAGCCACTATCCATAGCTACCTTTTCGGATTTCAGCGCCCATTGGATAAAATGTCGCCATTCCATAGTTGGGATGCAATTTCTGGTATTTGTCTAGCATGCAGACCTACCATAAACCCTACGCTATGAAATATTACAACGAAGATACGCCACGAGATAACATGTTCCGGAGACTGAAAAACTCCCCTACCTGCCAAGCGACCGTCAATGTTGTGCGGCGACGTGCAATGCCACCCCACCCCACAGCTCTGTAATCAAGCACACCAGAGCGCCGACTATCGGCCCGTCTGCCGACAGACTGTGTGGACAACGCCGGCCAGGTCAGGCCGCACGGCTCCACCTGGACCAGCGCTGACGGCTGCACACAATACGCCTGCTACAATGGCCACGTCTCCAACGCCACGGTTGACTGCCTGCCATCTCCTGGTCCTAACTGCGTGCCCGTATCGGTGCCAGGAGACTGCTGCCCCCACTATAACTGCGACAACTCACGTGAGGCGCGGCCTTCTGTCGGTTTACGAAAGTTCCATTTCACCAGAGTGAGGGCCCTTCACTTCTTGCGACGAACTCTTCCGGGGTGGAAAGAGCAACTTAGTCCTGGGTTTTTTTTTAAATTCAGCTAATTAACAAGGTGAGAACCCTTCGTCTCCTTCCGCAAGCTCTACTAAGCGGGAAACGACATTTGAGAACTGAGCTAAAAATAAGTAAAGTTTGATAACTTTTTCCTGGACCAGCGCTGACGGCTGCCATGGAGCGGCATGGCGACGGCAGAGCCTTTTGCCCGCCTCGATACAAGTTTAATTCACATGAGACGTTTGAACTCAGATCATGGGCAGTTTTAGGGGCTAATCCCGGTCGATTTCTCCCGACAGACTGTGTGGACAACACGGGTCAAGTCAGACCGCACGGCTCCACCTGGACCAGCGCTCACGGCTGCAAACACTACACCTGCGACAACGGCCACATCTCCACCACCACAGTTGATTGCACGCCGTCCCCTGGTCCTAACTGTGTGTCAGTACCGGTACCAGGACAGTGCTGTCCCCGCTACAACTGCGACAACTCACGTGAGCCAAGACCTGTAACCGACTTATGGAAGGATGCATCTAGGTTCATTGCGGCTATTTGGTTTTCAGGTTTGCGGGTAACCGACCCGCCAACTTTTGGCGAGCTCGCGGGTGATGAATAACGACTAATGTAGAGTGCATTGATTAGTTTTACTCACGGTGTGGAGTGAGGAATGTATCCCATTTCCTTAACTCGAAGGAAATTGGTTTAAGTGTACCCCTAGATCCGAAGGAAATATAATTTTCCAAGATATCATCCAAGTCCTAAACGTATGTAATATTGTAAAAATGTAAGGTGTTAACAGACAATGCAGTGGGCCCATGTTTCCTGGGTGTTGCCGGGAGCATCAGACAGCCATGAAAATTTAGCCGATCGAGGGAAACATGACCATGGTAGATTATAACAAATAGAAGTGAGCCCTAAAACATACTGCTTTTACTGCTCTTTGGTACTTTTCCACACATCCAAAAACTTATAACTTTTCCCGTTGCTCTGGTGACTTGCCGGTCAGGACCAAATTTTCAACAACGTCGCAGATAACATTTACGTATTTCAAATTGAATCGTACAATTTGTATATTACTTAAAAAAGTGAAAAGACAGCACCAATTCAGTACTGAAATAAGCCCATTTATGGCTTTGTCATCTTAACTGAGTGGTTAACGGCGTGGATACCTGTAATTCCAACACGCAGTTTGAATGGGTGGCGAGCACTTTAAAGAGCGCCCAAACCTCCACGACTGGCTGGAAGCCCCTTTGGCGATCCTGGCGGTGGGCAACTCGTCGGCCAGCTTGAGGGCAGCCTAGCTCCTATGTCACGGAGTGAGGACTCTTCAGTTATTTCCGCTAGTTTCAAAGGAAAACAAAAGTCTTTTTTGATAAACCTTTGGTGAACTTTTGAGCAGAAAATGGGAAAATATAGGGTAAAATACGCCATCTTTCTAGAAAAGCATAAAATTACGACAATGCCACAGAAAACATGACCCATGCCGAAAGATCTGAGCTGAAAAGTCGCTCCAAAGGGGTTTGTCTTGCTTTTGTGAGAGCGAAGTCGTTAATTGCATGATGATATCTGCAATGTTCGAAAGCTGGGAGTATTAAAAGAAAACATATCAGTTGAATCTCTTTCTATTTCACTTAAAGAGCAGAACGAGAACTTTACTCTAATGCATAGCTAATACTGTACAAAATATGATATCAAGGCTATAAAAAATGCGCCTAGGATTCAAATTTAAAACGTAGTTAGGTTACACGCTCACACAATTGTTGACAACGTGCGCAGCGAAATTAGGGAAGCTGTACATGTCCCCACACTCCTTGCAGAAAAATGCATATCCCTCACAGTGTAAAACAGGCAACATCAGACACAAATCCCCTGCCATTGTGTATTTACTACGCATTCAGCTCCTGATTATGTATACCAACACCTGCCTCTGACTCTGGCAGGAAGGGGGGGGGGGGGGGCACCGCGGTGAATAGAGCCCCGTACTACTGCTTTCCAAGACACGCCTCTTAACCACTACACTATCAGTTCACTACGGTACACGCCACCTAATCCTCGACACCACTTCTCCCTGATTTCTCTCCACAGACTGTGTGGACGGCACCGGTCAAGTCAGACCGCATGGCTCCACCTGGACAAGCGCTGACGGCTGCACACACTACGCCTGCGATAATGGCCGCATCTCCACCGCCACAGTTGACTGCGCTCCGCCTCCTGGTCCTAACTGTGTGCCAGTACCGGTACCAGGACAGTGTTGTCCAAGCTACTACTGCGACAACTCACGTAAGCCGAGGTCTGCTGCCAGTTTGAAAAGTTACATTTCACAGAAAGCGGGCCCTTCACATCTTTCCACGGAATCCTCTGGGCCAGAAAGAACAGTTTTTTAACTGGGTTCAAAGCATTAGCAAGGCTAGGTAAAACTTTGTTCATGACTTGGTCTGACGACGAAGAACCAGTTGCGCCTCTTGATGTCAGTGTAATGAAACTGAGACGTTTGATCACAAATCTGAAGACGTTGGCCGGCAAAATGTGACAACCGTTTTAACTTGCGACTGAATTTCATTCGCAACTTTCCCAGCTATTTAAAATATTTTCTGCACATTTAACTGAACCCAAGAAAGCTGTCACCGTGCCTTTCCAAAGGAATATCCATGATTCACAGCTCGAAAACTCTCAATGCCGGGGCTAATCCCCGCCTATTTCTCTCGACAGACTGCGTGGACGGCACCGGTCAAGTCAGACCGCACGGCTCCACCTGGACCAGCGCTGACGGCTGCACACACTACACCTGCGACAACGGCCACATCTCCACCACCACAGTTGACTGTGCGCCGCCTCCCAGGCCTAACTGCGTGCCAGTGCCGGTGTCAGGACAGTGCTGTCCCAGCTACAACTGCAGCGACAGCAGCCTGGCACCATGCACGCACGCCGGCAGGACGTACCCGGACGGCGCGCAGTTCCCCGACGACGAGGACCACCCGTGCTCGGTGCTCGAGTGTGACGACGGCACGGTGCGCGTGGTGCTGCCGCCGCCCCAGTGTGCGCCGCTCACGTGCGTCGATCCACAGCAGGCGCCAGGCCAGTGCTGCCCTGTGTGTCCCGCAGGTGAGGACCAGCTGGTGTTTTGTAGTGTCCCGCAGGTGAGGGACGTATGCAGTGTTGCCTGTAGTGTCCCGCAGGTGAGGGCCGGATGGTGTTTGTAGTGTCCCGCAGGTGAGGACCGGTAGGTGTTTATAGTATCATCCCGCAGGTGTGGGCCGGCTGTCGCTCGTAGTGTCCCGCAATTGAGGGCAGACTGGTGTTGTCTGTCCCGTAGGCGAGGACATCTGTAATGCCCCACAGGTGAGGGGTGCATGCAGTGTCCTACAGGAGAGCAATATATGCAATATTCCGCAAGTGACAGCCGGCTGGTGTTGTCTATAGTGTCCCACGGGGGACAGCATGCTAGTAATGACCGTAGTGTCCCATAAATGAGGGCCGCGTCGTGTTGTCTGTTGTGCCCAGCAAGTGAAGGCTTTCTGGTGCTCCCTATAGTATTTGCCTATAGTTGTTAATAGGGTCCAACAGGTGATGGCCGCGTGGTGCTGTGCGTAGCGTCCGACAGATGACAGTGGAGTGGTGTTGCCCCGCAGGTGAAGGCTGCATGGTGTTGTCTGCTTTGTCCAGCACTTGGTGGCTGTCCGGTACTGCCTGTACTGTCCGGCGAGTGATCGCGGGCTGTCCGGAGTGTCACATAGGGAATGTGCATGATGACTGCAGTGCCGCAAGCGTGCAGTCTTCTGTATGCACTGGTACTTCCATGGATGGCTGCCTGGTCATGATTAAGTACCCTGTGGATTAGATGCCGGTGTGTCATAGTTAAGATATACTTCCCTGCAGTTATCTAGCAAGCAGACCAGACGGAAATCCTGGAGCACGAGTTCACGAAAAGGCCACCTGATATTTCAAAGAGCAAGGACTCCAAAACATATCCAAGACAGTTGCCAATCTTGTGCAGCAGCATGCAATATTCCAGCGTCATCCCAGAACCCTGCAAACAAGCAGAGCGCCGACAATCGGCCCGTCTGTCGACAGACTGTGAGGACAACACCGGCCAGATCAGACCGCACGGGTCCAACTGGACCAGCGGTGACGGCTGCACACGATACGCCTGCTACAACGGCCACATCTCCACCGCCATAGTTGACTGTCTGCCGTCTCCTGGTCCTAACTGCGTGCCCGTATCAGTGCCAGGAGATTGCTGCCCCTACTACAGCTGCGACAACTCACGTGAGGCGTGGCATGGTGCCAGTTTAAGAAGGTTCCATTTTACAGAGTTAGGACCCTCCATTTTTTTCACGGAGCCTTATGGGGTGGAAAGACCAATCCAGTACTGGGTTGACAAAGTCAGCTAAATGACAGGATGAGGACCCTTCATGTCTTTCCCCAGAGCCTTCTAAAACGGAAACATAGTTTGGTATTGGGTTTAAAATGACAGCAAATTTACAAACCGTTTTTCCATGGAGTGGCTTGACGACGGAAGACCCTTTTAAGCGTCTTGATGCTTGTTAAGTTTGGATGACATGTTTGAGTTCAAACCTTACGCATTTTTAGGAGGCAATCGCTATCTATTCCTCTCGACAGACTGTGTGGACGGCACCGGCGAAGATAGACCGCACGGCTCCACCTGGACCAGCGCTGACGGCTGCACACACTACACCTGCAACAATGGCCACATTTCCACTGCCATAGTTGACTGCGCTCCGTCCCCTGGTCCTAACTGCGTGTCAGTGCTGACGCCAGGACAGTGCTGTCCCAGCTATAACTGCGATAACTCACGTGAGCCGAAGCCTGCTACCGGCTTAGGGAAGGTTCCATCCAGGTTGGTTGCACCAATTCGTTTTCAGTTCCAAGGCTAACCAGCCCCGCATGTTTTACCGGTTTATGGATAACGAATCATGACTGACGTAGAGTACACGAATTAGTTTTGCTTTAGATGTGGAGGACAAAATGTATCTCACTTCTTTAACTTGAATGACATTAGATTAAGCGTATCCTATATCCCAAGAGAAAAGAAAACTTCAAGAGCCCTGCAAATTTCTAAAAGCATGACCGTCCCAGGAATTTTCGAAAGGTATTGACAAATGGCGCATTGGACTATGTTTGCTGGGTTCCGCCAGAAGTACCAGACAGGCATGAAAGCTACACATGCGTGGAAAAACAGCCATGGCAAATTTAATAAATGGGACATATAGCTAAAATAGATAGCTCCTTTAACATCCTTTACATTTTTCAATGAATGGCAACCAACGTTTCCCATTGCGTCTAATGATTCACGGTGTTTATCAGACTTTCAACACCGTCGTAGGTAACGTTTATGTATTCGCATCGTACAGAAGAATTTGTATGTGGCTGTGAAAAAAACAATAGTTCTGTACTCGAAGAAGCGCCTGCAGGTGTATGTCGTCGTGACCGAGTGGGTAGCGACGTGGATACGTGCGGTTCGAAATCCTCGCTTGGAATCCGCATGCGAGTAATTTGAAAAAACCTCCCAAATCTCCACGGCCGGCTGGTCGTACCCTGCCGCAACTCCGACGACCGGCAGCTCGTTCCCGTATGCCCTAAAAAGAACTACCGATCACCCATTGTTCCCAACACGCAACGCTGGACGCCCATCCCCTGCCATTGTGGCTTCACGACGCATTCGGCTATTGATGACATAGCTCACCTTGGAGGAAAGGGGAGACACGCCAGGGAATCGAACCCCGTACTACCACATTCACCCACGCGCAGCTAAACCACCACACTGCCTGTGCCCCTACGCTAATCCTCCTTGATCTCTCTCGACAGACTGTGTGGACGGCACCGGTCAAGTCAGACCGCACGGCTCTACCTGGACTAGCGCTGACGGCTGCACACACTACGCCTGCGACAACGGCCACATCTCCACCGCCACAGTTGACTGCGCGCCGCCTCCTGGTCCTAACTGCGTGCCAGTACCGGTACCAGGACAATGCTGTCTCCGCTACAACTGCGACAACTCAAGTGAGCCGAGGCCTGCTATCAGTTGAAAAGGTGCCATGCTACAGGGCAAAGGTTCTCCACTTCTTTTCACGTCGTCTTCTGGGCAGGAAAGAACAGGTTCTGTACTGAGTTAAAAGTATTAGTAAGAATATACAACATTTTTCCATGGCTTGGCCTGCGGACGACAGAAGCATGTGCAGTCCTTGATGCCAGTTTACCAGGGACGCTTGGTAAATAATCTTACGGTTTCCAAAAAAATGTCACTACTTAAATTTGCGACGGAATTTCACTCGCGGCGTTACGCAGAATTTGAAACATTTCGTGTACATTGACTTGACCATCGCCATGTCCAAAAAATAAAATCCACCATTCACATTCCGAAAACATCCAACGCCAGGGCTTACCTCCGTACATTTCTCTCTACAGACTGTGTGGACGGAACCGGTCAAGTCAGACCGCACGGCTCCACCTGGACCAGCGCTGATGGCTGCACACACTACACCTGCGACAACAGCAACATCTCTACTGCTACAGTTGACTGCGCGCCGCCTCCCAGGCCTAACTGCGTGCCAGTGCCGGAGCCAGGACAGTGCTGCCCCAGCTATAACTGCAGCGACAGCAGCCTGGCACCATGCACGCACGCCGGCAGGACGTACCCGGACGGCGCGCAGTTCCCAGACGACGAGGAGCGCCCGTGCTCGGTGCTCGAGTGTGACGACGGCACGGTGCGCGTGGTGCTGCCGCCGCCCCGGTGTGCGACGCTCACGTGCGTCGACCCGCGGCAGGAGCCAGGCCAGTGCTGCCCAGTGTGTCCCGCAGGTGAGCGCCGGCTGGTGTCGTCTGCGGTGCCCCGCAGGTGAGTGAAATCTTTACTGTCGCCCACGTGAGGGACGTACGCAGTTTGAGCCAGGTGACAGCCGGCTGGTGTTGTCTATGGTGTCTCACGGGTGAAATCTCATCAGTGTTAACTGAAGTGTCTTAAGGGTGAGAACCGCGCAGTGTTATCGGGTCTTCCTAGCACGCGGCACCTTTCTGGTGTTGCCCATAGCGTCCACCTATAGTTGTTTCAGTGTTAAATGTTTGAGGGCCGTCTGGTGCTTCCTCTACGTCCCACATTTGATAGAGATCTGAAGCATTCTCCAGGTGATGGTCGCATGCAGCAAAGTATACGTGAGGGCCGGGTGATGTTCTCTGTAGTGTCACGCAGGTAAGGCCTGTCTGGTGTTATGTTCATCGTCTAGCAGATGAGGGAAGCGTGGTGTTGTGTGTAGTGTATCGCAGATGAGGATAGGATGGTGTTGCCCCGCAGGTGAAGACCGCAGGGTGTTGTCTGCTTTGTCCAGCACGTGGTGGCTGTCCGGTGCTGCCTGTACTGTCTGGCGAGTTATCGAGTGCCGTCTGGACTGTCACACAAGCAACGTGCATGATGGCTATCGCAAGGGTAGAGTTTTTTATGGACAGGTTCCACCATGGATGGCTGCCTGGTCGGGTTTCAGCACCCCATGGATTAGGTGCCGGAATGGCATAGTTGGGGTGTATTTTCCGGCATTTATCTGGCAGGCCAGCCTGACGGAAACCCTGCAGCACGAGTAACGAAAAGGTAACGATATTTCGAACGGCGAAAGCTCCCAAACTCCTCCAAGACAATTGCCAGTGTTGTGCAGAGGCACGTAATGTTCCAGCGCCACCCCAAAACCCTGTAAACAAGCAGAGCGCCGACAATCGGCCCGTCTGTCGACAGACTGTGAGGACAACACCAGCCATGTCAGACCGCACGGCTCCACCTGGACCAGCGCTAACGGCTGTACACACTACGCCTGCTACAACGGCCACATCTCCAACGCCACAGTTGACTGTCTGCCGTCTCCTGGTCCCAATTGCGTGCCCGTTTCGGTGCCAGGAGAGTGCTGCCCCCACTACAACTGCGACAGTTCACGTGAGGCGCGGCATGATGCCAGTTCATGAAGGCTTCCTTTCATAGAGTGAGGACCCTCCACTGTTTTCACGGGGTCTCCTGGGCCGGAAAAAAACACCTAAGCACTGGGTAAAAAATATCAGCAATTTGAGATAACTTTTTCAAAGAGTGGCCTAGCAATGAAAAACCCATTTGCGCGTCTTGATGTCTGTTTAATTTAACTGACATGCTTGGATTCAAATCTCAGGTGCTTTAGGGGCCCAATTTCCGTCGATTTCTTTTCACAGCCTGTGAGGACAGCACCGGCCAGGTCAGACCGCACGGCTCCACGTGGACCAGTGCTGACGGCTGTACACACTTCGCCTGTGACAACGGCCACGTCTCCACCGCTATAGTTGACTGCGCACCACCTCCCAGGCCTAACTGCGTGCCCATAACGGTGCCAGCACACTGCTGTCCCCGCTACAACTGCGACAACTCACGTGAGCCGAAGTCTGCTACCGGTTTATGGAAGGTTCCATCAAGGTTGGTTGTGTCTGATCGTTTTTCAGTTCCGCGGCTAAACCGTCCGGATATTTCTGCCCAGTTCGTGGGTGATGTATAATGACTGTGGTAGGGTCAAGGAAGTAGCTATACTTAACGTGCAGAGTGGAAAATGCATCTTATCTATTTGAATAAGGACCAATTGGTTCGGGTGTATCCCTAGATCCCCAAAACAACGAAGATGTCCCGAGGTCTCTGCAGATTTTTAAAGGTAAGTGAGGGACTAATAATTTTCGCACAGAATCGACAAACAGCGCAGAGGACGCGTGCTTGCTGGATAGGCCGGGAGCATCAGACATCCATGAAAATTATTCAGTCGTGGAAAAATGGCTATGCTAAATTAGAAGAAACGTTACTAATGTATAACAACGAATGGTTCGTTTTTACATAGTTTTTTTTTACTGTTTCTCCACAAATAAAAACCATACAAGTTGCCTCCAGCGATTTACAGGTGATTATCGGCGTTTCAACAACGTCGCATGCAACGCTCACGTGTTCGAATTGAACGGAACAATTTAGATGTGGCTGAAGACCAGTGAGAAAACAGCAGTCCAGTATTCAAGCCTGTAGGGCTCTGTTATCGTGACCGAGTGGTTAATACATGGAATTCCGAATACGCGGCTCGCATCCGTGGCGAGCACTTTGAACAGCGCCCAAACCTCCCTGGCGCGCTAGCAGCAGCCTGCGGCAACCCAGGGGACCGGCAATTCGTCGGCTAGCTTGAGATCAGCCTTTGCCCCTATGTCAGGGAGTGAGAACTCTTCAATGTTTAAGGAAATCGAGGCTAAATCTAGTTATCTCCCTTGAGAAAGTAGGAACAACTCCGACCATCTAACTCAGTAGCATCACCCGCAACGAAAGAGTTGTGCTGAAATGGCCCGCAGGTGGGGTTTGTCTGGTGCTGTTAGCGATAAGCGTAGTGGGAATCGCATGATATTGTCTGCAATGTTACAGAGCTAGGAGTTTTGACAAACATCTTATTTGCATCTCTCCTTATTTCCATTAACGATTTAAACCGGGATTTTGTTGTAATGTATTACTACTCTTCTTACTTTTGACACTGGTGCACAATAATTAGGGCATCTGTAGATGTCACGAAGTCCGTGCAAGAAATATTGATCACACACTGTTCAAAAACAGGCCACGCCGGGCACCAATACCAGTCACTGGGGCCCTTCGACGATGAATCTACTCAGGATATATGACGTCGCCCGCCCCTCAACCTGGCAGGGAGCAGTAGTAAAAGTAATAATTGGGGCTTTAGGGCGCCTCGGCTGCGCGGTCATTTGCGCCCAGAACATAAATTCACGTCAAAAAATCAAGGTCATTGATCATGTGCCGCAAACGATCTGAGTCGGTGTGTATATATATATATATATATATATATATATATATATATATATATATATATAGCAGAAGTTAAACGCGACAAGAATTTAGAGATATTCGATGTGCAATGAGTCGCTGTCGAGCGAATCAGACAGCGTGAGAGATGGTGCAGCCCGGCCGAAGTACTGCGGACATTCAACATGTAACGCGGGACCGGAAACGAGCACATGACTCACAGGAAGCGTTGGGTTTCATTGGCAGCACCAGGGCGGTTCATCCCGTCACAAAAGGTAGCTATGGGTGTCGAAGTATGGCTGATCCGCAAGCGACTTAGAATAACTGTTTCTTACCCTGACCGATAGGATGACTACTATTTTTGGATTGCCGGCTTCTCAATTTTCAGTTTGTTGTTGCACACCGCATCCCATGCGCTCTGCCACAGACCTCGTAAAAACGACGATATAGCTGGATGTAAGTCCGTGGCGGGCATTGGACATAGTCTTGTGGATGGGCGAAGCGTAGCACTCTTTGCGGTGGCGTCGGTAAGCTCAGATTTGCGGGATTTAAACGTCTCTTAATGCCAAGACTTCTACGGGAGTCTGTTAAATTTTCGTGCAAGGCATCTTCGTCCACCTGTATACAATGAAGTGCCTTATCAATCGCAACAAACTCAGCCGTATATACAGACGAATAGGTCGGTAGCATGAATGACCGTGTATCTTGGCTGCACACAAAGGAGCAGCCAACGTCCGTATCCGTTTTAAAAACCGTCTGTATACGTGGTTTTGTGTCTCCGATACGTTTTGACATGTAAGGCTGTACTTCCAGCAATACATCGAATCATACTTTTCACGAGTATGCGCCAAAGAGTTGTCGGTGGCCGGCGACACACACGTCCCTGGAGGGGCCGGCAGGCTGGATGGGCGCATCACACCCCGAGGACCCAATACACTCCCTCGAAGGACATTGGTGGTGATAATGATCTGGGCATTGCGCCAGCTTGCTAACGTACCGTAACCCTAACAACGTCCCTTGGATCGCTAGCGGCGGTTTATTCGCTTCAACAGGAAGCTATCTGTTGGAGACGTCCGCAAAATACCGGCGATGACTCAGCGCAACGTGATGTGCCGTGTTTGAAGTATTTTTGACAGAATCTGAGGCACTGTCATATACAAAAAAAAACGGAATCCAGCCTGAGCAACACAGAAAGGTGCAAAAATGAAGGTGTTTTTCTGACAACTCGTAAGATGTTCGTGTGGCACATTTTAGAACATTCAGAGATTTTACGTACATTTCCCTGATAACTTTAACATGCTGGCGGAATGTCAGATAGCGCATTCAGATGGTATCAGCTGCCTGTATAAATAAATCTGCCCGTTGGAACACTTATGACGGCGAAAAAGTGTCTTTTGTGTCCTTTGTGTGTGTGTCCTTTTGTCTTTGACGTCGAGAACTGGAATCCGTTATGAATGTCACAGTCCTCCCGGCGCATGACGAACATCTGCAGCTGTCGCTTAATAGTCGTTATCCTTGATGCGCATGAACAGATGAGAACCTCGTCGACGAAAAGGGGCCGGCCAATGAATTGCGGGAGTGTCATGTTAATATCAGTGATCACGACAGCAAATAATGTTATGCCTAAAACACTTCCTTGAGGTATTCCGTAACCCTTTAAAAATCGAATGTGAAGGGTGACGGCCGACTGTAACGCATAAAGACGTTTCGGCAATACCTTCTGTAAAAATGCGCCCATACGGCCAGGTATGCCACGTTTAAAGGGCTTGAATAGAAGACCAGGCCGCCAGGCTGACTCGTGAGCCCTCTCAACATCGACGAGGCAGCACCTCACTGGAAACGCAACGCAAAGACAGCGACTTTAGCAGTGTCAACTACCAAAATGTGGTCTTTCCTGCAGCGGGTTTTTTCTGAAGCTGCATTTAATGTTGTTCAATATGAGTTTCTCCTGTACGTGCCATGACAATCGGTCGTTTGCCATCTTCTCCATGAACTCACATGACGATGAGGTAAAAGACATCGATCTGTAAATCAGCTGATCTAAGCACGTGCGGGCCACGCAGTAACTCGAACCCTGTACCACTGCTTTCCCAGACACGCGGCTTCACCATTACACCATTCGTAACCCGGCACAAAGCGCAGTCGCTTTCTCTTGACAGCCTGTGTGGACGGCACCGGCCAAGTCAGGCCCCATGGCTCCACCTGGACCAGCGCTGACAGCTGCACACACTACACCTGCGACAATGGCCACATCTCCACCGCCACAGTTGCCTGCGCGCCACCTCCTGGTCCTAACTGCGTGCCAGTACCGGTATCGGGACAATGCTGTCCCCGCTACAACTGCGACAACTCACGTGAGCCGAAGTCTGCTGTCGGTTTAAGATGTTACATTTAACACAGTCGGAAAGAACAACTTTTATACTAAATTAAAGATACGAGTAATTTTACACAAATTTGTACATGGCTTGGCTACCGACGATAAAAGAACCATTTGCGTCTCTTGATACCTGTTCAATGTAACTGTGACGTTTGGTTATAGATCATCAGACATTTTGCCTAAAAATGCGCAAAGTTTGCGACGGAATCTCACTCGACAAGCTACGCACCTTCTTGAAAGATTTTCTGCACCCTCAAAACGACCGAAGAAAGATGTCACAGTACTCTGCCCACAGGAATACCAACCCTTCAAAGAAGATAGCTAAAAAAAAAACACTCCACGCCGGAGCCAATCCCAGTCTGTTTCTCTCGACAGTCTGTGTGGACAACACCGGCCAAGTCAGACCGCATGGCTCCACCTGGAACAGCGCTGACGGCTGCACACACTACGCCTGCGACAACGGTCATATCTCCACCGCCACAGTTGACTGCGCGCCGTCTCCTGGTCCTAACTGCGTGCCAGAAGCGGTGCCAGGACAATGCTGCCCCAGCTATAATTGCAGCGACAGCAGCCTGGCACCATGCACGCACGCCGGCAGGACGTACCCGGACGGCGCGCAGTTCCCCGACGACGAGGACCGCCCGTGCTCAGTGCTCGAGTGTGACGACGGCACGGTGCGCGTGGTGCTGCCGCCACCCCAGTGTGCGACGCTCACATGCGTCGACCCGCAACGGGCGCCAGGCCAGTGCTGCCCTGTGTGTCCCTCAGGTGAGGACCAGCTGGTATTTCCTGTAGTGTCCCGCAGGTAAGTGCCGTATGGTGTTAGTGTCTAGTAGGTGAAGGACGTCTTCGGTGTCCAGCGGGTGAGCGACGTATGCAGTGTCAACGGGTGAGAAAACGCTTGTGTTGACTGCAGTGAAGGTGCGTGCACTACTGGTAAAGGCCGCGTGGTGTTGTATGTTTTGTACATTACGTGGTGGCAGTCTGGTGCTGCCTTTGCTGCTCGGCAAGTTATCGGCTGCTGCCCGTCCTCGGTTACTGTTCATCAGAAAATTTGCATGATGTCTGTGGTATCCAAAGGTAGTAGTTTTCTTGATGCATTGGCACCATCATGGATGGCTGCCTGGTCGGGTTTCAGTGCTCTGCGGATTAGCTGGCGGTATGCCACAGTCCAATGCATTTTCTAGCGTTCATGTAGGGGGCAGACTTGTCGGAAACCCTACAGCACAAGTTCACGAAAATGTCAAAAGATATTCGGAGGGCTAAAAACGTTTAAAATCATTGCCATTTTGTGCAGCGGCATGCGATGCTGCAGCGCCACCCCAGATCCCTGTTAACAGCTAGACCAGAGCGCCGATAATACACTCGCCTGTCGACAGACTGTGTGGACAACACCGGCCAGGTCAGGCCACACGGCTCCACCTGGACCAGCGCCGACGGTTGCACACGATACGCCTGCTACAATGGTCACATCGCCATCGCCATAGTCGACTGTCTCCTGTCTCCTGGCGCTAACTGCGTGCCCGTATCGGTGCCAGGACAGTGCTGTCCCCACTACAACTGCGACAATTCACGTGAGGCGAGGCCACCTGCCAGTTTAAAGTATTCCATGTTTATATGGGGTTTTGAGATGAACTAGCCATCTTGAAGACCTTTCGGTGCTGTTCACAATCCTGCCTTCTTAAGGTCTAATCACCCCTAGATTCCGAGCTGCACGTCCGCAAAAATGGGGAAAGGTCGATTGGGCTGGGAGGAAAATGCAATTTCTTCAGGCATTCATAGCTGGCGTTCGTGAGCGCGATTACCAGATCCAACGGCCGGCAATTGGCTCTCGATCAATATTGTGCATGGTGCGATGACGTAATCAAGCCACGACGCATTGAAGAGCATATTAAGCAAACAGAGAATTGTGCAGTAAAGAGCAGTCTTTTCCACTTAAAAGAGTATACCAATAGCCATAAGTGGGCTTGTTTCATCACATCTGATGCTTGCCTTAACATCTACCAAAGCCAGACATTCCCCCTAAGAAGATTTAATTCCCCAGTATGGGAACCTTCCACAATTTGCCACGAGGTCTTTTGTGGTGGAAAGAGCAAATTAATATTGATAAGACAGTAGCACTAGCCTTATTCCTCGGAAAAAAACAGGAAAATGGAGATATAGTTATGTTGATATTTCGGCAACATGCCTTTCTCGAAACAATAGCAGAAGTGAATTCAAAATTGCTTGCCGATAAACCTACTCGATCTTTTAGGTTTTTGGTTTTGAAAGAGCAAGCCACAGTTTTTACAGGACACCAACATTCAGGGGATCAAACAAAGAGCGATTGCCAGCCACTACCAAGACACAGTGCCTATCTAAGAATTAGAATTCCCGGACATGTGTACATGCAAACGAATTCACGCAAATAGGCATCACGCATCATGCTTCATTCGAACACGCAGCCAAGCTTAAGTGAACTGGCATCACACATCGCGCACCAATTATACATGAGAACAATTTCAATTGAACAGGCATCGCACATCACGCGTCAGGCATCACTTACACATGTAAACGATTTTAAGCTAGCACACGCCACACATAGAGGCACATATCACACTCGCATAATTGGCCACGATGAGCCATGTATGTCAAGATTTGGTCGCCGACTTTTTATAAAAAAAGATTCTCTTATTTTCCTGTCTGAGCCGCCCTATTCTCCGCAGGTGACTTTGAGCTCTAACGGGGGTATATGGTACATACTTACGTTGATTTTAGCCTGAGTGTGTTTTTCCAAAAAATGGTATCCGAAAGGGGTATTCCCTGTTTTGTTTTTTAGCGTCTCGCAGGTATTCATTATATATCAAACGAATAGGGCGCATGGACTCCCCGACATAGACTATGTCTCTCCCATGTTTTTCACAGTTTTCACTTGATTTCGTAAACCACGTTTTTGCGTGCAAACCCACTGAAACCAAGAACTGCATAAATGACATCTGTTGCCACCCGTGCACTTAGGCTTCGAGCTGGAAGATTTCACCAAACTTTTTCGGCAACATGCCTTTCCCGAAACAATAGCAGAAGGTAGTAGCGGTAGTAGACAATAGAAGTAGAACTAGTAGTAGACAATAGCAGACTTCTGCTATGGCTTTGAGAAAGGCATGTTGCCGAACAAGTCTCTGGTGGAATCTTCCATTTCGAAGCCTGAGTGTCTGCGTGGCCAAACAGATGTCATTTATGCAACTCTGGATTTCAAGGGGTTTACACGCAAAATGTGGTTTGAGAAATCAAGTGTAAACTGTGTGAGAAACATGGGACGGACATAGTTTATGTCGGGGAGTCCATGTGCCCTTTTCGTTTGAGATGTAATGAACGCCTGCGAGACGCTAAAAATAAGACAGGGAGTACCCCTTTCGGTGACCGTTTTTGGCAAAACACGCTCGGGCTAAAATCAACGTAAGTATGTACCCTATGCCAATTTTAGAGCTCACAGTCATCTACAGAGCACAGGACCATACAAACAGGAAAGTAGGTGAATCTTTTCCTATAAAAAGTCGGCGACTTAATCTTAACATACGGGGCTCAACATGGAAAATTATGCGAGCGTGATATGTACCTCTATGTGTGACGTGTGCTAGCTTAAAATCGTTTACATGTGTAAGTGATGCCTGACGCGTGATGTGCGATACCTGTTCAACTGAAATTGTTCGCATGTATAATTGGTACGCGATGTGTGATGCCTGTTTACTTCAGCTCGCTTGCATGTTCGAATGAAGCGTGATGCGTGATGCCTATTTGCTTGAATTCGTTTGCATGTACACGTATGTCTGGGCATTCTAATTCTTAGATAGGCACTGTATCTTGGAAAAGGCTGGTAATCGCTCCTTGTTTAATCCCCTGAATGTAGGTGTCCTATAAAAACTGTGGTTTGCTCTTTCAAACAAAACAAAAAAACTGAAAAGTCGAGCAGAATCACCGGCAGGCAATTTTGAATTCACTTCTGCCACTGTTTCAAGAAAGGCATGTTGCCGAGACATCAACCTAACTATATCTCCATTTTCCGTCTTTCCGAGGAATAAGGCTAATACTACCCTCTTAGCTATGTGACTACTGTTCCTAGCTAGTGCACTGAGCAGCTCAGAAATTCATGTTGGGTGAAAAACATTACTTGCTTAAAAAGGTGAGAACCCTGCACTTTCTCCACATTCTTCTATGCGGCAAACAACATTTTAGAACTGGGTGAAAAAGAACTAAGGTTACATAACGTTTTTCTGTGGAGTCGCCTGGCAACGAAAGAACCCTTTGGCCGTCTTGATGTCTTTAATTAAAATAATATGCTGAGATAAAATATTACGCACTTTTGGAAGCTAATCCCCGTACATTTCTCTCGACAGACTGCGTGGACGGCACCGGCCAAGACAGACCGCACGGCTCCATCTGGACCAGCGCTGACGGCTGCACACACTACGCCTGCGACAACGGCCACATCTCTACCACCATAGTTGCCTGCGCACCGCCTCCTGGTCCCAACTGCGTGCCAGTACCGGTACCAGGACAGTGCTGTCCCCGCTACAACTGCGACAACTCACGTAAGCCCAGGCCTGTAACTGGTTTATGGAAGGTTCGATTCTAGGTTGGTTGCGGCTATTCGGTTATCAGTTTCGCGCGTGACCGGCCCGCCTACTTTAACCAGTTCGTGGATGGTTTATACTGACTAAGGTAGGGTCCAAAAATAGATTTTCTTCCTACATCAAACTGATTTCAGTGCATCCCCAGATCCCAAGAATAAAGAAAATCATCGGCTACTTGCCGCACCCTGCGGCAGCCCTGGCGATTCGCAGCCTGACTGGCTTGACACCAGCCTTCCTCCTATGTCAGGGAGTTGTGCACGTAATTGGGATAATGTGGGTAAAAAATCTTAGAACTAAAATAAAAAACCATGCCCACCCAACTGAGAAGCATGCCCCATACGAAACCCATGAGATGAAATGTCCGACAGATGGAGTTTGTCCGGTGCTGTTCGTGACGGCCCAGTGGTGACCTGTGTGGTCGAGTATGCAATACTACAGAGATGGGAGCTTGGAAAGAACATTGTATTGCATCTCTTTATTCTTCCGCTAACGAACATAACGAAAGCGATTACGATTTTGATTCCAAAGATTCATAACGATCGTTACGTTGATCCATAACGCTGATTTGAACGATTCATTACAACGATTCCTAACGAAACGATTTTGTTTTAACGTTTAACTGCTGGCAAAAATGTTCATACTGTTCGAATTCTTTACGCAGTTGCACATGGCAGGAAGGGCGGGCACCGCGGTGAATCGAACCCCGCACGACTGCTTCCCCAGACGCGCAGCTTAACCACTACACTATATGTACCCCGACGATCCTCCTTGATTTCTTTTCACAGCCTGTGTGGATGGCACCGGTCAAGTCAGACCGCATGGCTCCACCTGGACCAGCGCTGACGGCTGCACACACTACGCCTGCGACAACGGCCACATCTCCATCGCCATAGTTGACTGCGCTCCACCTCCTGGTCCTAACTGCGTGCCAGTAACGGCGCCGGAACAGTGCTGTCCACGCTACAACTGCGACAACTCACGTGAGCCGACGCCTGCTGTCAATTTAAAAGGTTGCGTTAAACAAAGTGAGACCCCTTCATTCATTCCGCGGCGTCTTTCGCGCCGGAAGTAGCAGGTTTTGTGTTGGGCTAAAAATATACCTAAGTTTACATGAGGTTTATCTTACCTTGGTCCGGCGACGAAAGAACCATTTGCGCCTATTAATGCTTGTATAACGTAACTAAGTCTTTGGTTAGAACTGCCACAGTACTAGAACTAGAACAGTAAAAAAAAAAAACGTGCGACTAAGGTTCCAATTTCCGATAGATCTTCACTCGCAACGTTGCGCCCTATTTAAATCCTATCTGCACAAAGAAAGCTGTCACCGCGCTCTGTCCACAGAAATCTGCCCCCCCCCCCCATGGGTTAAAAAAAACACGCAACCCCAGGGCTTACCTCCGTACATTTCTTTTTAGACTGTGTGGACGGAACCGGTCAAGTCAGACCGCACGGCTCCACCTGGACCAGCGCTGACGGCTGCGCACACTACACCTGCGACAACGGCCACATTTCCACCGCCACAGTTGACTGCGCGCCGCCTCCCAGGCCTAACTGCGTGCCAGTGCCGGTGTCAGGACAGTGCTGTCCCAGCTACAACTGCAGCGACAGCAGCCTGGCACCATGCACGCACGCCGGCAGGACGTACCCGGACGGCGCGCAGTTCCCCGACGACGAGGACCACCCGTGCTCGGTGCTCGAGTGTGACGACGGCACGGTGCGCGTGGTGCTGCCGCCGCCCCAGTGTGCGACGCTCACATGCGTCGATCCCCAGCAGGCGCCAGGCCAGTGCTGCCCTGTGTGTCCCGCAGGTGAGGACCGGCTGGTGTTTTGTAGTGTCCCAAGAGTGAGAGCCAGTTGGAGTTGACTGTAGCGTCCCACGGGTGGGTCAGCTGGTGTTTACTGCAGCGTCCTACAGGTGGGAGCCGCATGGTGTTGCTTGTTGTGTCCAGAACGTGGTGGCTTTTTGGTGTTGGCTATAGTGTCTGCCTATAGCTGTGAAGTGTGCCACACGTGTAGGCCGTGTGATGTCGTCTGTAAAGTCACACAGGTAAAGAATATCTGCAGTGCCCCGCACGTGACGAACGTATGCAGTGTAGTGTACGTGGAGGCCTACTAATGTTCTATGTAGTGTCACGCAAGTAAGGACCGTCTTGTGTAGTCTGGATTGTGCCGCAGGTAAAAACAGCGTGGTGCCTGCAGTGTCCCGCAGAAGAGGGCCGCGTAGTGCTGTCTGTAGTGTTCCACAGATGAGGGCGGGATGGCGTTGTCTGTAATGTCCCGCAGGTGAGGGCCGCGTGGTGTTGTCTCCATTGTCCTGCAGATGAGGGCAGGATGGCTTTGTCTGTAGTGTCTCACAGATGAGGGCAGGATGGCTTTGTCTGTAGTGTCCCACAGATGAGGGCCGCGTAATGCTGGCTATTGTGTCGGGCGCGTGGTGGCTCTCCGATGCTGCCTGCACTGTCAGACGAGTTATTGGGTGCTGTGTCGACTGCCCCACAAAAATTACATGTTGCACGCAGTGTCTCAAGGGTAGGAGTTTTGTCTAGGTACTGGTACCACCATGGGTGGCTGCCTGGTCATAAGATATCGGAATGCTATACTTGGGATTCATTTTCCGGCATATATCTAACGTGTAGCCTGACTGAAACCCTGCAGCAGGTGTTAACGAAAAGGTCACGAGATATTCGAGGTTTAAAACCCTCCACAACATTGGACGACAACTGCCCATGTTGTGCAGCGGCATGCAATACTGCAGCGCCACCCCAGACCTCCGTGAACAAACAGACCAGAGCGCCCACAATATACCCGTCTGTCGACAGACTGTAAGGACAATACCGGCCAGGTCAGACCGCACGGTTCCACCTGGACCAGCGCTGACGGCTGCACACGATACGCCTGCTACAACGGCCACATCTCCACCGCCATAGTTGACTGTCTGCCGTCTCCTGGTCCTAACTGCGTGCCCGTATCGGTGCCAGGAGATTGCTGCCCCGACTACAACTGCGACAATTCACGTGAGGCACAGCCTGCTACCGATTTAAGAAGGTTCCATTTTACAAAGTGGAGGCCCCCCATTTCTTTTCACGGAATCTTCAGGGTTGAAAAGAACGATTTAGTACGGGGTTTGCATCAGTCGAGAGGTGATAAAAGAGTGAAAACACATCGTTTCTTTCCGCGGCCTCTTCGTCGGAAAGAATGTTTTAGAACTCGGTTAAAAATAAGTAAATTTATACAACGTTTTTCGAAGTATTGGTCTGGCGACGAAAGAACCGTCTGCGCCTAGTTAATTCAAATGAGACGGTTGTATTTAAATCAAGGCATTTGAAGGGCTAAATCCCGTAAATTTCTCTCCACAGATTGCGCGGACAGCACCGGTCAAGTTAGACCGCACGGCTCCACCTGGACCAGCGCTGACGGCTGCACGCACTACACCTGCGACAACGGCCACGTCTCCACCGCCGCAGTTGACTGTACTCCGCCTCCTGGCCCTACTTGCGTGCCAGTACCGCTACCGGGACAGTGCTGCCCCCGCTACAACTGCGACAGCTCACGTGAGCCGACACCTGCTTCCGGTTTAGGGAAAATTTCAACCAGGTTGGCGGCGGCTGTTCGGTTTTCAGTTACGCGGCCAAACGACCCGCCTATTCCTGACCAGTTCGTGTGATGGATAATTACTAATGTAGAGTTCAGGACTTAGTTTTGCGGCAGACGTGGAAAGCAAAATGATATATTTTTCAACTTAATTTAAGTGGTTTAGGTGTAACCCTAGATCTCTATAACAGAGAGAGCTTCCCAAGACCTATGTAAATTTCTAAATGCATGCAATGTTATAGGAATTTACGCATTTGACGGCAGCGCAGTGAACGTACGTCTGCTTAAGTTTGCCGGGTGGCATTACTGCAGGGCACCACGGGGAATTGAATCCCGTGCCGCTGCTTTCCCAGACGCGCGCCTTAGCCACTACAATACTTGTACACCGACACGAATCCCCGTTGATTTCTCTTTACAGCCTGCGTGGACGGCACCGGCCGGGTCAGACCGCACGGCTCCACCTGGACCAGCGCTGACGGCTGCACACACTACGCCTGCGACAACGGCCACATCTCCACCGCCATAGTTGACTGTACTCCGCCTCCTGGCCCTTACTGCGTGCCAGTGCCGGTACCGGGACAGTGCTGTCCTCGCCACGACTGCGATAACTCAGGTGAGCTCCTCAGTTCTTTGCATGGCGTCCTGCGGGCCGCAAGAACAGATTTTGTACTGGGGAAAAAAGGGTTGTAAGTTTACACAAAGTTTTTCGATGGATTATTCTGACGATGAAATAACCATCTGCACCTCATGATGCCTACTAACCTGCGCCCAGCCGGGGGTCTGAGACAAACGTGCCCGGCCGGGGAAAGTTGACTTGCGCCCGAGATCTTCAGCTTTCAGACATCGTAGAAGAAAACAATGACATCGTTGTTAATGTTCGTCAAATCATAAAGAATGCATATCAACATCTTACTTAGATTAAATTTAACGTCACCAAAGGTCAAGCAAGATAAAAACACGGTCAAAGATGAAGTAAATGTTGTCAAAGATGAAGTAAAATATACGTTAACACGTCAAGATGGGTATTGAGGGCACAGAGGTATGCGTCAGGACTGGGGGGGAGTCCATTCCGAGCAGTTCTATTTCCCCCACAAACATCAGGTTAGATCATGTGACCGTTCAAGATTGGTTTACCAGAAGCATCCTAGAACGAAACTTTTTGTTTTCTTTGAAAATGTGTTTCCTGCTAACTTTATTCCCGCTAACTATTGGGTGCAGCTCTGGGGCAAAGGTATCCAGGACAAAAAATATGTAGCAAAGGTATCCAGGACAAAAAATATGTGGCAAAAGTCATTCTACGCTGACCTAAAGTTCAGCTAGGGTCAGCCTAGGTTAGATTTTTAACCATCCAAAGGATAAAAAAGTAGAAATAGGTCTAAGTGACCAGTACAACACTTTTCTGTGGTCAGAAAAGAGGATGTTAATTATCAAAAGGTACGCCACATCCCATAGCTGTTACCTGTACACGTTATGCATAGTCGCTTCGACGCTTGGTAATGTATTTGTCACAAGCTGAGAACAGGCACGTTGGTACATGGAATTGTGCGTTATCAGCTTCACTAACACGATATGAAGTGGTTACACGCGTCGCACTCACGTTCATTTAGCCTCTCCTCAACTGACAACAGATCGCTTACCTTGGATGAATTCGTAACACCAATGACCTAACCGTCCTCACGTGACCCACTGTCACTACATGACCTTCTGTCGCTACTGAGTAGCACTCTTTCCCTTGTATACAAATAACAAAACTACAGAAGTGCGTTTAAATTTGCATTGTTTCCGAAAAAAATAGCGAAAATTCACCTGACCTCAAGTCAGTGGCCTAGCCAGTTTAGGAAATTCTGGAACATAAAAACTATAGATACTCTCATGAGCTATAAGCTTATTACACGCCACTACAACAATTTTGAGCGATGACAAACAACCAACAACCAAACCATACGTCATCAAACCTTTCAGAGGTTGACCTATTTGATCTCACCTAGGTTACTGACCTTCACAGATCAAAACTTCAAATTTCCAGTATGCATACCAAATGGATAGATAAAGCGGTACAGACCATTTAGTGTTGCTGCGAGCGTTTCTTTTCCAGCCGTGCTCGAAAAACCATACAGGGGGAGTCAACTTCTCACAGGGCGTGAACTAACGCCGCTGAGACGCTTAGTTACAGGCTTTCACATATTTTCCACTAAAACGTGAATACAGATTTAATTTGCGACGGAATTTCGCTCGCAAGGTTGTGCACTATTCGACGCATTTTCTACACACTCAGATAGACACAAGAAAGCTGCGATCGCACCCTGTCCTCAGGAATATCGACCATTCATAGCTAACAAAAACAACAAAACAAAAAAACACGCAATGCCGGGGCTAATCCCGTCTATTTCTCTCGACAGACTGTGTGGACGGCACCGGCCAAGACAGACCGCACGGCTCCACCTGGACCAGCGCCGACGTCTGCACACACTACGCCTGCGACAACGGCCACATCTCCACCGCCATAGTTGACTGCGCGCCGCCTCCCAGGCCTAACTGCGTGCCAGTGCCGGTGTCAGGACAGTGCTGTCCCAGCTACAACTGCAGCGACAGCAGCCTGGCACCATGCACGCACGCCGGCAGGACGTACCCGGACGGCGCGCAGTTCCCCGACGACGAGGACCACCCGTGCTCGGTGCTCGAGTGTGACGACGGCACGGTGCGCGTGGTGCTGCCGCCGCCCCAGTGTGCGACGCTCACGTGCGTCGATCCCCAGCAGGCGCCAGGCCAGTGCTGCCCTGTGTGTCCCGCAGGTGAGGACCGGCTGGTGTTTTGCAGTTTCCCGCAGGCGAGGGACGTATGCAGTGTTGCCTGTAGTGTCCCGCAGGTGAGGGCCGCGTGGTGTTCCTTGTAGTGCCCCACGTTGAGAGCACGCTGTTATTAGCTGTGGTGTCCCCCCGGTAAGAGACGTACGTAGTGCAGTATATGTGAGGGCTGACTGGTGTTCTCTTTAGTGTCACGCAGGTGGCGGTCTGGTGTTGGCATCATCTTCCCGCAGGCGAGGGCAGCGTAGTGTTGTCTGTAGTATCCCGTAGGTGAAGGTCGGCCGATGTATGTAGTGTCACTCAGGTGAGGGCAGCATGGTGTTGTCTATAGTGTGTCACATGCGATGGACGCGAGATGTCTGTAGTGCTCCAAAGGTGATGGATACGTAATATTTTTTTATAAGTACCGCATATGGGGGCCGCGTGGTGCTGTCTGCAGGGTCCCGCAGACAAAGGCAGAATGGCGTTGTCTGTAGCGTCTCGCTGGTAGAGGCCGCATGGTGTTGTCAGTTTTGTCCGGCACGATGTGGCTGTCCGATGCTGCCTGTATTGTCCGGCGCGTAATCGTGTGCCGTCCGGACTGTCCCAAAGGAACATTGCATGCTAGTGCATAGTCTCAAGGGTAGGAGTTTTTCGCACGCACTGGTACCGACCATGGACGACTGCCTGGTCATAAGATGTCGGAATGCCATAGTTGGGATACGTTATCCCGCACTTATCTAGCAGTCGGACATGCCGAAAACCCTAAAATGCGAGTTTACCCATAGGCCAAAAGGCATTCTGAAGACTAAAACCGTCCAAAAGCCTGCAAGACAATCGCCAATCTTGTGCAGCGGCATGCAATGCTGCAGTGCCACCTAGACCTCTGTAACAAACAGACCAGAGAACCGGCAAGCGACACGTTTGTCGACAGACTGTGTGGACAACGCCGGCCAGGTCAGACCGCACGGCTCCACCTGGACCAGCGCTGACGGCTGCACACGACACGCCTGCTACAACGGCCACATCTCCAACGCCACAGTTGACTGTCTGCCATCTCCTGGTCCTAACTGCGTGCCAGTACCGGTGCCAGGAGAGTGCTGCCCCCACTATAACTGCGACAATTCACGTGAGGCGCGGCCTACTGTCGGTTTACGAAGGTTCCATTTCACAGTCACCCTCCACTCCAGCGTCACCCTCCACTTCTTTCCACGGAGTCTTCTGGGCCGGAAAGAGCACTTCTAGGCTAACAATATCATTAAATGAAAGGAAGCGTCCCACACTGGTATGCAGTCTTGACTGAAATAGCAATCCTGAAAAGCATTCGGTGCAGTGCGCAGCCATGCCCTTGTTTACAACTATACCCCTTCAGTTTCTGATATACACGCCCGCCAGGATGTGCAGACTATTTCGGGGAGATTATTCAAATTAACCTAGAGATCCATTACGCGATAATAAAGTCATCTGGATTCTTCTATTCAACTGGCCATGCGGCGGTCAAGGCCAAGAACAATGAAATTGCCAAGTCGTTCACATCGGGCGCTCGTCAGCACGATTTCCCGTTATAGTGGCCGTCAATTATCACCCAAACAATGTTGCGCAAGGCGGGATGACGTAATCAAGCAATGATGCATTGGGGATTAATTCTACTAAAGATATATTGTGATGTCTAAAGCAGTCACTTCCATTTCAAAGTACACCATTAGTAAAAAAGCTCATTTAAAACGTCTGATGCTTCCTTCAATATATTCAAACGTGGATAAATCTATTAAACGGCATGATGAGCCCTTATTTTTTCCCGCGAAGTCTTGTTCGCATAAAAAGTCTTAAAGCTGGGTAAAGATCGGTAAATTTAAAAAGCGTTTTCCACAGAGCGGCCGAGTGACGCCAGAAGCATTTGTGCGTCTAGATGCAGCTTACTTACATGAGACGTTGGGATTCAAATTCTGCACGAAGTAGGGGGCTAATTCCCGTCCATTTCTCCCGACAGAATGTGTGGACGGTGCCGGCCAAGTCAGACCGCATGGCTCCACCTGGACCAGCGCTGACGGCTGCACACACTACACCTGCGACAACGGCCACATCTCCACCACCACAGTTGACTGTGCTCCGCCTCCTGGTCCTAACTGCGTGCCAGTACTAGTAGCGGGACAGTGCTGTCCCAACTACAACTGCCATAACTCACGTGAGCTGAAGCCCGCTACCGGTTTACGAAAGGTTCCATGGAGGTTGGTCGCGGCTATTCGGTTATCAGTTCCGCAGTTAACCGGCCCGCCTATTTTTGACCAGTTCGTGGGTAATTACCAATGACTAATGTTGGAGCCAAGAACTAGTGTTACTTCTGTTCTTTTTTAACTTCTGTAAGTATGCCAGGTCCTAGGAATATTTGCAAGGTGTTGAAAGACGGCGCAGTGAACGCATGTTTGCTGGGGTCTGGCATGCAGCGTCAGAGCCAAGCAATATCAATCAGTCGCGGAAAAATGGTCATGGTAACGAGCATAATGAGGACTGTGTTCAAATGCAACACTACTAATCGTACGTAAAAATGCGCCTCACGCTCAAACTCCCGACGCAGTTGCAATCCTCGCTTACACACTTAAGACATGCACACAGGAATAAGGGCGGCGGCACATGCCCCCGAAGTCCGCACCGAGAAATGTCGATCGCTCACAATTAAAAACAGGCAACACCTGACGCCAATCCCTTGCTATTATGGCTTCACGCGCATTCGGCTACTGATGATATAGCTCACATTAGGGCGGGCACCGCAAATAGGGCGGGCACCGCGGTGGATCCGATCCCGTAAAACTGCTTTCACAGACTCGCAGCTTAACCACTACACTACCTGTACCCCGGAACAAACCTTGCTTGATCTCTCTCGACAGCCTGTGTGGATGGCACCGGCCAAGACAGACCGCACGGCTCCACCTGGAACAGCGCTGATGGCTGCACACACTATGCCTGCGACAACGGCCACATCTCCACCGCCATAGTTGACTGCGCGCCACCTCCTAGGCCTAACTGCGTGCCAGTGCCGGTGCCAGGACAGTGCTGCCCCAGCTACAACTGCAGCGATAGCACCCTGGCACCATGCACGCACGCCGGCAGGACGTACCCGGACGGCGCGCAGTTCCCCGACAACGAGGACCACCCGTGCTCGGTGCTCGAGTGTGACGACGGCACGGTGCGCGTGGTGCTGCCGCCGCCCCAGTGTGCGACGCTCACGTGCGTCGATCCCCAGCAGGCGCCAGGCCAGTGCTGCCCTGTGTGTCCCGCAGGTGAGTGATGTATGCAGTGTTCCCCCAGGTGACGGACTAAGCATGCAGTGTAGTAAACATGAAGGCCGGCTTGTGGTGCCTGTAGTGTCTTGCAGGCAAGGGACGTGTGTAGCACCCGGTAGGTTCTGATACTGTATGGATTGTCCCGAAGACGCGGGACCGGTCGGCGTTGATAATCTCACGTGTGGTGGCGGGGAAGATCTTATGGTGCTCACTGTGGTCCTCCATCGTGGCCCTTGCGCTGTGAACGTTGTTCGACAATGAGTTTCGTGCTGTCTGCAGTGTCTCACACGTGGGGAGGTGGTATGGTGTCTGCAGTGTCCCACAAACATGAAAAGACGGCGTGTTATCTGCAGTGTCCCATACGTGAACAGGCGGTATGTCTGGAGTGCCTCACACGAGAGGAGGCGGTATGTTGTCTGAAGTGTCTCACACGTTGGGGAGGCGGCGTGTTGTCTGCAGTGTCCCAAACGTGAAGAGGTGGTATGATGTCTGCAGTGTCTCATACGTGGGGTGGTGCTGTGATGCTGTCTGCAGTGTCCCACATGTGGGGACGTGGTTTAGTGCTGTCTACAGTATCCTAAACAAAACCACGCCATGTTTCCATGGAAACGTTCCAACGTGAGCAAGGATCTCGTTGTCCCAGCTAGCCAACTCCCACCGACGCCTATATGATACTTCTGACGTGCCACGGCGACATCAGGGTCTCACACGCCGGAGACCTCAGAGCGTACCTATCGCTTTTCCCAGAGGGTTGCGTGGACTCGGCCGGTGTCACGCACGCCGTCAACTCGGTCTACCTGGACGGGCTCGACACGCCGGGAGACTGTTACGTGTGCGCAGCCGGCAGCCCGCCGCAGCCACTGCTGGTGCAGAACGTGGCGCGCAGTTGTCCGCGCGCGCCGCCCGGCTGCAACGAGACGTTCGAGGAGGGCCGGTGCTGCCCAACCATCAGCTGTCCGGACGGTGAGGGCTGCTCGGGCGCGGCGGTGGAGAAGGTGGCAGTAACAGGACAAAAGTGAGCGCACATGTCACGCACGCCCGACATAGCCGTGTTTACTCCCGTCAGGGCCGACCGTCAGGTGGAGGTGAAACTCTCCGCTGCCTGCGGGGTACTGTATGTGACACCGACCGGTCGGACGGCCAGCACTCACCGCTGAAGGCCTCCAGATGTCACTGACTTGACAAGCTCTTCTCTAAATTTAATGAGCCCATTTCCTTCGCCGTCGACCTAGGCCACTTTGAGAACAGCGGCGTGTCACTCTACACCATTTCTGTCGCTTCACTTCGATGCAGTTTTGACAACAGCATAAACAAGGCACCGGACACAGCAGGTCACCTTGCCTTTCCACACGCAGGCGATCCATGCATCTTCGAGGGCGTGGCGCACGCGCCGGGAACGCAGTGGATGGACGATCTGGCGCGGCCCTGCGTCACGTACACCTGCGTGCTGGGCGTGGCCGTCCAGGTGGGGCGAGTCGAGTGTGCGCCGCTGCCGGACGGCTGCAGCGCCTTGTACACGGACGGCTTCTGCTGTCCCGAGCACTACTGTCCCGGAGGTGAGGTCAGACGTGACGTCACAGGGCCACCAGGACTAGCAACCATACCCAACTCTCGTCCCGAGCACGCTGCTGCCACAGTGTCCCATTCCTCGTCCAAAATGGGCACAAAGCATGCAAATACAAAGTCATGCTATTAGACGGGCTTCCCAGCCGCCTGCGCATCCAGATTCTGGAGGTTGCTCATCTGTTGCTCATTGACATCGAACCTTAGAATTCTGCCCTGTCCAATTGATTCGTCATGCCCTAAGCCTATAAATACTGGCTTACCCGCCGCCTGGTTCCATGATGATTAGCCGAACCTAAGTGATGGGAGGACCGACAGACAGCAAACCAAGAGCTAAAGGTACAACAGTGCGGAAAATATATGCATACTTGCCACGCAAGCAGCCGTATATTTCCCCACCGCGCTGTCGCCGTAAGCTGTGCCCCTCCTATCACGGAGAGCGCGTCCTGTGGTAGAGTGCACACCTCCTTTGTCGGGGAGTGTACTTCCTCTGACAGAGAGCGCGCCTCCTGTGGCGGAGAGCGCGGCTTCTCTGGCGGAGAGCGCGCCCCCTGTGGCGGAGAGCGCGCCGTGACCGGTCTGGCCGTGCCGCCAGCGCCGTGCACGCACGCCGGCCAGCAGCACGACGACGGCACGTCGTGGCCGCAGGACCCGGTGCGGCCGTGCACCATCCTGTCTTGCCACGACGGCCACGTGCTCTCGGAGGACGTGTCGGACCAGTGCGCGCCGCCGCCGACTGGGCCCGGTACCTGCACGCCTGCGCACGTTGACTACCAGTGCTGCCCGGTCCACGACTGCGTGCAGGGTGAGTGCGCTCGTCGCGCTGGGCTCCAGCGGCGCATCCGTCCGAGACGGGTGGCCTGCCGCGAGTGAGAGCTGTGCACACGTCACGGTAGGCGATGCAGATAGCTGCCCACTGGACGCGTTATACGCGCTGTATTCTGAATACCGTGTGATACATCCATTGGGAATGCCGTGCCAGCAATACTGGTGAAAAAGACTTCAGTGACCCCTACCGGGAAAAGATTTGCCCCATTCGGTGGTAGAAAACACTAAAGGATCGCGTCCGCCGGTCGGCAGCCACGTGCGAGTACAACGGCACGACATACAGCGAGGGCGACACGTGGCCGGACAACGAGACGTTCCCGTGCAAGCGGTTCAACTGCACGCTGAACGGACCGATTAAGGTGGCCGACTACGGAGCCCACTGTCCACCACAGCCCAACCCGCACTGCACCGGGCTACGCGCGCCTGGATACTGCTGTAAACAGTGGAATTGTCCCGATGGACCCAAAAAAGTGCCAGAAGAACCGCATATTGGTAAGCTATGGTGACGGCTAAGAACGTTGACAGTGTCTCGGTGAGTTCTGGCGACGGCTAAGAACATTGACGGTGTGCCGGTGGGTTCCAGCGACGGCCCCGAAGCGTCAGTAATCAGATATGAGCAGGTGACCGTTGCCAACGGCAGCAGCGGCGCCGAGTTTCTGTGACAGCAAGTACGATTCAATTTCCCAATGATCCACTAGACCTGATTCATCTCTTAAAGAGTGCAATAGTTTTACGCCTCTGAAAATGCGACTACGGTTGAAATTGCAAAGGGCATTTACTCCCTAGCTTACGCACTATTTGAAACATTTTCTGCACAGTCAAACAGACCCAAGCAAGCCCCGTGCTCTGTCCACAGGAATGTCCCTCCCCCCCCCCCCCCCCCCAGCTCAGAAACACGCAACGCCGGGGCTAATCCCCGTCTATTTCTCTCGACAGACTGTGTGGACGGCACCGGTCAAGTCAGGCCGCACGGCTCCACCTGGACCAGCGCTGACGGCTGCACACACTACGCCTGCGACCACGGCCACATCTCCAATAGCACAGTTGACTGCGCGCCGCCTCCCAGGCCTAACTGCGTGCCAGTGCCTGTGCCAGGACAGTGCTGTCCCAGCTACAACTGCAGCGACAGCAGTCTGGCACCATGCACGCACGCCGGCAGGACGTACCCGGACGGCGCGCAGTTCCCCGACGACGAGGACCGCCCGTGCTCGGTGCTCGAGTGTGACGACGGCACGGTGCGCGTGGTGCTGCCGCCGCCCCAGTGTGCGACGCTCACGTGCGTCAACCCGCAGCAGGCGCCGGGCCAGTGCTGTCCAGTGTGTCCCGCAGGTGAGCGCCGGCTGGTGTTTGTAGTGTCCCGCAGATGAGGGCCGGCTGGTGTTTGTAGCCTACCTCATGTGAGCTTGTGTTGTCTGCAAGGTCCCGCAGATGAGGGCCGGCTGGCGCTTGTAGTGTCTCGTTGGTGAAAAGCCTCTCAAGTGTTCCCCGTGTGACGGACATATGTAGTGTTCCCGCAGGTGAGGGGCGTATGTAGTGTTCTACAGATAAAGACCGCGTGGTGTTGTCTGCAGAAATCCGTAGGTGGGGACCGTCCGTAATGTCCCGCACCAGATGGCCACCTGTAATGTCCCGCACGTGAAGAACGTCTGTAGTGTGGTGTAGGTGAGCGCCGGCTGGCGTCTGTTGTCTGGCTGGTAAAAATCGCTGGTAGGGCCACGCGGGTAAGGGACATCTGGTTTTGTAAGCAGTGTTCCCCAAGTGAGGGATCTCTAGCGTTGTCTTCAGTGTCACGCAAGCAAGGGACATCTGTAGTGCCCCGCAGACACGGGATGTCTGTGGTGCCCCGCAGGTGAATGGCGTATGTAGTGTGCCGCGGGTAAGGGACGCTGTAGTGCCGCCTAGGTGAACAACATCTAGGGTTATATGTAGTGTCCGAAAGGCAGGATCGTCCGTTGCTGCATGCATTGTCCCGAAGACGCGGGACCGCCCGGTGCTGATAACCACAGTTGGGGTGGCGGGGGAGGTCTTATGATGCTGTCTGTGATTCCCATTGTGGGTCTGGTGCTATGTGCATTGTTCGACAATGACTTGGTGTTGCCTGCAGTGTCCCAAACACAATCGTTGTCTCTTGTCTCAATGAAAACGCTCCGAAGTGAGCAGGGATCTCGTTGTCCCAACTAGCCAACTCCCCACCGGCGCCGCAATAACACTTCTGACGTGCCACGGTGACCTCAGAGCGTGCCTATCGCTTTTCCCAGAGGGTTGCGTGGACTCGGCCGGTGTCACGCACGCCGTCAACTCGGTCTACCTGGACGGGCTCGACACACCGGGAGACTGTTACGTGTGCGCAGCCGGCAGCCCGCCGCAGCCACTGCTGGTGCAGAACGTGGCGCGCAGTTGTCCGCGCGCGCCGCCCGGCTGCAACGAGACGTTCGAGGAGGGCCGGTGCTGCCCAACCATCAGCTGTCCGGACGGTGAGGGCTGGTCGGGCGCGGTGGTGGAGAAGGTGGCAGTAACAGGACGGAACTGAGCGCACATGTCACGCACGCCCGACATAGCCGTGTTTACTCCCGTCAGGGCCGACCGTCAGGTGGAGGTGAAACTCTCCGCTGCCTGCGGGGGACTGTATGTGACACCGACCGGTCGGCCGGCCAGCACTCACCGCTGAAGGCCTCCAGTTGTCACTGACTTGACACGCTCTTCTCTAAATTTAATGAGCCCATTTCCTTCGCCGTCGACCTAGGCCACTTTGAGAACAGTGGCGTGTCACTCTACACCATTTCTGTCGCTTCACTTCGATGCAGTTTTGACAACAGCATAAACAAGGCACCGAACACAGCAGGTCACCTTGCCTTTCCACACGCAGGCGACCCGTGCATCTTCGAGGGCGTGGCGCATGCGCCGGGAACGCAGTGGATGGACGATCTGGTGCGGCCCTGCGTCACGTACACCTGCGTGCTGGGCGTGGCCGTCCAGGTGGGGCGAGTCGAGTGTACGCCGCTGCCGGACGGCTGCAGCGCCCTGTACACGGACGGCTTCTGCTGCCCCGAGCACGACTGCCCCGGAGGTGAGGCCGGACGTGACGTCACAGGGCCACCAGGCAGGGAAGCAGTGGTTCGCGGGCTCTGCGGGCGCACTCATATCCAGGGTGAGGTCCCTAAGCCCGACGTCTCACTCATGCTGTCAGATGTCGAGCTTCTCAGCCACCTGCGCAATGTTTTGTTGGTTGTCGATCCGTTGCGCATTGACACCGAACCTTGAAATTCAGGCCTACGTTACCGATGTGGCGGAGGGCGCGCCTCCTGTGGCGGAAAGCGCGAGTCCTGTCACAGAGAACGAGCTTCCTGTGGCGGAGACCGTGCCCCCTCTGATGGAGAAGGCGCTCCCCTTGGGGGAGAGCGCGGCTCCTCTGGCGGAGAGCGCGCCTCCTGTGGCGGAGAGTGCGGCTTCTCTGGCGGAGAGCGCGCCTCCTGTGACGGAGAGCGCGGCTTCTCTGGCGGGGAGTGCTCCTCCTGTGACGGAGAGAGCGGCTTCTCTGGCGGAGAGCGCGCCTCCTGTGGCGGAGAGCGCGGCTTCTCTGGCGGAGAGCGCGCCTCCTGTGACGGAGAGCGCGGCTTCTCTGGCCGAGAGCGCGCCTCTTGTGGCGGAGAGCGTGCTTCTTGTGGAGGAGAGTGCACCTCCTGTGGTGGAGAGCGCGGCTTCTCTGGCGGAGAGTGCACCTCCTGTAGCGGAGAGCGCGGCTTCTCTGGCGGAGAGCGCGCCTACCGTGGCGGAGAGCGCGGCTTCTCTGGCGGAGAGCGCGCCTACTGCGGCGGAGAGCGCGGCTTCTCTGGCGGAGAGCGCGCCCCCTGTGGCGGAGGGCGCGCCGTGACCGGTCTGGCCGTGCCGCCAGCGCCGTGCACGCACGCCGGCCAGCAGCACGACGACGGCACGTCGTGGCCGCAGGACCCGGTGCGGCCGTGCACCATCCTGTCTTGCCACGACGGCCACGTGCTCTCGAAGGACGTGTCGGACCAGTGCGCGCCGCCGCCGACTGGGCCCGGTACCTGCACGCCTGCGCACGTTGACTACCAGTGCTGCCCGGTCTACGACTGCGTGCAGGGTGAGTGCGCTCGTCGCGCTGGGCTCCAGCGGCGCATCCGTCCGAGACGGGTGGCCTGCCGCGAGTGAGAGCTGTGCACACGTCACGGTAGGCGATGCAGATAGCTGCCCACTGGACGAGTTATACGCGCTGTATTCTGAATACCGTGTGATACATCCATTGGGAATGCCGTGCCAGCAATACTGGTGAAAAAGACTTCAGTGACCCCTACCGGGAAAAGATTTGCCCCATTCGGTGGTAGAAAACACTAAAGGGTCGCGTCCGCCGGTCGGCAGCCACGTGCGAGTACGACGGCACGACATACAGCGAGGGCGACACGTGGCCGGACAACGAGACGTTCCCGTGCAAGCGGTTCAACTGCACGCTGAACGGACCGGTTAAGGTGGCCGACTACGGAGCCCACTGTCCACCACAGCCCAACCCGCACTGCACCGGGCTACGCACGCCTGGATACTGCTGTAAACAGTGGAATTGTCCCGATGGACCCAAAAAAGTGCCAGAAGAACCGCATATTGGTAAGTTCTGGTAACAGCCGAGAACTTTGAGAGTATCCCAGTAAGTCCTGGTGACGGCTGAGAGTGGTCAAGGTGGCCCAGTGAGTCCAGGCAATGGTCCGGCGCTTGCCGTCCCGGTGAGCTCTGGTGAAGTTGAGAACGTCAAGTGTCCCAGTGAGTCTCGGTAATGGTCCGGCGCTCAGTGTCCCAGTGAGTTCTAGCGACGGCTGACAACGGTGAGTGTGCCGATGAGGGGTACTGGTAGTTGTTGGGAAAGTCGACAGTGTCCCGGTGAGTTCCGGTGACGGCTAAGAACGTTGACAGTGTCCCGGTGAGTCCCGGCGACAGTTAAGAACGTTGACAGTGTCCCAGTGAGTTCTGGCGACGGCTAAGAACGTTGACGGTGTCCCGGTGAGTCCCGGCGACGGTTAAGAACGTTGACGGTGTACCGGTGAGTTCCGGCGACGCCTAAGAACGTTGACGGTGTCACGGTGAGTTCCGGCGACGGCTAAGAACGTTTACAGTGTACCGGTGAGTTCCGGCGACGGCTAAGAACGTTAACGGTGTCCTGATGGGTCCCGGTGACGGCCCGAAAGCATCAGTAATCAGGTATGAGCAGGTGACCGCTGGCTACGACAGAAGCGGAGCCAAGCTTCTGTAACGGCACGATGGGGTTCATTTTTCCGGTTGACCTGATTTATATTTTACGCAGCGACAATTTTGCGCCTCAGGCTGCTTAAAACCACACACGCGTATGGCGTGTGTGTGTGTGTGTGTGTGTGTGTGTGTGTGTGTGTGTGTGTGTGTGTGTGTGTGTGTGTGTGTGTGTGTGTGTGTGTGTGTGTGTGTGTGTGTGTGTGTGTGTGTGTGTGTGTGTGTGTGTGTGTGTGTGTGTGTGTGTGTGTGTGTGTGCGTGCGTGCGTGCGTGCGTGCGTGCGTGCGTGCGTGCGTGCGTGCGTGCGTGCGTGCGTGCGTGCGTGCGTGCGTGCGTGCGTGCGTGCGTGTGTGTGTAGTGCATGAATGTGGTGCGTGTGTCCCTACTGCCGCGAGCCCTATGCCGCTTCCATTTAAGAACTTGCGAGTGCGATACGTCTTCTTAGCATTTTGTTTCCGGGCGCCTACCTTTCACCGACTACACACGGACTCCACGACGTTCTCACAGACCATGGCCCGCCCAGCCGGCAGTGCCGCCTGTAAGTTCTCGTAACGCCGTCCCCTCGTGTCCCGCAGACTGCGTGGTGAACGGCACCGTGTACAGCAACGACCAGACGTGGTGGGCAGAACCGCACCGGCGGTGCTTGCTGTACGCCTGCCGCCACGGTGCCATGGTGCTGCTGAAGAGCCTGCTGCCGTGCCCTGCCGTGCCCGCCAACTGCACGCCGCTGTACCAAGGCACCGACTGCTGTCACTATAAGTACACTTGCACCAGCTGTATGTTCGACACGCTCGGTAACCTGCTCCGCAGGGCCAGGCGCCGGTAGGCGCATGAAGTCCAACGGCAGCGACGGCGGCCGGTGGTTCACCGTGTCATCGGAGGTCCTCAGCCGACATCGACGGCATTATACGATGTGTGAGGCGTTTATTTTGCTGGATTAGCACCAGAATACATATATTGTTCGGAGCCATGATACGTTTGATAAAATGGTGATATACAAAACGGAATAAAATTGGGTGTTTATGAGGAGCAAATAAGTTCTGTGGCGAGGACAAAACAGTGGTGCGCAAGGATGTCAAAGTCTTATTCAATTCTAACGTTTTTTCTTGTTAACGTTTATGTTAACTAGATTACTGATCGCTCATCCATCAGCCAGCAGTAGAGTCAAAACCCAATACAAAATCACGATCGTCGGCATATTCTGCAGTCACGAACCATCCGAATCACTAAAGGAAACACGTCCGAAAATCGCTACTGATGATTATGATGATGATTTGGGGTTTTAGTGCGCATCACAAACAGTAAGGTGACATGAATGCTGCTTCCATAATGTATTGTGCTTTCTGCCACGCAACAGCTGACTGATGAAGCACAAAATGTAACGGAAACTAACTCATTTGAAAAATTTCAGCGCATGAATAGAACGCAACGAAGGTTACTCCGCATCAGGTTACTGAAAAAGCAAAGGTCATAACACTACTAAGACATGTTTCGCCACCTCCACTGCAGTTGTGAGAGACATACTCAACTGACAGATTGCAGTTAGTCATTTTGGATAGCTTGTAAAAATGGGGTCGTGCATGGAGCATCAGTACAAGCCGACGGTGCAAATCAACACCAGCGCAAGCCAGCCCCCACCAGGGTTCGTTATTAGCACAACCGCTCCACGGCGAACTTTTCCTTTTAGCCCATAGGGTTCACGTGTTAAAGACCTGCTTTTCACGGAGCTGTAAACCCAGTTCTATCTGGCCAATTTCGATGCAACCGGTGCCAACGAAAGATTGTTTAATTGTCTTGAGCCGATCCAATGACCTTTTTTGTCTGAAGGCCAACTCCCACGGCGTACCGGGTCAAAGTTTTGGGTCATCGTACGCCGTGGATGTTCCGACTATCGCGACATGACCGATGATGTCAGTAGCTTAGTCGATGCATCGGGCTCCAGGTCTATCAAGGCCTGCATGCCTGGTCTTAACGTGACTTAACATCTCTCACAGCCAACTTTTGGTACTTCACTGCCCTTCCCTCACAAAAACGTTGGATAAACATTACTTCCAGTGAAAGAAAACATCGAAAACATAGCTACATCCTAGCCCGTCATCCTACATAGCTAAACGGCCTGATCCAACCACTAAGTAATTTGAACATAAGTGAGACAAGCATACACGATTGCACAAACCCCCGTCGCATCCGATGCATACCTACAACGATGCTGATCATGGATGTAGGAACGGAGAGGGACGGAGGGGTCATGCCCCCCCCCCCCCCCCACACACACACATACACTTTTCAAGGCGGGGGAGGAAAGTTAATTGCCCCCCTCCCACTTTCAGATTAGGGTTGCATTTGGCTTACTTTTGCACTACATTAAACATGCACGCCGATTTACCTAGTTCAGCAGCCATCTCCCTTCACATGCGCCATCTTTTTTGTTTGCTCACTAGCTATCGCTTAGTGCTACAGCCGCAAGGCCGGCGCCGCATGGCCTGGAGATTGCAACGCCGGACGTCGAGGCTGTTGTTGGTATGACTTGCGAGCGCGCATGTTCAGGACCATATTACGTAGTTTTCTTATCAGTTATCAGTTCTGACAGGATCTTGAGGATTTCAAGACGAACATGGGTTAGCCATGTTAATACAAATTAGGAACCCCATTTCAGCCACAATCCACGGTCAGGGAGAACTCAATATATCTGAAGAACACAGAAAAACACGGAGCTGGAGTCTATGTGGCAGTTATTGGACTACCTGCGGTGATCCGTGATGTTGCTGCGTCAATGAGGGTTCCTGTGCTGATCCGGGGCTAACTGCGACGGTCAGAAGGCCTCCCGTGTCAGGGATGGGCACCATGTGACATGATATATCCTTATAATGGCCTCCGGATCGACCAAGAGATCCCGCCCCGTGTTACCTGAATGATAACCAGAAGACACTTCGCGATGGGACGGAATGGCCCTTCAGTCCTTACCGGAAACGGTAATGTACCCCTGGCGTTCTACTCAAGAGGCCCCTTACCCGGAAGGAAATAAGGGGTCTCATTATTGTTGAGTAGAGCGGGGGTCTTATCATTATTGAACAGGGTGGGTAGAAATGAGCTTAAAAATACGAGCAGGGCCATGCCATGTTTGCCTGCGAACGTTGGTTTTTTCAAAATGTATTATTGACACAAATTACACCAAAAGGCTTGAACATGCCCGCCCGCAACCTGGAGAGCAAGAACGTGGATGGTATGGGTTGCAACTTACGTAAAACCGAAAAGTTTCGGCCAATGCAAGTGCCACCAGACGGCGGGTGCAGTGCTAATCTGTCTTCTGGGTAGATAAATAGCTGCAAAGGCACGAAAAATGGAGATTCTACCTTCACTCTTCCAGTTCAACCACCAGATTCCAGCCCCACTGCGCTGTGCTTTAAGAGCCAATCCGTTCTTTTCATCAGTCTAAAAATTGCACACGTGAAATATGCGCTCAGCTCAGCTGCTGAAATATGCTATACTGCCCTCTAAATGCAAGATCTGATGTCATGAAGCGTTCAAGGATACTTTGTTCAAAAGCGTCGTCCTTTTCGTCCACCCTTTGGTCACAACTTAGTATTAGCTGCTGGGCCGACGCTGCGCGACCTACGGAGACTGCAGCGCCTGGGGTCGAGGTTTTTGTTGCGAAGATTTGCGAGCGCGCAGGTTAAAAAACCGGTTACGTAAATTGTATCACTAAGTGATTCTGACTGAATGGTGAACATTTTCAGACAAACCTGGCTGGGCCATGTTAATACACATTGTTGACCACTCGATCTGCGATCAAATTTTCATCATCAAATTTGGATCAAACATATCGATCCACAATCTACCGTCGCGATGTCCTCAGTGTTTGTAAAACCCACGTAAAAAATTCTGACAAGGCTTCTGAATTCTATCGGTTTAAAAAGAGTCAACTAACCATTGTAAATTACGAGCGTCGGTGATTTTCCATGCGGCCGTTCAACGCCTGATTTATGCAGTTTATTGACCTCAAGATACACACATAATTGAGCCCACAGTAGCTCCTAGTTTCTGTTCTGGTGACATGTTAAAATAACAATAAAACAAAGAAAACCGTGTCACTTGTTAACAAGTTAGCAACATCCTGGGATTTGGGGGATCACCATAAGATGGGCTTTAGGTAACATTGTGTTCCCCCTTGGCAAGGCTCTCGCTACGTCCCAGCCTACATACAAAAGCAGATCAACTTGTATACGTTACATGACGGGACAATGAAGTGTCCGTTAGGCCAATTCATACCTAAGGCAGACAGCTTCCCTGAGGCTATTTTTCTGCGATGGTGTGGTGTAAGGAAAGATAATTCGGAAAAAGATGCCGTTGCGGGTGTCCAACATATGTCTCATGCACCATGTAGTAGTAACGCTGATCCAAAAGTATGCAACAAAGCAGTCATACGATCAGTTCGCAGTCAGTCGTACGGGAGACATCCGGGCCAGGGCAGTGGCCACCGACGGCGGACGGGAGCAGGGTCCAGATAAGGAACCTATGACAGATGGGCCTTACTATGTGGCTTGGCTCTTAAAAGAGAATCTGCAGTGTTATGGCTTCTGTCACATTGTCTCGGGAAGTTTCAAGCCCCCGAATTTGTTTCCGCCTAAAATGCTGCTACAAGTCTTATCTTTTGAAAAGCAGCCAACGAAATGAAGGCGCATGAAAAATCTGTCGTCCTGTGAGCCACCAATCCACTTTCAAAATTCTCGCCAGCCTTTGACCTATTATTTTGACATCTCCAATGTGGAGGCAGATGCTTCCTCAATGACCCAAAATGCCTACCCACCCATACAAATTCGCATCCCCAGGAGAGACAATGTAAAAATGGATGAATATCTTGGGAAGCTGGATAGCCTTATTTACCAAATGACAGATGAATCGAATAGACAAGATTATGCACCAGTGAAAAACAGCTCTAGATGCATACTTAGCATAGCAGCCATGACATTTGAATAAAGAGCGACAACAACCTGTATCTCTACCCCTCCCCTGATCATCGGGCTCGCTTTCCAGAAAAAAGTTGCTGTGGTACACTGAGCTTGCCCCCCCCCCCCCTCCAACTTTGTGAAACATTCCTATACCTTCGCTGATCAGTAATGCTCAATCTCAGCAGTTTGGAGTGGCAAGGTATAACACGTATACCAAATGAAGCAGACCTGCTTTTTGCCCCAACCTGCTTTTTCAATTAGAGTTTTTCCCAATAAAAATGGCACAAGGCTACTTACGGGTCTTTGCAGTTTCCATGCCAAGGAAAACCCCAAATTAAAGTGGAAGCTTTCAAGCATTTTGCACTGACCAGAAATGTGACTAAGTGCTCTAACTATGGAAGGGAGTACAGCTTAAGCTAGCTTCAGTTAGCTTGTTTGATTTAATTTAGTTTGGGTTGGGTTGGGGTTGGGGTTGGGGTTGGCATTGGGGTTGGGGATGGGGATGGGGAAGGGAAGGGGATTGGGTTAGGGTAAGGGTTGGGTTGGGTTGGGTTGGGTTGGGTTAGGTTGGGTTGGGTTGGGTTAGGTTGGACCAAATTGGGTTGGGTTGGATCACACTGTATCAGGTCAGGTAAATATGGGATGATATTTGGTTTCTGTGACATGGCAATATGCATTATACATGTGTTAGGATGCATCACTGAGTGTATGGACCTGATTTTCCAGTGAGTTACAACTTATCTAAAAGATGTTACCTTAAGCACAAATTTACCTTATCCTCATTCTTGATTCTGGATTGTGCATGGTCACAAGTTTGCATCAACTGAACAGCCCAAACCATTTACTTTTCACAATACTTTCCTGATTTTGTGGGAAAAACAACATTGTGTTGCAGCATAAGGTTTGTGAGTACTGTTCCTCGACTTATAAAATACTATCAAGTTCAAAATATTTAAAATTGGGCCCATATGTCAAAGTCTTACTGAGAATACTTCCACATCAAAACAATTATCATCTTTACAAGGCATGACAATATATTTACATTGTTCTATCCTTGTCAATGGTGGTAACTGCTCTAAAGAACATTACTTACATACAGAGTTTTTGTGTAAAGACAGGTAAAACCATTACATTTGACTGATTATCACTGGATAGGTGAATGTTTTTTTTTATAAACTGGCACCAACAACTAAAGCATTTGCATATAATGCTTTCAGAACAGCTGTGTCACTAAGCTACACAGGTATTGTGACAACATGCACAAATAATATTACACATTTGACTTGAATCACCACAACAGTCAAAAGAAAGTTATGACTGGCATACAATCAGCTCAGCCCTTTGATGAAGCATTGGCACACATATACCACCATTCTTATTGCAATGCTCACCTGATATCAGTGTCCTCAATGCAAAATTTGACATTTTCTTCCGTCAGATCGGTCAAGGTTAAAGTTGGCTGGTTTGCGTAAGGCATGGCCGAAGTGTACCACTAGTCACTGCCCACTCGCACGCGTCCCAGCGCTCAGATGGCGAATGATCTGACAGTATCACTGTCCGCCTACGTCGAATATGATCACCGTGCACCGCAGGCCGATACCCGATCCGTTGCACCACCCACGCCCCGCCAAGACCAGCCCGGACTACTCAGCACAAGGCCCTGGAACGAAGCCCTGCACACAAAACGCCGACCTGCGTCGCATGCACAGGAGCCGACTCCGCTTCAAGCACATTGTGATTCCAATCCCGAGAGAGGAAACCGTCCGGTGATTCATGCTTCATCGTTGCTGGACGCAAGCGTGACGTCACTGGAGCCTATACTTTAAAGCTGTGCGTATACACCCTCCAAAACGTAGGGCGGTTACGCACTGGGCTTATACACTCTCCAAAACGGAGGGCAGTTACGCACCGGGCTGATACACCGTCCAAAACGGAGGGTGGTCACGCACCGGGCTTACACACCCTCCAAAATAGAAGGTGGCCGCGTACCGGGCTTAAGCACCCTCTAAAAACCTCGGAAAGGATATGCGCAGCGCCCCTACGTATACCGCAAATCCTTCAAGACGGTCAGGCCCCCTGCCATCCCTGTGTATCGCCATTTCATTTTTGCGCTCATTTTTGTTCATTTATGCTAAGTGCCAAATGCGTGGCGCGAAAGAGACAAAATGAGTTCACCAACCTTGACTCACGTCGCTTCGTCTCGCTTGCTATTTCCCAGTAATGCTCTGCTGGCAGCTGGGCGCTGGATATCATGCTGATGAGCAACCGAATCCAGTAAATGATCCAGGGAGGGATGGAGCCATGGCCTTCCCTTAGGTCGAAGGGGCACAAAAATATTGTGGTGAAGGGCACCAAAATTCTCCTTTTGGGTTCACAAAACTTTTCTTTTAAGAAAGTGCCCTATTTAGCATCATAACCGGCCCTAGATATTTAAGTTCAACAAGGACTATCAAAGAAACGTGACCTCCAGAAATAATGTGAAGCGCAGCCATAGGAGCGTTCCAGTGGAAGATATTGTACCGATTAAAGGGAAGAATATGAAAATATTTGTGTTGAAATACAAGTGGTCGAAATCCGACGAGTTCTTGTGAGGGAGGCAC